GTATTGTACCGGTATGGTCCGCTTGTAGTTCCTGGGGCTGTAGGCCAGCTCTTTCAACTGGGCTTTAGATTCACACGGAACCAGAAAAGCATTTTAAACAAACGTTCAGTTAAACTCACAATAGTTTGTTTATAAATGCTCAAAGTGGCGTGAGATTAGATTTGCTGTGAACGCTGTCCTACCTTGTAGCGTGTTTATCTGCAGAGCTCTTTTTGACAGAAGTTTGTCTTTCTCCACCGTCCTCCTCCTGCTCTCCTCCCTCTCTCTCTCCACCTTCTGGTTGATCATGTTTAACTCTTCCTTAGAGAGGAAATATATTTCAAACATTTTCTGTCGTTTTTGTGTGTGTGTGTGCATTTAATGGTGTGCATGTACCTGCAGGTCTTTGGTGATCTTGTGCTCCAGCAGCAGCAGGTTTCTGGTTTTCTGCAGCTCCAGCACCGTCTCTGCATGCGACGCCTGGATGTTGAGCAGCTCACGGGACAAATCGTCCACGCCGCCGTCAGGCACGAGGAAGCCCAGAGCCTCCCTGCTCTCCTGCTGCATCCTGAAGGCCTGCGTTTGGGGAAAAAAAGAAAAAAAAAACTTGTTATGGGATTTTAAGAGGTATATCTCATTATGTCTCTGGAGAAAGTACGACAAACCTTGATCTGCAAAAGAGTTTCACTGAGCTCCTCAACGCTCATGTCAAACCCCTGCATAGGAGAGGAAATGTGTGACAGATTAAACTACAGGAGGAAAACTCAGAGGAAGGAAGAAATTTGTGGATTGTCTGTTTCTGACCTTAGTGACGGAGTCCAGCCTGTCCTGAAGAGCAGAAACCTTTTCTCTGTACTGGTCAACCTCTTTCTCCAGTTGTTCTTTCTTCTCCCTCGTCAGCACAGACAGCTCTAAATGTAATTAAATAAAATTTTTATTTTGCAATGTCAGACATTTTGTTTAATGGAAAACAAAATGAACTTCCAGTGTCACCTTTCTCCTGCTTCCTCTGCTCCTCCAGCATCTCTTTCTCTTGTCTGAGTTTCTCCTTTTCCAGCTGCAGCCTGATCCTCCCCTCCCTCTCTTCCTGCAGCATCTCCTCCAGTCTGTGGTTGAGATCCGGTCTGAAGATGTTCTCCTCCTTCTGCTCCACCTTCTGCTCCTCCTTCTGCTCCACCTCCCTCTGTGTCTCAGCAGGGTTCTCACGGGGGTTCTGGGCAGTCAAAGTGCTGACCAACACAAAAATAAAATCATCAAAATAAATATAATTTGAGCCTAAAATTCACAAAAAAAGAATATTTACAAAAAGGCAATCTTTTCAGACATTGCATGTACTGACTGTAAATTAAAGTCTGGTAATCTAAGTTTTTAATGTCTTGCAGCATTTCTAGTTATTTTATTGCATTTTTGAGGAGGCAAAGTGGAAGAAAATTATTTTTCAATTTTCTTTTCTGCAAATAACATTTTTGAATTTTTAAAATGCATTTACATTCTGTCTTTTGTTGCAGTAACACAACAGTACGTCTTTACCATATGTGAATAATTATAATAATATTCAAGTATTGATGTAGATTGTGAATTAAAGTGTAGACTTTGACTGAACCATTCTTATACAGAAATATGCTGTGACGTCACATTTCTTCATATTGATCTATTTAGTCCAGAATATATGAAGTTTTTTTGTAATTACTAGAAAAATATGTTCCAAAACGCTATATTTTTAAAACCCTACCTCTTCAGTAGAGTATCGTAGCTGTCTTTGATCAGATCCCTCTCTCCCTCCAGGTCTGAGATTCTCTCTTGGAGCTGATGGGGAATAATCCAAATGAGTTCCAACCTGACATGATCCAGCTGCACACAGATGTGTTACCTTGTCCAGAGTCTGCAGAGACAGAGTCATGGTGGTGAGCTGTCCCTCCTGGGTCAGAGCTCTCTGTCTCTCCTGCTTTAGTTGTTCGGTCAGCTCCTCCACCTTCTCCAGCAGAGCCCCCTGGCTTTCCCTCAGTGCCCTCTGACTCTGCAGCGAACACAGGAAGCAGGATTATTCATTATTCACTGGATTATTCATCACACTTCATCTGTTTATTCTGAAGCTTTTACCTCTTCCAGCTGATTCTCGTACGCCTGTACTTAAACACACAGAGGAGGTTAGTGAGAGGATTAGAGAGCTAATAAGGAAGACTGATGATGTGCAGAATTAACAGAAGACAGGAAGAGGGTCTCACCTCCTGCAGGTCAGCAAGCTTCTGCTGGCTGACCCTCAGGGCTGTGCTCTTCTCAGAGAGCTGCTTTTGCAGACGGATCAGATCCACGTTCTCTCTGATTGTGATTCTGAATCAAGTAAAATATATTTTACTTCAAAGTAAATGCACTTTTGTGATTAAAACGTGCTTGGGTCTCAGGCATTTTCGATTAGAAGATGCAACGCGATTCGCCAGCTGTGTCTTCATGTATGTACATCTTACCTGTGTCTGTCGGCCTGCTGCTTCCTCAGCTGACTGACTGTCCCCTCCATCTCTCTCTCCCTGTCTCTCAGACTTTCTCGGAGAGCCTGAGCTGTCACCTCCAGTTCTGCCATCCTCACCTGATCGGTCATACTGGATCTGCTGGATGATGATGGATTTTTATGTTGAATGATAAGCATAAAGACATTGATGATATAAAGAGAAAAAGGAGGGTTTTTTTGTACAATTTTTCCATTTCTGCTCTGGTTTCCTCCAGCGTGAGACCGTATCGTGCAGGAGCAGTCCGTGCCGCCCTCCGGACTCCGGCCTCTCCATCCAGGTTTTTACCTGAACACATGAAGGGGAAGAACATCATACAGTCCTGAAAGGTTGACATCCTATCATATAAATACCAACCTCCTGGTAATGCAACTAATTATTGAGCTTTAGACAGCAAGCTAAATATTTAGTTTTAAATTGTGATGTTTACAAATGGATGGATAATGTGTTAAATCTATGACTTTGAATAATTTCAGACATTTAAGAGATGGCTCTTTTCTGTGCATGAATCTCACCTTTGTTGCACCTGTAAGGCGTGCGAGCCCCCAGGTCCAGGATGTGCTGCTTGGCTACGCTGAGTTTATTCTGCAGCACCTCCTTCTGGCTCTCCAGCACCGCCACCCGGGCCTCCAGCTCCTGGATTGTGTCCTCCATGTCCCTCTCTCTGACAGGACCAAAGCCAGGATGGGCCTGACGAAGTCGCATCAGCTTCGTGGACATTCTGGGGTAAAAGAAGAGGACGGAAGGAGGATTTAGGGTTAATCTTAGAAAAAGGGAAGGCTAATAAAATTGATAATTCGCCATGAATGCTGTCAGCACTATTTCACATGGGAAATTAATATTTGACATCTATAGTCATGATGATATCCTGCCTTTATAATATAACATCCAAAGTAAACTACTTTAGGGTGGTTATTTTGGTACAACGTTGTATTTAAATTAGAAACTTGTGGCTCCAGCAGTCAGAAGAGTCTGGTCTCTGCTGGTGTTACCTGCGGAGCCTCTGCTCCTGTGTCCGTGTGTGTTGCCTGAGTACACTGTTCTCCTCCTGCAGCCGGAGACACAGGTCCTCCAGATGATCTCTGGGAAACCGAAACAGCCGCTGAGGGTCCGCTGGGTGACAAAGCAGAGTCATGATCATTTGAGTCAAAATGTGCAAGATGATGTTTTTAAAAGTTATTCTACCTTTCATCTTTGCAGAATGGTGCTTCTTCCAGGGCTTGACATCCCGCAGAGTGTCTGGGAAAACAGCAAAAAAAAAAAAGCCTCCATGCATTCACAGAAAATTAATTCTGCAGTTTCAACTTTCAAAAATCTTAACTAGACGCTACTTTAACAGACACATTCCTGGAAAATATCTATTCTTTTATGAAGAGTTTTTTATTAAAGGATTGGTTCAGGTTTCAGTAAAAACAAAATGGCTTACAGTAAAACTAAAGTTTAATTTAAATGCTAGGGTGCTTCATTTTAGGAAGGTATTATGCATTTTTTTTTTTTTTTTTTGCTGGCATAAATGCTGTCCTATTACGGCAATAAAACAATGAAAACAGTTCCGTGTTGCTGTGTGAACACACACCGGGGACGGTGGGCATCAGCCCGCCTCTCATCAGCCCCACGTCCCTCACCGGAAGGTCCCCGGCCGTCTCGTCCACCACCAGCGACATCACGCCTCTACCTCCGCCTCAGCCAATCAGAGAGCTCGCACCGCTTCCTCTGTGAAAAGACTCCCGTGAAAGCAACGATGAAACTTGCCACAAAAAGCCGACAAAAAAGGAATCAATTCAGCGAGAGGAATGACTTGTGCTTTGAGATTATAAATGAATCACTGAGCAGCTGGTGAAACGAAACACAAAACATCACGATGCGATGCAGTCTTTAATGAAGCTCTACAGTCAACGTATTTGAGTAAATATGTTTGACTTACCCGCATCTTCCCGAAGACATGACAAATGTTTGCCTGTCAGCCTGCAGGCCTGTGAGGCTTATGCGTCTCCTCCCGGAGCCCGGATGACACCTTTAATCCCTCACCTCTTTATAATTCCTCCTCTGCTTCCTTCAACATTAATCTAACCGATCCAAATCTAACTCCTCTCCAAATCGCAGTCGCTAAAAAATATTTTTTTATAAGGGTTCTGTAAAACCTGTGGAAAAAATAGAGAATTAAACTCGTAAATACGCAACAGAAATAAAGTGATGGATGCATGAAGTGTCTCTGCGCTCCATCTGCCTGCAGGCTAATCCTATTCCTGCACTAATCTGATCAGCAGAAGCGTCAGGTTGTTTCATCTGAACATATGCCGTGATGTTAGTTTACAGATCTGAGGCTGAGATCCGTGGAGCATTTAAAGAGTGGAGAAGAAGAAGAAGAAGAAGAGGGAGTAACAGGAATGCAACAGCTTTTCTGTCACTAGAATATTAAAGCAGCATAAAAAAAAACATCATTTTTTTTTTTATCTCAAAGTGCGGTTGGAGAGTTTTTACTGCAGCTTTACGAATTTGTTCCATAATAGAGACATTTTATTTATCTATATTGTTCATTTCCACACAGGATACAACAAATTGCATTTCACAAAAATGTGGCTTACTGTGACAGGTAAGCAGTAAATTACACTTAGATGGAGTGAAAAACAAGGAAAACAGCAGAAGGTAGCAATACAGCGCCATCTCTGTATGCAAAGCAAATAACAATATAAAAAATACATATAACTGGTTTATTTTTTGTGGCAGTAGTGAGAATACAGATACCACTACTGTAAAAAAGCTACTCAAATTAAAACATTGTATTTTCTTGTTTCTTTTCAGTACAAAATGAAGCTGCAAATTTATTTATTTATTTTAATCTATTTAAAGTATTTTTAGGCATTTCTTTGAATAATTAAATGAGCGTACTGTACTGGTGGAGCATTGATAAATTCACCGGGAGCTTTGCAAAACAACTTTAGCATACATTGTATAATAAATAAAACGTTGCTGGATACATATTTAAAATTTCATATAGTGATGTCCTCTAAATCTGTGCCAAAGATGCGTTTCTTAATGGGCTGGATGGTCAGCGGCAATTTGTTGGTGCCGTTTTCATTCGTATCCGGGTTGAAAAAAGGAAAAATGGCCTCGGTAAAGTGAAACCCTGTAAATGAATAGATGTGTGACCCAGTCTCTGCATTGAAGAAAGAAACAACCCCATCTTCATAGTCTAGGAACACGCCGATGACCTTTGGCCTCTTGGAGACGCACAGAAGCTCTGCCTCGCCTGCACAGGCCCAGAGTTCAGCTCCTTTCCTCAGACAGATGGTCCAGAAGCCGTCGTCTGGACTCAGAGTCACAGCACCTTTCCTTCTAACGGATGCTCGAGCTACGCCCAGGTCCCACGCCGTTTTGTCTCCCACATGCACCTCCCAGTAGCGCCTCCCTGTGGTGAAACCCTACAGAGGCAAGAATTAGACTTTAGACAATGCCACAAGGCACCACACACTTGAAACACCTCATATGTTTTTGCTACCATGAGAGCAAGGACGCATGGAGCTTTGTCAAAACGTTCTGGGAGATCTGCCACATTTCGCATTACGTCTCCGTCCTGCACCTGCCTCCCATCCTCTGACAGAACGAGCCAGGGGTTGGCCGTCCTGGGGTCCAGGAGGACATCAGCTTGGTGGACAGAAGGAGATCACAGCAGAGGAATGTTCATCTTTCTGTTTTCACTCAAATCATGATTACAGGACTGAAATATAAATGACACAGCCTTCCACAAACTGTAAGCTAATTGGAAATGAATCTTTCATTACAGCAGATAAATCTTGTACTTGCATAAATTCAACCTTTAATTTGTGTGCATTTATTTAATTAGGATAAAACACAAAAAAGAGAGGCAATACTAAAAGACTTGAAAGTCAGCGAAGCTTTACCTGGATACTGCTGGATCTTCTCGTATTCTGAATGAGACAATAAGAACATCCTCAGTTGACTGAATGGTGGAAAATAACGAATATTGCGAGATGCTTTGCTCATCCAACAAACCTCGATAGGAAAGGTTTTCCAGTTGCAGTTGCAGCTGCTGCCGAATGCCAGCCACCGCTCTCCTTATGGTTCCCAGGCATGTTTCTGAATGGACGAGGACGTTTGAGGACTCTTCAGTAGATGGGAGGGAACTCACAGCCGGGAAACTCTGCAGCCAAGGAGTCAGATCAGGAAATACTGATTAGATTATGTCACTATGCCTCTTCTTATCTCTCACACTTTGTGTTTTACAGACACCTGGTTGTGGTTCTGATGCCACTTGAACCAGTTGTCTTGAATTAACTCAGTCCCAAAACACTCAGACATTAAACCTGCAGAACATGGAGGTGGTCTTCGTGGTGAAATAGCTGCTCCAGTTCCCTTCTTCTCTTCTGCAGCTCAGAGATTTCTGTTTCCAGCCCAGCGATGAGCCTCTTCGCCCTCATTTCTGCCGCTTCCTGCTTCCTCTGGATCACCTCGATCAGCTCGGCTCGACTTCTCTCGATGCTGCGGATCAGAGTGGAGAAGACCTGCCCACTTTCCTCAATGTCCCTTTTTGTGTTCTCCTGTGGGTGAGTGATAAATTTGAAATGTTGGAATATAAATTGGAGCAGTAATCTGTCTTCTACACTCTGTGAAATAACCGCTGTATCACACTGATATCAACTCACTTTGCTTATCTCAAGATTGTGTCTGATCTCCTCCAGCTTCTGCAGCCTGTCCTGGATCCTCTGGTGAACTTCACCTTGAATCATCTTAATCTGACCCTAAAAACAGAAAAAGTGCTCAAAACCGTAGTCAAATATCTCTCTGGATTTAAGATTATAGACTCTTGAGAGTCACCTTCTTGTCCTGAATCTCTCGTTCCACTGGGACCGTGTCGTTGCAGTGATGGTCCGTCTTGACACACTGGACACAAACAAACTTCTGGTGACTTCTGCAGAACAGCTCAAGGAGCTCCTGATGCCTCCTGCACACCCTGTTCTCCAGCATCCCCACCGGTTCTATCAGCTTGTGAGCTTTCAGCGAGCCAATTCTAAGGTGAGGCTCCAGGTGGCTCTCACAGTACGAGGTCAAACACACCAGGCAGGACCTCAGGGCCTTCGCTTGCTTCCCCACGCACGCGTCACAGCCGACCGTCTTCCCCTGCACGCCGTCCTGCCTCCTGGCTCGGATCTTCTCCGACATTTCTTTGGCGAAAGAATTTTCGCAGAGCTCCGGGCAGATCTTGTACTCTGTGTGACACTTGGGGCAATTGATGGAGAGCCTGCCTTCCCAGTGGGCGGTGATGCAGGTGAAGCAGAAGCTGTGACCGCAGGGGATGGAGACAGGCTCGGAGAAAACATCCTGGCAGATGCAGCACTGAAACTGCTCCTTGGACAGAAATAAGTCTTGGGAAGCCATGACCTCAAAATTGGAAAAAGAACCATGGTTTTAACTTAGCCGCTTCATATTTGTTAAAACTGTCACCATATCAGGACAGTTTCATATAATACAAATAATTTGTGAAAAGATCAACCTCTTGCCAGCTCTACTGTTGAAGTCTGAAGAAATGCACCACTTTCTGTCAAAAACAACCAACTGTTTATTATTATTATTATTAATTATTTGTCAGCCTGCTTTGTGTCTGCGTTTTATGAATTTAAACAACACCATTAAATTCACATTCAGGCCAATCTTGAATGTAGTTTCATCTGAACTGTTAACACCAGCTGCTACTTCATCAAGTCTGTCACAGTTATGTGAATCCGCAAAAGGCCTTTATGTTAAATTATGTTTAATCTCCAGAAATATTCAAAATAATGAAACACCTGATGAAACTGAACACTTTAGTTACTGTGGACCCATTTGATCATTAGCTTGAATCAGTTCAGCAACACTTGTTGGCCAAAGTCCACCTGCCTGGACAAATGACTCAGTCTCTCGCTCTTTGTTTCGGTTCTCTTTCAAACATTATTCAACACATAAAACGCTTATGCACTTCCTCTTTTCCCTTAAGCACAAGCATATCAATCTACAAACCTTTTAATTTGTTATGCAAGGCACATTTAGCTCTCATCTGGAAGAGCAAGTTTCTGGTTTAATCCTTTGTCCTTCTACATTTATCTCTATGAGGATCAATCAAAAGTAAATCACATTCCTGGTACATTTCAGAGTTCAGTTCCAGCGTTTTGTTATGTTTTAGTCTTTATCCTACCTTTTATTCCCTGAATGTGAAAGATGACCTCGCCTGGAGTAAAAGGCAAACACTGGGCATTGTGGCTGTCAAGCCAAAGTCCTTCCCATTTAGCGTTACCACTCCCTGTGGGAAAAATCTTTTCATGTTGCTCTATAGTGGGAGGGGCAAAGTCCACACCAGGAGCAGAAATTTATTTGATTTGTAAAATATTTCCTGGATTTGTCTAAATATATCCAACTGTACCGGACTGAACAACAATATGGAAATAAATTTTCCACTGAAAAATTCACCCAAAAATTTTTCATCTGGACTTTACATGCTCCGGGATTACAAGTGAACTATGTAGTAATCAACAGCACATGGAGGACCAGTATCGTCAGTATACATTATGGATCTTTGTTGTGTCACAATTTGTCCAATGTACCTGTACCTATTCCTCCAAAGTAGCCCCACAGCACCATGCCAAACCGTTTGGTGCAGTGAGTTTGATTTAGAAGCCTTGACTCCTCTATATTGATGCCAATGTGGCTAAATAGTAGCTACATTCTTATCTTGTCTGACTGTAAAAACATTCACCAGAAGGCATGTTGTTATGTTTCAGTGACCACTTGTTAATTTCAGCGAAGCACAAAGGTGTCAGGCATGAAGGCGTCACCCTGCTTCATGTCTGCGTTTCGGTCCTGTTCCGTCCAAATAAGGTCAAAATTATAGCAAGTGTGAAATAGAGGATATCAGTGATTATTTAACATTCAGATCATGCTTGAATATGAGCTTTCATCAATTTTGTTCTCATTTGACCAAACTATATTCTGTCAGTATATGTTAGAGTTGTCCAGATGGCATGCAGCAAAGATTTTTTCTTAATATATGCAAACGATACCTAGCTTCTCCCTTCTTACCAAATAATAAAACATTATCAAATAAAACTTAAGGAAGAGAATAACTGTGTCATTTTACATTATTACAAATGATTTAATTTCTGAACTTATTTGTTTTGGTTTCTTTCTTTGCATGGATTAAATGAGCTGTTATCCACCACTGGTGAAATGTTTATGTAAATAGCACCTTTAGATTTTTATAATTTTTTTTATTCTGAAAAATTGTGATGCGTTTGAAACTCATTTTCTGTACATTTAAAAATTTGACAAAATATTTTCTTGTGATTATATATTTTCTTTCCCTCCAGGAAAAATGTTCCTCTGCTCATCTTATGGCTCGACAGATTTAACCCTCATGGAAAACTGCGGCAGGATACCATGTTTAAGAAAGAACTGTAAAAACAAGAAGATGTCACGTCAGGAAAAATAAGGTTTCATCAATCTATTGAATAATCAAATGATCTTACCTCTGTCACAAAAGCCTGGATTTCTGATTCTGACAATGCACCATAGGACTTGAAGTTCATGTTTAAAGCAACAATGTAATCTAGTAAAAAGAAAAATGCAAAAATGGTAATAATGCAGTTTGGAGGTGAAAGAAACCACAACTCAAGTGACCTGACAGTAATGAGAGGACTGAAAGTGACTGCTGTCATTACTCCATGTATTTACACTCTATTGCAGACTAATTATGATAAATTCAATGCAAAGCTTTCTTGTTTTAAAATGTATCAGTGGTGAACTTTGAACATTAGTCAATTCATTATGAGCTGCTTGGGCTGACTTTAGAACTAGTTCTTGTTAGTATTAACTAGGACAAACACTAGTCTTAGCTTTTTTTAACATAATAAGCAAAGTTATTGTCTTAGCAAAGTTAGATTTATCAGTGCAGCTAGAAACAACATTCTGAACTGGAAAAAACAAACATTGATGAAAACATGAAGCTGCATTTACTTACTTGGCCCTATGGACAGATGTGTGGACCAAGGGAAAAAGAGAAAAGGGAATAAATTATCTTAAGTGCTAATGATTGTCACATTTATGAGGACTGTTTAACAACGTATCAAAAAAAACAAATGATCTTACCAGTAGATGCTGTGATATTGACTCCACTGCTTCTGACGTTGTCGAACACAGAAAAGAGAGTGAATTTGTATCTACTTCCAGCCGTCAGAAATGAGACTGTGTGAGATACTGATCCATTTCCACTTGGTGCACCAATGTTTGTCTCTGTGCCGTTAAACTGGAGAATGAAGCTGACAAAGTCGCTGATTTTATCCCACTGCAAAGTGATGCTGGTCTCATCTTGGGTTGATGGTCTAAAGTTGCCTGGATTTTGAGGAGCTGAGCCAGAAAAACAAAAAAATAAATGCATCTACTGAAAGACAAGTTCACACTGTCCTTTTGAGGATGCAAGTCAATAGCCATCAGGTAGGTGAGAGCTGAAACCACTCACCAACCTGATGAACAACACTCAGCTGCTGCAAACAACTGTAGGTTCACAGTAACTGAACTGCAAAAATACATCCACGTATCTGTCACTTGAATAACAAGAGATTTTGTCATCCCAGTGAGCAACAATAATAACTTCTAACAATTAAAATACACAACAGGTTTTCAAACAAGATTTTATTAGTAGGACAAACTAAAACAGAAACAAAACATACCAGTGACAGCTGTAAGTTGTACTGCAGTGCTTCTCGTGTTCTCAAGCCAAGAGAAGAGAGTGAATGTGTATCTGGTTCCAGCAGTGAGCGATGGGATTGTGTGAGTTACTAGACTATTTCCACCTGGTGCACTGATGGCCGTGAATCTGCCGTTAACCTCAAGAACAAAGGTGATGTTGTCATTGTCTTTATCCCACTGCAGAGTGATGCTGGTCTCATTTTGTGCTGATACTGTGAATCCTGTGGGTCTTTCAGGAGCTGAAATTGAGACAAGTTAAATTTAATTTAAAAAGCATGAAGTAAGTGGTTGCAATAATTGCATTGTAGGTTACATGTGTTTGTATTTAACACCCATATACTGAAAGAAAAAATAAACTTCTGAAAATTCAGGAACATGACTGCAGTACAGGATGACTTATTGGGATCCATGATCTTGCATAACTTTCCAGATTGTTATGCAATCTGAAAAGTTAATATTATTTTTGCTTAAATGTTTATTATTCTGGCTTAAGAATAGCTCGTCTTCTTACCAGTAACTTGAGTGATGCTAATTCCCCTGGATCTGAGGTTTTCAAACACAGAGAAGAGGGTGAATGTGTATCTAGTTGCAGCAGTGAGAGACAAAGCTGTGTAAAATACTGGTCCAACTCCATCTGGTGCACTGATGTTTGTCTCTGAGCCGTTGATCTGGAGAACAAAGCTAGTGTTGTTGTCGCCTTTATCCCACTGCAGAGTGATGTTGGTGTCATACAGCAGCGATATTCTGAAGTTGCTTGGATGTTCAGGCACTAAGACAGAGATGTACAACAAGCACTTCAGATATATTATTAGGGATGAGTGATAGGAAAACAAGCAAAGCAATATTCTGAATCTTTAAAAAGTTTGAATGTGGTGACAGAACGCCAACGACAAAGGTATGACTTAAGTTCAGAACTTATTGCTACTTGAACTGAGTCTGTGGCGAATAAACTCATTTTTAGTTAAACGTTATAGAGTCATGGGTCAGCATGTTACTACAGCTTAAATAGACTAATTCACTAAAGAACAGTGAATTCACAAAATGTGCACAGGATAAAGTTTATAGGATTTAAAAAACTATGTTAAAGAAAAATCTAAATTACGTTTGTAATTTCTCCCAGGTGTTTTCCTGGGATCCCCAATCATAATCAACCATTTTGTTTACAACTGAGATATGCAATCAAATCTCCTTCTCAGTGTGTCATCAAGTGTAACAGAGGTCTGGTAATGTACCTTTCACCTTTGGGGAAAGGATCCATGACAAACCAATTGATTTATTTTCGTTAGTTTTATAAATGATTATTAGTGTCTGATTTTAAAAGAAAAAGCACATTTGTGAATTGCATTAAAGGGATTTAAGGCTTGCCTTGCATGACTGCAGTTGGTCCACACAACTACAGCTCATCTTCTGACAAGTTTAAAAGTATCAGCATGTTTCCTGTTCATTTAGAAAATATATTTTAAAACCTTATTGTTGAATTGTAAGGCGCTAAATCAGTGTCTCTCCCGTTTGGTCATCAGGCAAAAATGTTCTGCATATTTACGATGCATCTCCATTCCAGAACACCTGATTCAAGTGATATCATGACCTCCTCTGAATGCCACCGATTGCTGTAGAAACCTCTTATTTGCTCACTTATTCAATTCACAGAAGAGAAACACTAATGCACGCAGGGCAGCGGTCCCTGAGGACCACATTAGTCCTACAACAATTAGCCAATAAGTAGCTTCTCTTAGCGAAAGTGTTTCCATCACAAAACATGTCTGAGGAATGCTAACCATGCTAGTTGGAAGAAGTCAGACTGCACTGCCAGTGTGGCTGTACAGCAGCTTGTGGTTTTTCACGGTATCTCTGACACTGCAGCTGATATTTGTCATGATGCAAATTCAAGCTTATGCCACATGAACTCAGACTCTGTCATCATGATGCTCTGTTTTGCATCACATAAATACTGGTCAAGCACACTTTTGTTGTGTAATTCCAGCCAGCATGCATTCCTCCAGAATAAAGAGGAGACAAAGTAATGCATCTTACCAGTGGCAGCTGAAAGTCGTGCTCCACTGCTTCTGATGTTTTCAATCACGGAGAAGAGAGTGAAAGTGAATCTAGTGCCAGGGTTCAGGGGTGAGACTGTGTAAGTTACTGATCCATCTTCACCAGGAGCACTGATGAATTTCTCTATGCCATTAAACTGGAGGATGAAGTTGGTGTTGTTGTTTACTTTCTTCCACTGCAGAGTAATATTGGTCTCAAATTGTGCAGTTAGTCTCAAGTCTTCAGCATTTTGCGGCACTAAGAAAGACAAAAACATTACAAAACTGTAATGTACAAAAGATTGTTCTTGTCAGTCTATCTCCCTGTGGTGAAGTCAGATCACTTCTATAAATGAGCTAAAGATGAGCTTTTATGTGACGGTTCGGGTGCTGAATGGATCCTGGTGGTTACAAAATGTCATTCATGCATCTCTCTTTTTATTTAGATGAAAGTTAAGTTAAATTTAGGGCACAAAACATTTTTCATTGGCTTCTGAGACCAATACACTCCAATCTAATCTTTGACAATAATGAGTCAAACAACATTTTAGCCTCTATTTGTAGAGTACAATTAGAGAGACATATTTATCCTTTAGATTTGAATGTCTTTTATCTAATTAGGCAGTTGGTAGGTAGACCTATTTCAGTTTTTTAGTTTTTACAGAGACAACACTTCTTCACAAGTTGAAGGTGGGAACGGGTGCAGGGCTAAAATGGAAGGTGATGAATGAAGGACTTTGTGTTTCAAAAAAGCGCTCAGTCAGAAGCAGTCAGACAGGATAGACTGGACATTATTATCATATTCTTTCCATAAAAGTCAAATGTATTCTGTTTGGTACAACTCATGTTTGTCTGATATGCAAATTCAAAGTGTTCACTGCAGAAATAGATCAGTATGAGCTCAGTAATTCTCAAATGATTCATGAAAAGATGTTGCTGTTGCTAGTTATTTAAGAGAAGCTCTAACAAGCAATTCTCAGTTTGGCCACATCCACAAAAGATGAACCGTAAAGCAAAACCAAAACATCTCACCAGTGGCTGTTGTAAGCTCTACTCCACTGCTTCTGACGCCGTCAAGTACAGAGAACAGAGTGAATGTGTATTTGGTTCCAGCAGTGAGAGAAGATACAGTGTAGTTCACTGGTCCATCTCCATCTGGTGCACTGATGTTTGTCTCTGTGCCGTTAAACTGGAGAATAAAGCTGGTGTTGTTGTTGATTTTATTCCACTGCAGAGTGATGCTGCTCTCATCTTGTGTTGATGCTCTGAAACCTCCTGGATTGGGTGGAACTGAAGAAAAAAAAAACCCAACCAAATACAGTAAATCAATCTCATTTTGTGTATGAAGGAGAGATAATTTTCTCTTATAAATGTCTAATTCTTCAGTTTCATGTTCACATTTAGACTTTAGTGACATCTAGCAGGTTCAAAAATAACTGCAACTGAGCTATAAAAAACTTTCCCAGACAAAACTTGATTTTCAACCCAGACTGGATACGTTACTTGGTTTGTAACAGATGAACGGGTAACTCAGGGAGCAGTCTTGATCGTGCCATTTTCCAGATTCATTAAAGTATGTTGCTATACATTCTTCACCGCCGTGGTTTGGCTGACCAAGCGCCCAGTTTTGAAATAAAGAGGTGCTGCCGTCAGACCAGAGTTTTTCTCGATACAGGCCGATCCACAGGAATGATCCACGTCCAAGGTTTGAGATGATGTCATTCTCGCTCTGATTGCGAACACTGCAATATTTGAAAGTACGTTTACAATAATGTTAAGCAAACACAAACACATTCTCTCATGCACTTGGATGCTTTTCCATGTTTCCGAGGCCAGGGAAACTTGTTATGCTGCCTTTTTTCAACAAGTGAATCTTTCTTGTTTAAGTTTTTCTAACCAGAGTGTGAGGGATTTACCCCTCCCTAAAAGGTGATGTCTTTGTGCTTCTACATTCCGATTTATTTATTAACTGTATTTTGTTTGGAGGAAGCAACTTGCTTTGTTTGGTGTTTTTGTTTTAATCATTTTTCTTCTCTTTGAGGTCACCTGGTCAGGTGTTGCCATGGAAGCGCCCATGAGCAGTGCTGACAAGGACCTGGTGTTTTCAATCAACCTCAGAATCTATTGTTTGAGAGAGAGGGGAGATGTTTTTTTGGATTTAATTTGGGGCCCAGATTGTTTTTGTTTTAGTTTGAAGATTGTTAGTTGAAATGTAAATTTCTTTCTAGGAATATAGTGTAGTACAAATGTTGTTTTCACTTGTAAGTGTTGACTCCACCCCTTAATTAGTCAAGGAAGAGCCAATGCTTTAAAAGGCAGGTGTGTTAGATCAGAAGTCGCTCTCCCTCTTGTGTGTGAACCTGTCATGATGTAACTGGATGGAAATGCTTTTGGGAAAAAAAAGATAAAACGAATAAGAGCTCTATAACTTCTGGACTTTGTTTGATTTTTTTTTCGATTGCAACCCTACATTTTGGTGTCAGAAGTGGGATGCGACGCTGAGGTCCAGAAAAGAGCTAATCATGGGTCCAAAGCAGCAGACGAAAAGCCTCAAAGTGGCAGAAGCCGCTCCGGTGGAGGAGGCAGAGCAGGAGGGAGCTACAGGTCAGTCAACTTTGCACTCCAGTGATGAAACATCTGTGGACATGAACAACATTGCTGCCATGCTGGAAAGATGTCTCCAGTTCCAGAGTGACTTTGTTGATAGATGGGACAAAGAGGAATGTAAGCAAGAAAAGAGATGGCACCAGATTCAGGATGAAATGACCAATTTGAGAGAAGAGCTGGAGAAGCAGCAGAAAACTGAAACTGAAGCTGAGGCTCAATCAGGCCCCTCTTCAGAAGCAGATGTGGAGCCAACTCCCCGGCATCAATCTAGAGGTGAGCCAGTACAAAAAGCATGGACTCAATCTGATATTCCAAAGGTTGAGGAGGGAGATGACATTGAACAATACCTAACAACCTTTGAAAGGTTGGCAACGGCGTACCAGTGGCCTGAGAGGGACTGGGCAATAAGATTGGTACCTCATCTCACCGGCAGGGCCCGAGCAGCATATGTGGCCATGGCTGTAGAGGATTCCTGTGATTATGACGAAGTAAAAGCAGCCATCTTGACTAAATATGAGATTAATGAAGAAGTGTATCGACAAAGATTTAGAGAGCCTGAGGTCCGTGTGAATGAAACCCCTCGAGAGTTTTACAATCGTTTGAAAGACCTTTACCTGAAGTGGATGCAGCCTCAGAAGAGAAGAAAAGATGAGATAGGGGAGATCCTCATTCTGGAACAGTTCTACAGTTCTCTGTCACCAGAGCTGAAAGTGTGGGTTAAAGAGAGGAACCCTGCATCGGCACAAGAAGCGGCAGAACTTGTTGAAAACTTCCTAGCTGCAAGGCGGGGACCAAAAACCTTTCGATATAACCTTCAGCATAAGACCAGCTCAATGCAGGGTAAGTCTGTGGGGTTCGGTTTGGGTGGTGGTCCAAGTCAGATGACAGCTGTAGCGAAACAAAGGGGGAAAACATTCTCATCTAAGCCCAAATCAGAAACAAAACCTATTGTCTGCTATTTTTGTGGTCAAGAGGGTCATATAAAACCTGACTGCCCGTTGATAAAAGCTAAATCAGCATATTTTTGCACTGTTCCGAGGCCAGGGTTTGTAGAAGACCAATTTCAGGGTAAGAAACAAGTCATGGAGGTTAGAATAAATGGAAAGCCAGCCATTGCTCTTTTAGATACAGGAAGTGTACAGACCTTAGTCCACCCGTCTATTCTGAAAAATCAATGCTATCTAGGGGGGCCTGGCCTTGATATTTCCTGTGTGCATGGAGATCACAAAACTTACCCCACTGCTGTAGTTTTTCTAGAAGTGGCAAACCAAACTTATCTTTTAAGTGTTGGTGTAGTGGAAGGTCTTGCTTACAAAGTCATTTTGGGTCAGGATATTCCAGTTTTACCAGAACTGATTCAGGCCTGTAAGCCGGTGTATGTGGTAACCAGATCACAAACACAAACTAAACTAGCTGGGGAGGAGGAATCTGCAGCTACACCGGAGGGTGTTGAAACAGGCCAGCAAATCAACTCTGAAACTACTGATGAGCTGAACCCTATGAAAGAACTGCCCTTCTTTAATTTTGATATTCCTTCTGAGAGTGTGGTTAAAGGGAGGAAAAGCAAACAACAAAGAAGGCTTCATAAAATGGCAGGCACGGTTAGGCAAACCTCATTGGGGTTGCCAGATCTTGACGGGGACATTTTGGGTTCACAAGTTGACTTCAAGACATTACAACAGTCTGATGAATCACTGAAGGGTTTTTGATCAAGCAATTCCTTTCACCGATGATAAACACCCTGAGGGGGGAGATTATATCCTTAGAGATGGGTTGCTCTACTTTCAAAGGGGGAAGACAGGTTCTGACAAGCTGGTGGTTCCACAAAGTCTAAGGGAACAAGTGTTAAATTTGGGTCATAGTGTTCCTTGGGCAGGACATCTGGGTTTTAAAAAGACCTATGACAGGATTTATGCCAGGTTTTATTGGCCAGGTCTTTATTATCAAGTAAAAGAGTTCTGCCAATCGTGTCCAGTGTGTCAGCTGTCGGGAGGCAAGAATGTCTCAAAATATCCATTGCAGCCTTTACCCATTATGGATGTTCCTTTCAGCAGGATAGGTATGGACATTGTGGGGCCACTTGAACGGACCCAAGCAGGAAATCGGTTTATTCTGGTTGTATGTGATTATAGCACTCGGTATCCAGAGGCTTTTCCTCTGAGAGACATAACTGCTAAACAGATAGCCTATGCTTTACTCCAGTTGTTTTCTAGGGTGGGTATTCCATCAGAAGTACTTACTGATCAAGGTACTAACTTTTTGTCAAACAATCTTAAGCAGGTCTATAGGTTGTTGGGCATAAAGGGTATTCGGACCACCCCCTACCACCCACAGACTGATGGGTTGGTGGAGCGATACAACAGGACATTAAAGAGCATGTTGAAGAAGTTTGTCTCTGTCAATGGCAAAGACTGGGATAAGTGGTTACCCTATCTACTGTTTGCTTATCGTGAAGTTCCGCAGGCGTCCACTGGCTTTTCGCCATTTGAACTTCTTTATGGCAGACAGCTGAGGGGTCCTCTGGATGTGCTTCAAGAGTCCTGGGTTGGCGAGAAGGGGCAGTCAACCAATGTCATCAGCTACATTCTAAAGATGAGACAGAAGATGGAGGAGACAACCAAGCTCGTCAGAAGGCGCCTGGAGAAGGCGCAACGGCACCAACAGACCTGGTATGATAAAACGGCCAGATGCAGATCCTTCAAACCAGGTCAGAAGGTTCTTTTATTACTTCCAACATCTGAGAATAAACTGTTGGCAAAATGGCAGGGGCCATTCACTGTTCTAAAGAAGCTAAGTGCTACCACCTATGAGATTGAGATGCCTGAGAGAAGGAACACAAAGCAAACTTTTCATATCAATCTGCTTAAGGAGTGGAAATCCCGGGCTCCACCCCTTGCCCAGCATTGCTTTGTGCGTGCTGTGGAAGAGGAAGATGATTATGAGGGTGAGTTGCCATCTGTAAAAGACTCTGTTAACTCACTTGACCTGTCTCATCTCACCCTCAGCCAGCAACAGGAGTTAGAGGCCATTATTCCATCAGATCTCTTCAAAGAACAACCAGGTTCAACAGATTTGGTGAAACATGATATTCGTCTGAAGTCCAGTGTCCCCATCCGGCAACGAATGTATCGCATCCCAGAGAAGATGTCTCCGGTGTTGAAGGAGGAAATTGAGGTCATGTTGAAGCTTGGCGTGATTGAACCATCCACCAGTGAATGGAGCAACCCGGTGGTTTTGGTAATCAAGAAGGATGGAAGCATCCGTTTTTGCATTGACTTTAGAAAGGTAAATGCTCAATCAGACTTTGATGCATACCCATTACCAAGGTTGGATGACCTCATTGAATGTGTTGGCCAGGCTAAATATATAAGTACTTTAGATCTTTGCAAGGGATACTGGCAGGTTCCCCTAACAGATGCTGCTAAGCCTCTCACTGCCTTCAGGACCCCACAAGGATTATGGCAGTTTACCAAGATGCCTTTTGGACTTCATGGCGCACCCGCCACTTTTCAAAGACTGATGAATAAGGTATTGTCTGGTCTGGAGTCATTTACTGCAGCTTACCTTGACGATATTGTCATTTACAGCAACTCGTGGCAAGAACATCTGATTCATCTGAGGCGAGTGCTACAAACCATCAAGCAAGCTGGCTTGACTATTCATCCCAAGAAATGTTCATTGGCAAAGAAGGAGCTTCAATATTTAGGCCACATTGGGTGGAGGAGTCATAAAGCCAGTGAAAGACAAGGTGGAGGCAATTAAAGCAGCAGAAAGACCAACAACTAAGAGACAAGTCAGGTCCTTTTTGGGCCTGGTAGGTTGGTATCGGCGTTTTATCAGAAACTTTTCTGCTAGGGCAGCTCCTCTTTCTGACCTTACTGCAACATCAAAAGCAAAAATTGTGTGGGGAGAAGCGCAGGAGAGGGCTTTCCAGGATTTGAAGCAGGCACTGTGTCAAGAACCTGTACTTCAGAGCCCAAACTTCACCTTACCCTTCACTGTACAGACTGATGCATCTGCCAGGGGGATTGGTGGGGTTCTTTTGCAGGGGGAAGTGGAGAAGAAACCAGTCGCCTACATCAGTAGGAAGCTGTTTCCACGAGAGACCAGATATTCGGCGGTGGAACTGGAGTGTCTGGCTATTAAATGGACTATTGACTCTCTGAGATATTATCTGCTGGGGAGAGAGTTCACCCTGGAGACTGACCATCGGGCACTGAAATGGTTGGAAGCCATGAAAGACACAAACAGTCGCATAACACGATGGTTCCTGTCTCTTCAACCTTACCGATTTAAGATGGGCTACATTCCAGGAAAAGAGAACACAGTTGCAGACTTTTTGTCTCGCTGGAATCACAGCGAGCCTCCTGAAGAGGAGGGAAGTGTGAGGGATTTACCCCTCCCTAAAAGGTGATGTCTTTGTGCTTCTATATTCCGATTTATTTATTAACTGTATTTTGTTTGGAGGAAGCAACTTGCTTTGTTTGGTGTTTTTGTTTTAATCATTTTTCTTCTCTTTGAGGTCACCTGGTCAGGTGTTGCCATGGAAGCGCGCCCATGAGCAGTGCTGACAAGGACCTGGTGTTTTCAATCAACCTCAGAATCTATTGTTTGAGAGAGAGGGGAGATGTTTTTTTGGATTTAATTTGGGGCCCAGATTGTTTTTGTTTTAGTTTGAAGATTGTTAGTTGAAATGTAAATTTCTTTCTAGGAATATAGTGTAGTACAAATGTTGTTTTCACTTGTAAGTGTTGACTCCACCCCTTAATTAGTCAAGGAAGAGCCAATGCTTTAAAAGGCAGGTGTGTTAGATCAGAAGGCTCTCTCCCTCTTGTGTGTGAACCTGTCATGATGTAACTGGATGGAAATGTTTTTGGAAAAAAAAAGATAAAACGAATAAGAGCTCTATAACTTCTGGACTTTGTTTGATTTTTTTTTCGATTGCAACCCTACACAGACATACTACTTCAGTAACTTTTCTTGTTGTACTGTCATAGAAATAAACATTTATTAACGTTAGCAGAAAAGATGAGGAATCATGCAAGTTTGCTGAACAGTAAAATATAAGAGTAAAAATTTTGAAACTTATGTATGAGGCTTGAATAACTTGAATAAATATTCAAGTTGGAAAAGCAACACAGAAAAATTTAAGCACGTTTTTAAAAAGGAGCAAAATATGTCATGTTAAATTCAGGTTTTATAAACAATACTGTGTAATGGCTGTTTCTGTTGAATCTAATATGCATGCCTTCAGTGAGTGTACCTGGCAAGATCAACGTAGTTCTCCTTGCAGAATGCCTGAGCAGAAGTCCAGCTCAGCGATTCATTAATTAAAATGTAAACTGGTGAACCATTCGCAGTGCCTGGAAATGAATAGGAAAAAAAAAAACACAAAATAACACCAACAGTACAAAATTCTTCACAAATAAATCCTCTAAGGTGTGAAGTTTGTTGAGACTTTGAAATGGAATGTAAATCTGTATTTTTCTAATTTTTATCTTTTTGGCTTGGAGAGGACAGTCAATAAGAGGGAGACACAGAAAGTTGTCTGCTTTAACATCCAGCCACCTCCATATACCACATCATTTAAAATGGATCCTCTGATCTTACTCACCATTATAACAAACAAACTCGCGAGCTTCCTCACATTCTTGGTCATCCCATTTTCCAGAATATGGGCTCCCACTCAACAGTATGACACAATGCTGTTTTCCATTCAGATTATTTGGCTGACCAGAGAACCAGTTTCTAAATGTTTCCTCTTCATCACCGTAGAAGCTGCTGTCATTGAGGGACCATTTCCAGGAGTTTACAAGCTCATCATACAGACCTATCCATGCCAAACCTGGTCAAACAACAAACACATATTTAGATATATAGAGCATGCATGTTTTAAAGATGTGTGCATTGTTTGGTACTCACCTGTGTAATCTTCTGTGGTTCTATCGACTGCCTCAACGTCTGCTGTGCTTTCTATGGTGGCCAGGTCAGTATAGTCCCGTCTGCAGAGACTCTGAGCATCAGTCCAGTTCAGCGTTGTGTTCACAAAGTAGTACTGACGAGTTTGGGCAAGAGAAACCCGGAACAGCGTTCCTGAAACAAAACATATGCAGCTTTCATTACAACTTGTGTTATGTTACATCAGTGTTTCTCCTGGTTTTAAATGTTTGCCTGCATTAGCATGTATGATTCAAGTGATCAGGTTCATTGATGCTTCCCTTTTCTTCCAGGTATTTTGAAATAGCTTTAAAACCATGTCAGTTTCGATATAACATGGATTAATATAATGGATTTGCTTTTTTGTGGTGTTAACTGCCAGATTAATAAACGACAGAAACGATAGCTTTCTCCTCATTTACTACAATTAAAATTTAAGGAATATTTTAAGAAATATAGGTCATAAAGTACAGTGTCTCACATTGGTTTGACTGAATAAAAAACGATCTGACATGTTAATAAATATCAGTAATGTCCTTTTGTTTTTAATGTTTTCATTTGAATTCTTTAGCTATTTCTAAGAGTTAATGGATAGAGCACCCCAACTACAGAACATTGCAATAATCAAATACAGATTAATCACAAAGGAGACAACGACATCAGATGTACATTTTAATTGAACAATTGAGAGTGTTCAGGTACTATCATTAGTAAAAAGTAAGAATCATGAATCAAAAGTCACTCACCTGTAAACACTAAGAGAAGCAGTCTGTAGTCCATAGCTTAAACCTTTGAAAACAAGCATGACGTTAGTTTGAGCAAATACTTTTTATAAATTGGATTACAATATAGCTGAATTTTGTCTTATGCTGAAATGGGGACATTATCAACATGTAATACTTTTACCATAAAAAGTTTCACCTTACTTTAAGTGCAATTTCTTCCACAGTCCTGAGCAACCAAAATATGTGTTTGTTGGTCTCCGGCTTGTTAAAATGTGTGAGGCAGGCAAAAAAGGAACAAGGAAGAAAATCTAACAAAAAGGGGTTTTTCTATTTGGGAAACCAGATTTAAAAGAATGAGGAAATCCTGAAACCCAGTCTGTTTTGTTTGCGCTTCTCACGACATCTGGAGCCAGAAATAGTTACCAGTATTCCCCCTAAACAAGCAATCTCTAGATTAGAACGGCTGCAGGTCAGTGGACTGATCTCCGACACCACTCAGAAAATAAAAAGATAAAAAGGTTGTCAAAAATGGTAAATTATTTATAACAAAAAAACAAGTGTTCAATTACTTTATTGTGAAGTTGACTCATATGCTGCAGCCTGTAGTGCCTTATGCTTACATTTTGAGGGCTGCAGCAAAAATGAAGGCACACCCGGGAATAAGCAAATCTTTCAGTTAGAAAGTTGTATCCCACATTTTAAAAACTTGAGGTTTGTTGAAAAGTAACACATTTGCAATTCCTGCTGTTTTGGATATTCCTTTGTGCAACTCGTGCAATCAGTCAATTAAATTTTGTTTGAATAGCATCTTTCAGCAACAAGGCATTTTAAAGTACTTTACATCATAAAAACACAAAGTCAGAACAAACATTCAACATTACATTTTGCCATCATGACACATCAGATTAATGATTAAATTATGCTTCAAAAGCAGCTCTGAACAGCTGATCTTCAGTCTAGATTTAAAGGAATTCAATGTTGACCATAGTTTTTTTTATGTTGGTTTTACTCATTACCTAAAAGACGAACAGTAAATGTTTCCAAAAAGTGATTGTGAAACAGTTGAATGACAATCAGAATAAAAAAAATCCAAACAGGTGAATTCTTCCTGTGTTTTAGTTTTGAACGTAAGAAAACAAATCAGAAAACCCGTTTATACGTTTATTAGATAAAAGATGCTCCCTTGAGTTAGGTAAGAAATTCCCAGACTATCCACATTCCTTAACTACTTCTATTTTTTTTGCTGCTGTCGACACAGAGCTTCAGTTAATACAGCAAGAAACAACTGAAAAAGCCTAAAATCTGTCTGTCTGAAATTACTTTATCTGATTAAAATAAAAAACAAAAAAGCAACATTGAAGTGACAAACTAAGGAAAAACAAAGCAAGGATTAAAAAACATATTACAGTTTATGATGTTGCCCGGTTGTTATTGATCAAAAGCAGCTTTCTGGATCATTCAGAGATTTTCCATCATCATGACTACGTCTCAAATAAATGGATTTCTGCATTGATAAACACATGCATGAATATTCAGTATCTCAATATAAAAATGTTTGAGGCTCCAGGAGGAAAGTTAAAAAGTGTCAAGGGCCTCAGTGATACATCAGTGCAAACAAAACCAAAGTGTAGAAAAATATGTACAGAAAACATTTCCTTTTATTTAAATAGAGAACATAACAATTAGAAAAACATGTTGCTAACTCATTGTCCTTCACTTCTTGGATTTTCTCTTCTTATGGTGCAGCCAAACGAACCTTCAGATTGAACTGCGGTTGTATTCCTTGACTTTTGAAGAACTACATGAAAGTTAAGAATAAAGTTAATATTAAAGTACTCAGTTACTGTAACAAAAACTTCAACTGAAACTGAAACTTTACCTCTGCCAAAGCGTCATTTATCTCCGATTCTGAGAGTTCAGTCAGAGAATCCAGCTGCATGTTTATTGCAACCACATAATCTGTTGGCACAGACACAACACATACTGCCATAAACAACAAACGCAAAATCTTCATAATTCATATTAGAACAATTAAGAAAAGTAAATACAGGCAAGAAAAGTGAAAAAGCACAAAGACAAATTTAAAGCAAACATGCTGTGTGTTTTGGCATTCACTTACTTGGTCCTTTGGTTGCAGGTTTCAGCAAATTGATGTTTGGTGATGTGAGAAAGAAAATGTGTTAGAATGAAGTGACATGTAGCAGTTAGCAATAAATGAATGAATAACCATTTTTACAGAATACAAATTCAAGCACTGAACTTTAAAGAAAATGTAACAGAAAGCAGCTGCTTTTAGTGAAGAACAAGAGAAAACTTGCTTTTTCCTTATTTTACAGTTTTGCTAATAAATCCAACTCTATCATCAAACGTCTCAGAGAAAACTCCTTACCAGTTGCTGCAGCAATGCTGACTCCACTGCTTCTGACGTTCTCAAACACAGAGAAGAGAGTGAATGTATATCTAGTTCCAGCAGTCAGAGATGTGACTGTATGGTTCACTGGTCCATCTCCATCTGGTGCTGTGATGTTTGTCTCTGTGCCGTTAAAGTGGAGAACGTAGCTGGTGCTGTTGTTGATTTTATTCCACTGCAGAGTGATGCTGGTCTCATTTTGTTCTGATGCCCTGAAACCTTTTGCATTGGGAGGAACTGGAATACAGAGCAAATAAATGACTGAATACAACAAAACATAATATTATAGGTAATATGTTATGCTGACAGATTACAACAATATAATCTCCCACACAGTGGCAATTTTGGCATTAATGGAGTTCCAGGAGATATTTCTTGATTATATTGTTTTCAAACCCAAAGATCACAAAGAACAGTTGTATTTTTTATCACACACCTAAAATGGTTCAAACCATCAAATTAACAACCACCTGAACAAAATGGTGTTGAAAATATAAAAAACATCCTTAGTCTGAACTATATTTGAAAAATTAAAATTGAGGCTTGTACTTGAAGCTATTGATTTCAATTCATACAAAAACAACCACTTAATCACATTTTGCTATGTTTTGTAATTTTCAGCAAACTCGTTACACCTATGCAGACTCATTCCGGCCTGGTCAGCGACGAAAATGCAACTGAAGTTCATTAAGACACTGAGATTGCCTGGAGTGACGAGTCAAATCTGCAGTGTAAGTGAAACATTTCTAAGTAACATAAAAATTATAATCTTTTCTTAAAACATTTGGCTTCATGTCAAAGATATCACCTTAAAGCAAAACATGTTGTTGTGACCATGGAAACTGATGGAAACTTTGAGTAGTTATGGAAAAATAAAAACAACACCTTTTGAAGTTCAACAGTAGTTGAAAAGATTTAATGGTCGAACTAACTTCCTTATCAAGCCTGACTTTCTACATTGTTTGGGCTAAATTTGAACAGGAGAAACAGGTTTAAAAAGTCCCGTTTTCAGTCTGGGTCTAATGAAACAGATTGTATGTGACAACATGCAATAAATTGCTCTTTGCAGAACTGATCAAAATTACTCATGTGTAAACCATCAAGGATTTCTATTGTTTTCAATAAGTGTAATGCACCAGTTTTTAAACATATTTCTCTTTTAAACATATAAATCTCTTTGTTGAAAACAGATACATTACTTTTTTTATAACAGACGAATGGCAAACTCTGGCTGCAGCCTTCGTCGTACCATCTTCCAGAGCCAAACTCAGTGGCAGCACACTGGACACCAGATGCAGAACTGGGTTGACCCTCGGCCCAGTGCCGAAACAGAGACAGGCTGCCGTCAGACCACAGTTTGTCCCGATACAGACCAATCCAAACGTCCCCAGTGCTTATTAGGGCGCTGATTAGATCATTTTCTGTCTGATTCCTTATGCTGTGAAGGAAATTGAAAAGGATACTGGCATTCAAAATAAAACACATTAAAATTTGTCATAAAAACCCCCCAAACATTCAGCCTTCCCTGGAAAGTTAGACAAAGAATCTCAGAGCTTCCTTATGGAGAAATAGACGAAACAAAAAACAAATGACAAAAACAAAGCTTACTAAACTTTTTTTAACCAATATGGCTTGAAGTTGCTACTGCTAAAGCTAAAACAAGAAGCAACAATGTATTTAAATGTTATTTCTTGAGTCTTAACAATGATGAAACTATTTAACAAACACCTGCATTCAGGGAAGTAGATTTTTATGATTACTAAATCTGTCAGCAGGTACACAAGCTTCTGCAGGTTGTTACGTAACCCAGTGATTAATGGCAACCTTACCTGGCGAGATCAACATAATTCTTCCTGCAGAACATCTGGGCTTCAGTCCAGTTCAGTGAGACGTTACTCAAAACAAAAGACAGTGTGCCGTTTACTGTTCCTGTAATGCATAGATAGGAATTATTCATTTTTTCCTGCATACTCAAAAGTAGGAGTATCAAAAAATAAATAAAGCATGAACAAGAACAAGGAATGCAAAAGACATTTTTGTACCACGGTAATCTTAACATGCTCGAAAACTAGTAGGAATAAGTAAGAAACTTATGAACTCCTACCCCCTAAACTCATACAATATTTTAATATTTGATAAATTCAATTAAATATAAAAATAAACAGGGTAATTAATTATATACATCCATACTCACACACTCATATGCATTAGCCTCAATTTACATAAACACATTAATGCTAACTCTAACCCTTTTTTCTATATCTTGTGAAAATGACTTCTTAATATTTCCTTTTAAATTGTATTAAATATTGACTTTGTTTTAACTTCTCATTTAACTTGTTCCATAACTTTACTGCATGAATTGAAAAGACTGTCGTTTGAGGAGCGAACACAAAAATTGGACAGATGAAGGAAGCATTTGCTCAACCTACCATTATAGCACACGAACATCCGCACATCCGAACACTGACGGTCGTCCCATCTGCTCAGAGAGTCAGAATTCACCGAGAAAAGTCTGACGCAGAGCTGCGGTCCATTGAGGTCATTGGGTGAGCCTGGAAACCAGTTTCTGAATGTATACTCTCCATCGCCATAGAAAGTGCTGTCATCCAGTGACCATTTCCAGCTGTTGTACAGCTCATCATAGAGACCTATCCAAGCTTTGCCTGTTAAAACAAACAAACAAAAAAAAACAGGTTCACTACTTATAAAAGAAGTAAACCCAAAAATAATTGATTTTACTTGGAGCTTTCCAGCTTTGGAAACACTTTTTTTTTTAAAATTTATTTAAATATAAACAGAATTAGGAACCAACCTGTGTAGTTTGACATGGTATTGAGAACAGCATCAACATCAGCTGTGGTTTCTATGGTGGCCAAGTCCGTGTAATCACGTCTGCAGGCACTTTGAGCGCTGGTCCAATCCAGAGACACGTTTACAAAGTAATACTGGCGAGTTTGGGCAAAGGCGATGCTGAACTGAGCTCCTGAAACAGAAAATAATCAGGCTGAGGAACAGCATGTTCGGAGAACCGAAACGGATTAAAATCAAGAAATTTGACGTGGCGAAACATTTTCAAGTAAGTTTAATAATAATGTTTAACTTAGAAAGTTTCAGCCAAGAGATAAAAAGTTTAAATATGTTATTGTGTAAGCAATAATGACTTTAAATTAAAATACTTGATAGATCACCTGAAAAGTTTACCCTCGGTTTCTGCTTTATAGTCAATAATAAAGTTATTTTAGGAGAATGACCCAAGTAGATTTACCATCCTTTAATACTGCACTAAAAATCTAGAAAGAGCTCAAACAATATTTTATTCTACAATTAAAACTGATTTATCAGTAAAACAAAAAGGTACAAACCTGTGATGAAGATGAAAAGCAGTCTTTTGTCCATGATTTGTATTTCTGAAAATATTAAAAGTTTAAAAAAACGTGTGCCAATTTTATTTTATATTAGTCTCGACTACTAAGTTATCATAACATTCCCAATGCTTAAATACTGAGTGTCTAAAATGCAGGACTTTCCTTTAAGCCTGATCGTGCCGGGCGATGTGAGCTGCAGAATACACAGGAAAGTCTTTTTGATGAGTTGATGCAGATTGGGGTAGTTTTGACAAATACAGTCAGGAAGTTCATGCAAAATGGAAACAATTTTCTTTAAATGTTTTCCTTGTACTTGAACAAGAATGAGGATGTGCTGACACTAAACTGAAGCCCGGACTTAAACTACGTCCTGGTTGGATCTAATGAGGCATTCAGTTATGCCATCAGTGCCATTGAGGAGCACGAAGTATTTTAAAATACGTTTTTATTTACTTATATAAGTCATCCTTTGTTTACTATTTAATCACTTACACAAACTTTCAAAGTCACCAAGTTATAAGAGTGAATATCTTTATTCTGTCTGATGTTAAATACTCTTCTCAAATATTAGCAAATACATAGTTAAAGCAAGAGAAGTGAAAAACAACCCAACCACAACTCAGCTACCCCAAGGAACCCACCAGGGGGCGACAAAAGCATAGAACTGAGCTACCTCAAAATTCAGAAATAAACTGAAAGAGCTTTTAACTGTGGGCAGCTGCATGTTTTGAATTGAGACAGATGTTTTGTTGTAGCCTTGTGAGCAGCTAAAGGATCGGTGCACACATGAACAAACACCTGAACAAGGAGGGAAAGAGAGAGAAAAACCCCACAGGGGTAATTAAATACTTTCTATTTAGTAAAATGATCACAGGATTAGACATGGTTGTTCAATTAACATATTTCTGAGATCGGAGTCGGATGTTTTTATCCTCACATCTTAATAAAAGTGTCACTTTAATTAATAATAAGAAAATTAGTATTTTTAAGACTGAAACATGAAAGTATGCATGGAAAAATATTTGTATAATTTGATATGATACTAATCGTACGGCAATATTTTATTTAGTAAAATGTGTGTCCTGTTCAACTTGTTTCTGCTTATTAAGCTGATTGAAAGTGTGAAGGAAACCCTCCTTACATAATTTTATTTGTCCAAAAGATATGGCCTCAAATAGCTGGTGTAGAGCTGAACCCAAGCAGATGTTGCCAACTTGGATCTGGACTGGTTGGGGTTATAAATCACATCAAACTGCAATAAAGTGTAGGTCATATAAAGCAATACGAATAATGATAATGTTACAAATACGAACATTATTCAAATTTGGAAACAAATAATGTTGATTAAATTCTAATCTCACAGAGTTAAAAGAAAAGAAAAAGAATAATCTGAGAAATGCAATGTAGTAACTTGTGGTCCTTGCGGCTCTGCTTTTGTATTTTCTATTAATTTTTTTATTTTTATTTTTTGTTAATTACTCACACACTCTCATAGGTGCTTCCTACCTATGACTTCTCTTTCGTTGTTGATTGCGATTGAAGGATCATCAAATGCCATGTTGGCAAAAAAGCACAATGCAAAAAGAAAATGTAGCTGGAAAACTAAATACAATGGAAAGGTAGAGTCCATCAAGTATAAAGTCCAACAAAGAGCAAGATTATGAGTAAATCTGGTCAACTATGGTGAGAGGAAGAATCAAAGGAGGGTGCAGCAAAAGTATTGATCCAACTAGGATGTATAGGTAGAGAAAATAATATCAGAAAAGAATAAATAAAATGACCTTACCTTGCCTTACCTAAAAATATTTAATGAAATAACTAAGCTGAATTTCATAAGAAGTGAATTTAGTTTCATTTCTTCTTTTACTGATTAAAATTTTTCACTTCATAATCTAAATTTGAGATTTCGTTTTATTTTTATTTTATAGCTATAACAATTCAAATAAACAAAGATTATGGCCAATATTAAAATGAACAGAAACCCAATACAATATATACATAAAAAGATAATTACAGCAATCCTAATAAATTCAACTTAAAATAAACAAAAAGTAATAAAACCCAAAAAACATCTGAACCACTAGTTAGACAAAAGAGTCATGCATGATAGAATATTAATTAGGCAATGATCTTTTTTTTTCTAAGTACATGTGGATGATAACAATATATTAAATTGAAGAGGATAAAGACAGAAGTAAATATTCTTTAGAGAAACTGGACCGGTCCACGATTCCATCCTTTGACTTCTTCATGGTTTCATGATGCGAACTTTCAGGGAAAATTGTGACAAACCGTGTACTTTGAAGAACTGAAAAAACAAATCACATTTTAAACTTCTGAAAGTCATTGAAATTCATGCTGAATGATAATTAAACCGAGAAAGATGTAAACTTCAACATAGGCTGGTCTCACCTCCACTAAAACATCTTCCATCTCTGAATCTGATAGTTGCGTCTGAGAATTTAATTGCAGTTTCATTCTAATAACATAGCCTGTCGACACAAAAAGACATAATTCAATTATTATGTTAAAGTTTAACAATTTGTTTGGTAATCTGGAGCATTTTCAATGGTTTAATTATATGGTAAACTCTATAACAGAGCTATTAGCATCTAGTTTTCAGTAAGAGAGAGGAAATTGAGCTAACTTGAAGCTTTACTTTCAGGGATCTCATTGACTGCTGGCATTGACAGTTGATTATAAATCTTAAAAACTTAAATCAAACTTGGTGAGTATGCCAGTTTATTAAAGGGAAAAATAACAAAGCAACTTACAGATGGATTTACTTACTTGGTTCTTTAGTTGAAGGTCATGCAGATTCCAGCACAATGATGGTGGTCAACATAAAAATAAGAATATATTGGATTAATGAACATCAACCAATTCTGGGCCAAGAAGATTTTAACTAATATGTTCAGTGAAATATTAATGTAATCACTATATTCAATTTGTGGCAGTTACTTCTTTAAATATGAAATAAAATCATTTGGAGCAAAACCTACTTCTTTAAGTTAAACAAAATTAAAAAGTTTTGATTATGTATATTTTTGTCAGTCAAGTTAATATGAGGCAGTTTTTAAGTGCAAAGCACTTCCTGTGAAAGTCCACCTTTCCTGCTGCAGGTGAATTGTAAAAGTGTGGTTGCCGATGCTCAATTTCTAACCATTTATATGTTATAAAGATGGAAATTATCTCACCAAGGAATGCGACAAGTTGTACTCCACTGCTTCTGACGTTCTCAAACACGGAGAAGAGAGTGAAAGTGTATATGGTTCTAGCAGTCAGAGATGAAACTGTGTGAGTCACTGGTCCATCTCCATCTGATGCATTGATGTTTGTCTCTGTCCCATCACACTGGAGGACAAAGCTGGTGTTGTTGTTGATTTTATTCCACTGCAGAGTGATGCTGCTTTTATATTGTCCTGATTTTTTAAATCCTTCTGCATTTTGAGGAGCTGATATAGAAAAGTGAGATGTTCAGAGATGTTCATCCAAGTGATTCACACTAACTGCTGACTGCTTTCGATGCAGAGAAGCAACGACTCTCCAGTTTCTGAAATATCTTACCAGTGACAGCAGTAAGTTGTATTCCACTGCTTCTGACGTTCTCAAACACAGAGAAGAGAGTGAATGTGTATCTGGTTCCAGCAGTGAGAAAAGAGACTGTGTGGATCACTGGTCCATCTGCATCTGGTGCTCTGATGTTTGTCTCTATGCCATCATACTGAAGAACAAAGCTGACATTGTTGTTGATTTTATTCCACTGCAGAGTGATGCTGCTCTCATTTTGTCCTGACTTTGTAAATCCTCCTGCTTTCTGAGGAGCTGATATAGAAAGAGGAGATGTTCAGAAATGGTACAGTTTATATTTTTGCAATTGGATTTTCTCGTATATCGATAAGGTTTCAGTATCTTAATTGTAGCTCAGACATAAAACATGTCCAGGTCAATCAAACAATTATGTAGAGCAGAGCGAATATGCGATAGCTTTTTGTCGTGTATGTTGTACATATTATTGATCTTTTCATCGTATCTTTTCACGTTACAAAACTGTAACAGGCTGTTTTATGTTTGCAGCCATCTATATAATCCTTTTACTGTAAATTCCAGACTATAAGCTGCTATTTTTTTACCCTCATTCTTTTCCCTTTTGCGGCCTACACTAAGATGCTGCTGATGCATGCTTTTTTTTTCATCCTGCCAAAAACATCTTTCAGGAACAGTAGACCAATCAAATCGATGATTAGCTCACAGAGGTTCAATGAGGTGCAATAACTAAAAAGCACATTCCCTCAAACAAAGATAGCGGAAACTTCCATCGGGCTCGTGATATCATAAATATGGATGAAGTACCGCTGACCTTTGACCTGTCTGTCACGCAGGCTGTTAATAACAACAAGGTTGTTATTAAGTGAGTGACAAGATCCCACAAGAGGATATATTAGAATGTTTTTTGTGCACTGTTTAGTAAAAAGGCATAAGCACCGTAATTTGTGTTACTGATCCTTACATATATTTAAAGGTAGCTGTGTCACAGGGAGTGTTCAAAAAACAGCATTTAGGTACGTTTTTGTTTATGTTGCCATATGGATCAAATTAAAAGTTTAAAAAAATTCTCATAATGTGTTTATGTGTAAATATCTGATATTAAAATGTACAAGCACAGCATTTATTTTCTTTCTAAAATTGCTACAGAGCGCAGCTTTGGTATGGAATTTGCATCTAGATATCTATAAGTCTTTTCCAGGGTTTTCTCCCATTTGTACCTCATCCAAATGATCCAAACACAGTGATCCATGCTACCAAAGCTGACTGCTCTTGATGCAGAGAAGCAGCAACTTTCTGGTGTCTGAAATATCTTACTTGTGACAGCTATCAGTTGCTGTCCACTGCTTCTGACGTTCTCAAACACAGAGAAGAGGGTGAATGTGTATCTGGTCCCAGCAGTCAGAGATGAGACTGTATGGTTCACTGGTCCATCTCCATCTGGTGCATTGATGTTTGTCTCTGTGCCATCACACTGGAGAACAAAGCTGGTGTTGTTGTTGATTTTATTCCACTGCAGGGTGATGCTGGTCTCATCTTGTCCTGACTTCGTAAATCCTTCTGCAGTTTGAGGAGCTGATGCAGATAAATGAAATGTTCAGAAATGGCACGTTTAGATTTTTGCAGTTGGGTTTTCTTTTAGTATCTTGTAGCTCAGACAAAAAACAAACAAACAAACATGTCCTTATCACTCAAACAATTATATAGAGCGAAGGGAAGATATGTTTGGTTTTTGCCATATATGTTGTAAACACATTATTGATCTTTCCATTGGGTTTTTCACTTTACATGTTGTTTTATGTTTTCAGACATCTGTATAATTCTTTTAGACATCTTTGACTCATTTCCAGGTTTTTCTCCTAAGTGATCCAAACATAGTGGTTGAAGCCACCAAATCTAACTGTCATTAAAAGATCTTACCTGTGACAGCTGTCAGTTTCTCCCCACTATTTCTCACATTTCCAGTCACAGTGTAGAGGGTGAATGTGTATCTAGTTCCAGCAGTGAGAGATGAGACTGTGTGAGTCACTGCTGCAGCTCCATCTGCGGCATTGATGTTTGTCTCTTTGCCGTCATGCTGGAGAACAAAGCTGCTGGTGGTTGCTCCCCAGTATAGAGTGATGCTGGTCTCACTTTGTGTCAGTACCTTGAAAGGCACAATTTCTAACACAGATAATTACAATATGAATTACAATATAAATCATTATTTTGCTTTTACCAAACATAAAGATTTTTCTACACATTTGATTCAGTCAAGAAAACAACTGAAACTTCTGAAACTTTAACGATGCTTTGATTAGGGTTAGTGTGTATATGGACGTTTGTGTGTGTGGACATTGAAATAATAATCAAAAGAAAAACAGATAATTTTTTATTATTTGAAAATTATTAACATAAATATATTACCTGTACAATATGCCAGTGAACATGAAACTGGCAGTTGAACTTTGTAGACGTAGTATCCAGAACAAACTTTGACCTGAATGGTCATGGAGGCAAAAGCGAAGCAGGATCCCGACCAGGAACCAAACACATTGCGAGTTACAATTTCATTAATCTGGACTGGATGAGTCCCATTTATCCATAACGTAGCATGGGTCCCACATCTGTTTTCTGCTGTACATTTCTCTGGAATCTGAGCGCTGGTTTGCCCCAAATAAAAGCGATACCAACCACTCCAGACAATGTTTCGGTCACAGTATATGACTGTTCTGTCTGTATTCTCTGTTGAACGCCATGCATCTTTCACCACAGTGTAGGTGGCACAGGGGTCAAGACATTCAACGACTCCATTGGTGGTGATGCACTCTGTGCCCGAAGCACAACACTCACAGCCAGTACAAGAGGCTTGGTCATCATCAAGTACGACATATGGGAAAAAAAACATAAACATTATAAGTTTAAAGATACCAAATATCTTTGTTTTTGAATTATTTTATTTTGAGAGAATATGAGCGAAGGGGTTTTCCTGCAACCAAGAATAGATTAGTGGCTGAGTAAAATCATAATATCTTCCATAATTTCTTATCACTAAATGCAATTTCGCAGTCTGACAAGTACATGTTAAATCCAGTTGCAGACCATTTTTCTGCAGAGACTTGATAAGACTGATATTAAGATATGAAAGTTCTCACTATATTTCATTTTGAAACTGTTGCTCCTGTTAGGTTTAAGAAACCACAGTGCAAGTAAAACTCATTTTAAGAAATTTTATTACCAATTTCCCTTTGATGTCATTCAAAGGAGACTCATGTTTAATTGTTAAACAGCAGGTTTTAGAATAAGCTTAATGAGAAAATTATTCACCAAATTGTTTCTCAACCTTTGTTTACGAGCCTTTTAAATGTTTTTTAAGTTATTCTATAGCTGATAGGCCTTCTTCAATGAATAACCACAGATTGCAGATACAACTAACAGATTTTTGGTGTGAAAAACGTTTTTCTTTCTTAATAAACTGTAAAATCTTACCAGCAGCTACAGAGACCAATGAAGTTGTTTGGAGAAAAACTGCCATCAGAACAGAAGCAAAATATAAAAACAGCAGATCAATTCATCCGAAATTAGACATCTACATATAATATATTAAAAACAATTTGCTTAATGTACAAAAAATAGGAGAGAAAACATTTTTATGTAACTTTAAGTGAGTCAAATCTGTTAGAGAAACCTCAGTGGGACTTCACTGATTTGTTAGACAAGATCATAGTTAAATCCAGGCGAACCTGTATTGTAAACACACCGCTTAAATCATGTAAAAGTTTAAACAAATCAGTCAGGCTATCATAAACACTACAAACAAATCTGGTTTGACCTATGAACTTTGTAAAGATGCTGAAGTAGTCTCATTTTCCAATATTGGCTAAAAAAAAACATTTAGTGAGGAAGCTGACATAAAACAGCCAGACTATAGTTTGAAAATGAAATCAGAAACAAATAAAAAATTTAAAAATAAAATTTTTAGTGATAACTGAAGTGTTTTTTTTTGTTAATATATTGTTAAATTGGGAGAAAAAAGGTGAAATTGTATAAACATATTCCAGCATCAATTGAAGAAAGTTATAGCTCAAAAACAAACTGGTCTACTGAATGGAAAACGATAATAGTAATTTTTTTAGATGAACAATAAAGGACTGCAAAGTTAATGTTTTGGAATAGCCATCACAAAACCCTGCTGTAAGCCCAATAGAAATAATTTGTTCAAACTGTAAATATAAGTTACTCTATAAAAAATTATAAATAATATTTGTAATTCTAATGTTCCTAAAAGTTGAGAAAAGGTTTGGACCCACAGCTTCCTTGCATTGAGGTGAAAGTGCCAATCACACCTCAGGTGCATTTTCATGTGCGCTACAAAGATGCACATGTACATTTTCATAGTGTATATGTGCAGTATGAAAGTGTACATAGTGCACATGTACATTTTCAACACATTACTTTGATTTGAACTTTTTCCTTGTGTTGCAGCTCTTCCTCAGTTTCCCACTGTGGAAGAAACTCTAAAAGAAAAAAAAGACCTTAAGAAGTTAGAATAAGAAAAACAACAAACACAAACCTGAGAGCCCAAACAGGATGAGCCTGTAATCCATCAGTGAAAGCTTGAAATTAAATAAAATATCAAGACAATATGTTCTACATCCAAACACTAAAAATGTGTTTCACAACACAGACAAGCAGATGACGGCTTCAAGGCACACATAGACAAAGTCTTGAGATGCCCTGCATGTTTAAAGGTGCTACAGATGGGCGTGGCATTCATGGTAGAGATGCATCTCTTCCATGAAAGCCACATATGCATATACTTTCACATTCCAGGATGTGTGCCAGCAAAAGAATAATAAAGCAGATCAGTGTCATTTGAATTACTAGAGCTCAACATTTATAGAGTTCATTTGCATTATTCAGCGTATTTTATCACCAACATTGTGAGTCAGACACTAAAAGTTGGGTGTCTGACCAGGTGGTCAACAGTTTAGGAGACTGTACTCTGATCATGTCTTCTCACCCAAACATGTCAGATTTCAAGTAAAGACTGGAGGCATCACTGCTAAAACACAGTTCAATCAAATGATTGAATTATCTCTTCAGCATCCAACTAAGTTTATCAAAGGTCTGGTAATAAGAAATTAATTCATTTCAGGTGTACTTTAGCAAGGATGCATCTAAAACCAGGAGGACAGTAGCTCTTGAGAACTATGATGGAAGACCTGTTAGCATAAAGTTACCAGTTAAAGTTACTGTCAGGACTTTGTGCCATTGTAGGTTTATTTAGGGATTTAATGGGACAGATTTCTGCATTCACACAGCAGCTGAATGTGACCTAAATCCTACAGTGTTTGTCTGACCACATGTTCTCTCTAAAACTGGCAATTGCTGACTTTTTTGTATTGTCTTTGAAATTTCCACATATAGACCTAAAACTGGTGTGATGGCCACACCAAAAGGTATGTCTTCTTTGTTTATATTTTCATTAGTTTGACAAACTTTAAGAAAACATTAGTTCTAAGTCTAGTGCACACAATCAGTTAACGTCTGTATATTTAATTCTGTGAAGCATCTTTTTAATGTTGTTTTTTTCTGTTTTGGTAGAGCTACAGAGGAGTTCCTTCAGTTGGGCTGAGCTCATCACATCACATCGTATTACATCAGACTGGACCCAAATGTAATATATGCAAAGATGTACCTACTAGAATTTAGCATGGATGATTTTGGTATAAAATGGCACCAACTAAAGCATATGAAACATTATTATCAAACCGAAACATTTGAGTTTCGGTTGCAAGTCTCACTTTAAAAATTGGGGATACAATAAGAGAAGTTGATAATAGCACTAACATCCTGTGGGATTTCCAGATCAAGCTTTCTAAATAAAGAGAAAAGATGGGCAGCCAACTGGAAACTGTGGCAGCAGTGATTAATGTAGGAATCTGAAGCAACAGCAACATAAAAAAGACACAAGAAAATTTTAAAAATGCTTAGGGCTCAATGAGGAAACTGCAAAGTTTTGGAATGTCGAGGCTTTAGCCGTGCAGCTGAGACTGCCACCTCAAAACCAAAGAGAGAGACTTGATCAGGTTCCACCACCAACATCTGAGATCTCTTTAAGTACAGAACAGAACAACCATCTAGAACCATCAAGTTCTAGAGAACCTATAGAAACCAAGCTTTAAGTATGGAGTCTATTTGGTATCACAACTGTAACTGATGCTATAGATAACACTTTTCCTGAGAAATGGATCTGCCATAGATAACTTGGGAAAATGAAAGTAAAGAATCACCTTACACTGTGTAGATGGTATAAGAGCAAACAAGAATAATCCAGGGTGTGCGTAGTTCCATTTGCCTTTGTATATATAGCGTTGGACATTTACAAATTTCTGTGCAAAGAAGATAAAAATCTTTGCAATGCAAAGCAGAAAGTGTGAATGAAGCATCTTGTGAAAGAGCAAAAACAGTGCTGCAGTCTGGAACATAATATAGAAACAAGATGTTTCTGAGAATGTTTTTGTTTTTCACATGGAAAGTCGTTTCTGCCATGCAGGGGCGACGGCGGATCAGAGGATAGCAGTTTATGTATTTATCCTTTCTTTACTTGATCTTTAACCACTAGAGCAAAATATGAAATCTAGATCAAAACCTGCAACAACAGATGGATAAAATCCCTGATTTTTAAAACGCTACAGTTTTTGTCTTTGTCGCCCCCTGTTGGGCTTGTTGGTGACTGATTTGTGGTTGTTTCTCCTTTCTCTGGTTTTAACTGATAATTCTGAGTAATATAAGTTAACACAGAGGAATCAAGAATGTTTTTGAAGTGGATCCAGGAAATACTCCGAGTGGTTTGTCCTCCATTTGTGCAGGTTTGTGTCGTTAAAATTTTCGTTTGTGTAGCTTTAGTTTCTGAGATTTCAAAAATTATTTTTAGGTCATCCAGAGTTCACCATCCCTCCATTTTGCTCCAAAACAAACTAAAGAAGATTTTTTATCTTCAATAGCTTCAAAGTCAAAATACCAAAGATCAGGCACATCTATGGTGTGTATAATATTCCATATTACTACTTTTGTTCTTCGATAGCTTCCCCATTTTAGAATATTCTTTTTAATATTACAATTATTAAAAATATTGAGTAGGACTTAAAAATCACTAGAGAATGGTGCGTCTTGTGTATCAGCAGGAATTTTGTATCGGTCACAAGGCAAGACATCTAGTTACGTTCATTTCTCAGGAGTGTTTGGTTTGGAAATTTGTTGACAGTCCGTAAATGAACTCTGGAATACCTAAAAAATAAATAAATTAATATTTCATTAACCAAAGCTGCACAAACGACAATTTTAACGACACAAACGAATCTGAAACTGGTCGGATCGTATGACACCGGCCCTCTGGGGCCAATGAATGACCAGCATGTTTCATTTGTGTCTCTGTTATCTGATTCAAATGACTGCCTCCTCTGCATGCTATCGTGTTACAATAAGTGCATTTATTCAAGTCAGGTGTTTGGCAGAAGGGAAACACCTGAGGACCGGCTTTGAGAAACACTGGCTTAAGGTGAGTGATGGGTGGTAGTTGCACTCTTGAAGCAAAGTGCGCATATGGTTACCATTTCTACTTGTTATGGTGGTGAAGGTGTACTATATTTCAAATACATCAAAAGTAAACTGAAAACAAAAATGCAAAGAACGTGAGGTAAACACGTTCTTTGCAGTTTTGCAATGGAGTAACTTTTTACTTTTAGGGCTCTCATTTTGTATTTTCTGTGGAGTTCTTTTTTTTGTTGTTGTTGTCAATTATTCACAAACTGTCACCGGTACTTCCTTTATATTGTTGCTCCTCTCTCCTCACTTTTACTTGTGGTTAAAGAATCAGGAAATTAAATGTTGCCCCAAAAAAGAGGAAAAATGCCAACATAAAATATAAATGAAAAATAGAAAGGCAGAGCTATGAGGAATGAAGTCCAACAAAAGGCAAAATTTTCAGCAAGTTTGATGAACTACGGTGAGGGGAAGTAGCAACGTTGGGTTTAGCAGAATGTTCTAAAAAAGTACTGATGCAACCAGGAAGTATATGTTGGGAAAATAATAAGAGATTTAAGGGGGAGCAGCGATATGTGCATGAAGGCAGAAGATTGTTCTGTCTGAGCAGCCGAACGTCTGGGTGACCTAAACAAGATAGCAATTATTTGTTGTAATTGCAATGAGAAATTGACAAAAGTTGATTAAATAACTTAAGTTAATGCTTGTTTAAAAGTAAAGACACTTTTATTTCACTTCTTTTCATTATGATTACAATTTCCTGCTTTATGAACTACATGCTGTTTTCAGTTATGACATTGTCTTCAAAGACAAAAGATTACTACCACTATTAAGTTCAATAACAATCCAACACAATATATATAAGAACATCATTACAGCAATCCTGATAAATTGAACTGAATCTGGTAAACAAAAAGTCAGACACTTAAACCACTAGAGAGAAAAACAGATTCACGAATGATTTAAGATTATTTGGATAATTGCTTAGATAAAGTTGCTAAGTTAAATAAATGTTGCAGGAAACAATTTATACAATTTAAGAGAACAAACAGAAGTAAATATTTCTACATAGAAACTGGGCCGATCCAAGACGTCATCGTTGATTTTCTTCATCGCTTATGGTTTAACGACGCAGACTTTCATGGAAAACTGGGACAAACCCTGTGCTTTGAGGTACTGGAAAACAAAACAAACCATTTTACCACTAACTAATGTTAAGGCTATTTAAATTCATATTAAACAATAAGTAAAACCCACAAAAATATAAACTTTTTCAAAGATTAGCCTCACCTTTGCTATAATCTCTTCCATCTCTGATTCTGACAGTTTTTCTTGAGAAGTTAATTGTACTTTTATTCTAGAGACATAACCTGTTGGCCCAGAAACAAATGATAAAAAGGTTAGCATTAAATTATGTTAAGAAAAAGTAACCACGCCCCCAACTTCACTTTTGCACACACATATGAAAACAGCTGCAAACAGATTCTCAATTATACAACCGTACATCTTTGAAAAGCAAAAATACAACCTCCTGCACAACCGACAGGAACGCAGCAAATCTTTTCTTGTCTAAGGAAGTCGGATTATATTGATATTTGCTTGCTTTCATAATACAGGACTTTATCAAAATGCAACAAAAAGTAAAAACAGATTTCATAAATAGGGTTACTTATGAAAGGGGAAAAAATAAATACCAGGTATCTTACAAATGGATTTACTTACGTGATTCTTTAGTTGAAAGTTGAGCAGTTTCCAGCATGACAGTGGTTGGCAACATGAAAATGAAAATATATGTGGATGAATTAACATCAAGCATCCAATTATTTAAACTACACTGTAAAAACATTTCTGGGACCAAGAAGATTTTTACTATGTTACATAAAATATAATTAACCATTTAACTTGGTGGAAATTATTTATTTAAATCTGAAAAAAATTGTTTGGCGTGAAACATACTTATTTGAGTTAAATAAAACAAAATAAATTTGTTGATGTACATTTTATTAGAGAATTTAGTTATAATCAACAGTTTTTAAGTGAAAATCACTCCCTGTGAAAATCTGCCTTTTAGCAGCTGGAGAACATTTTTGTAAAGACGACTGATCCATTGACTATTGAGGAGAAAATAGAAATCCAACATACCATTTATAAATAACATCTAAATAGAAAAAAAACACATCTAAATTGTTTATTAAACAAAATTGATTAAACTTTTATATTATATTCAGTCAAAAAACAACATCTTGGTACAATAACAATCATTTGAAATCTAAACTTGCCAGGTGTGTCATAATAATTTTGGTTTATAGTTTTGATATCTGGTCTTTTGACTCTTGAATGTATGGTCATCAATACTCAATTTGTACCCTTTATACATTGTAAAGAAGTAAATTATCTCACCAAGGGAAGCTACGAGTTGTACTCCACTGCTTCTGACGTTCTCAAACACAGAGAACAGAGTGAATGTATATTTGGTTCCAGCAGTCAGAGATGAGACTGTATGGGTCACTGGTCCATTTCCATCTGGTGCTCTGATGTTTGTCTCGGTGCCGTTAAACTGGAGAACAAAGCTGGTGTTGTTGTTGATCTTATTCCACTGCAGGGTGATGCTGCTCTTATATTGTCCCGACTTTGTAAATCCTTCTGCATTTTGAGGAGCTGATAGAGAAAAATGAGACGTTCAGAAATGGCACAGCTTAGATCTTTGCATTTGGGTTTTCTTGCAATATCTTTGAGTTGCCAGTATCTTAATTGTTGCTTACAGAAAAAATGCCCAGTTCAATCAAACAGATCTATAGAGCAAAGGACATTTATTATGGTTTTCTTCTGAAGTTTTAAACAGATTATTAATCTTTTCACCTTACAAAATTGCATGAAGTTGCTTTATGTTTCCAACCATTTAAATAATCCTTGGGTTTTCTCCCATTTGTACCTCATTCAAATGATTCAAACATAGTACATCAAAAGCTGATCAAATCAAATCAAATCAAATTTTATTTGTATAGCACATTTCAGCTACAAGGCATTTCAAAGTGCTTTACATCATAAACACAAAAACACAAAGTCATGCAACATAGATTAAACAATACATTGTTACATATTACATTTCAAATACAATTCTAAACAGGTGTGTTTTTAGTTGAGATTTAAAGGAAGTCAGGGTTTCTGCTGTTTTACAGTTTTCTGGAAGCCAGTGGAGGGAGTTTAAAACTGGTGTTATGTCTCTATCTTCCTGGTTCTAGTGAGAACATCAGCAGCAGCTTCTGGATCAGCTGCAGCTGTCTGATTGATTTATTGGACAGACCTGTGAAGACGCTGTTGCAATAATCAATGCGACTAAAGATAAACGCATGGATGAGTTTCTCTAGATCTGGCTGAGACATTAGTCCTCTAATCCTGGAGATGTTCTTCAGGTGATAGAAGGCCGACTTTGTAATCGTCTTTATGTGGCTCGCAAGGTTCAAGTCCGAGTCCATCATACTCCCAGGTTTCGGGCCTGATCGCTAGTTTTTAGTTGTAATAACTGAAGCTGTGCATTGACTCTAGATCGTTCCTCTTTAGGTCCAAAAATAATGACTTCAGTTTTGTTTTTGTTCAGCTGGAGAAAGTTTTGGCACATCCACACATTTATCTGTTCTAAGCATTTATTCAGTGATTGGATGGGGTCAAAGGTCACCTGGTGACATCGTAATGTACAGCTGAGTATCATCTACATAGTTATGGTAGCTAATATTATTTCCTGTTATAACCTGAGCTAGTGGGAGAATATAAATATTAAATAAGAGGGGTCCTAGGATTGAACCTTGGGGTACCCCACATGTGACCTTTGACTTCTTTGATGAGAAGTTTCCAATTGAAACAAAGAAATCCCTGTTCTTTATGTAAGATTCAAACCAGTCGAGCACCAACCGGAGAGTCCAACCCAACTTTCAGTCGATTCAGTAATATGTCATGGTCGACAGTGTCAAAAGCTGCACTGAGATCCAACAGAACCAGCACCGTGGTTCTCCCACAGTCTGTATTTATATGGATATCATTGAATACTTTTACGAGGGCAGTCTCCGTGCTGTGGTGAGCACGAAAACCAGACTGGAAAGAGTCAAAGCATGAGGAAACTATTTAATTGTTTACACAGTTTTTTCTATAACTTTGCTGATGAATGGGAGGTCAGAGGTCGGCCTGTAATTCTGCAATAGTGATTTGTCCAGATTGTTCTTTTTTAACAGTGGTTTGATGACTGCTGTTTTCAAGGCCTGGGGAAAAACACTTGATGTGAGCGATGAGTTTACTATTTGGATCAGATCAGTAGCAATAACAGGCAGGACTTTCTTAAAGAAATGTGTGGGTAGGACATCCAGACAGCAGGAGCTTGAACTTAATTGACTTATCATTTCTTCTAGGGTTTTATAATGAAGTAGTTGAAAATGGGTCATTTTTTCAGTATTTGTTTTGTTTGGGTACAGCAATGGTTCTGGCTTTAGAGCTGATGTGCAGATTAATCCTCTGATTTTTTGAATTTTCTCCAAAAAGAAACTGGAAAACTTGTTACAGGCAGCACGATTTTTGATACAGAAAAAAGTGATTCAGCTTCGAAAGAGTTTATTTTATCTCTGAAAGTTAGCTTAGTCACCTAAAGAGAAAGCTCTTTTGAGAACAGCAGAAACCTACATACATTTAGAACCAAAAACAGTGTATATAAAACAATTTTATAATAGTCTGTGTGTTTTAAAAAATAATGACAAGGTAAATCAAGCTTTCCCATCAAAATGACACCTAAGGAAGAAATTACGTGAAAAGTTACAAGGATGCAGTGAAATATCATACCTGTGACAGCTATCAGTTGTACTCCACTGCTTCTGACGTTCTCAACCACAGAGTAGAGAGTGAATGTATATTTAGTTCCAGCAGTGAGAAAAGGGACTGTGTGGTTCACTGGTCCATCTCTGTCTGGTGCTCTGATGTTTGTCTCTGATCCAATAAACTGGAGAACAAAGCTGGTGCTTTTGTTGATTTTATTCCACTGCAGAGTGATGCTGGTCTCATTTTGTGCCAATACCCTAAAAGGTTGAGGTTCTAAGACAGATTGTTACAATAGCAATACATTGTTTTATGTATTGCTATATATATGTAATTCCTTACATTGAAATGTACAATATTACCTGCACAATATGCCAGGTGGCATGCAGTTGGCTGTCGAAGTTTGTAGACATAGTATCCTTGACAAAGTTTGATCTGGATGGTGTGTGAGGTAAAAAGGCAGCAGGAACCCGACCAAGCATTACACACAGTGCGAGTTACAATTTGATTAAGCTGGACTGGATGAGCCTCAGTTATCCATAAGGGAACATGAGTTCCACATCTTTGTTCTGCTACACATTTCTCTGGAATCTGAGCGCTGGTCTGCCCCAAAAAAAAGCGATACCAACCACTCCAGACAATGTTTTGGTCACAGTGTAAGATTGAATTGTCTGTATTCTCTGTTGAACGCCATGCATCGTTCACCACAGTGTAGGTGGCACAGGGATCAAGACATTCAACAACTCCACTGGTGGTGATGCACTCTGTGCCCGAAGCACAACACTCACAGCCAGTACAAGAGGCTTGGTCATCATCAAGTACGACATGTGGGAAAAAATAAACATAAACATTATAAGTTTAAAGATACCAAATATTTTTGTTTTTAATTTATTTTATTTTGAGAGAATATGAGCAAAGGGGTTTTCCTGCACCCAAAAACAGATTAGGGGCTAAGTAAAATCATAATATCTTCCATAATTTATTATCACTAAATGCAATTCCATAGTCTGACAAGTACATGTTAAATCCAGTTGCAGACCATTTTTCTGCAGAGACTTGATAAGACTGATATTAAGATATGAAAGTTCTCACTATATTTCATTTTGAAACTGTTGCTCCTGTTAGGCTTAAGAAACTACAGTGCAAGTAAAACTCATTTTAAGAAATTTTATTACCAATTTCCCTTTGATGTCATTCAAAGGAGACTCATGTTGAATTGTTAAACAGCAGGTTTTAGAGTAAACTTACTGAGAAAATCATTCAACAAATTGTTTCTCAACCTTTGTTTACGAGCCTTTTAAATGTTTTTTAAGTTATTCTATAGCTGATAGGCCTTCTTCAATAAATAACCAACAGACTGCAGATACAACTAACAGATTTTTGGTGTGAATAAAGTTTTTTAATAAACTGTAAAGTCTTACCAGCAGCTGCAGAGACCAGTGAATTTGTTTGGAGAAAAACTGCCATCAGAACAGAAGCAAAATATGAAAACAGCTGATCAATACATTTTAAATTAGACATCTACATATAATATATTAAAAACAATTTGCTTAATGTACAAATAATAGGAGAGAAAACATTTTTATGTAACTTTAAGTGAGTCAAATCTGTTAGAGAAATCTCAGTGGGACTTCACTGATTTGTTAGACAAGATCATAGTTAAATCCAGGCGAACCTGTATTGTAAACACACCGCTTAAATCATGTAAAAGTTTAAACAAATCAGTCAGGCTATCATAAACAGTGCAAACAAATCTGGTTTGACCATGAACTTTGTAAAGATGCTGAAGTAGTCTCATTTTCCAATATTGGCTAAAAAAAAACATTTAGCGAGGAAGCTGACATAAAACAGCCAGACTATAGTTTGAAAATGAACTCAGAAACAAATAAAAAATTTAAAAATAAAATTTTTAGTGATAACTGAAGTGTTTTTTTTTTTAAATATATTGTTATATCGGGAGAAAAAAGGTGAAATTTTATAAACATATTCCAGCATCAATTGAAGAAAGTTATAGCTCAAAAACAAACTGGTCTACTGAATGGAAAATGACAATAGTAATTTTTTTAGATGAACAATAAAGGACTGCAAAGTTAATGTTATGCTACAAAAATTATAAATAATATTTGTAATTCTAATGTTCCTAAAAGTTGAGAAAAGGTTTGGACTCACAACTTCATTGCATTGAGGTGAGGTGCATTTTCATGTGCGCTACAAAGATGCACATGTACATTTTCATAGTGTATATGTGCTGTATGAAAGTGTACATAGTGCACATGTACATTTTCAACACATTACTTTGATTTGAACCTTTTCCTTGTGTTGCAGCTCTTCCTCAGTTTCCCACTGTAGAAAAAACTAAAAGAAAAAAAGACCTTAAGAAGTTAGAATAAGAAAAACAACAAACACAAACCTGAGAGCCCAAACAGGATGAGCCTGTAATCCATCAGTGAAAGCTTGAAATTAAATAAAGTATCAAGACAATATGTTGTACAAGCAGATGACGGCTTCAAGGTACACTTGGACAAAGTCTTGACATGCCCTGCATGTTTAAAGGTGCTACAGATGGGTGTGGCATTCATGGTAGAGATGCATCTCTTCCATGAAAGCCACATATGCATATACTTTCACATTCCAGGATGTGTGCCAGCAAAAGAATAATAAAGCAGACCAGTGTCATTTGAATTACTAGAGCTCAACATTTCTAGACTAAAACTGGTGTGATGGCCACGCAGTCAGTGACCCCGCCACACCAACACTTTTTCACTTTAAGTTTTCATAATCATATTACATCTACTGCAGCACAAAAGGTATGTCTTCTTTGTTTATATTTTCATTAGTTTGACAAAATTTAAGAAAACATTAGTTCCAAGTCTAGTGCACACAATATACAGTTAACTTCTGTATATTTAATTCTGTGAAGCATCTTTTTAATGTTGTTTTTTTCTGTTTTGGTAGAGCTACAGAGGAGTTCCTTCAGTTGGGCTGAGCTCATCACATCACATCGTATTACATCAGACTGGACCCAAATGTAATATATGCAAAGATGTACCTACTAGAATTTAGCATGGACGATTTTGGTATAAAATGTTGCCAACTAAAGCATATGAAACATTATTATCAAATGGAATAGGTTATAGGAACATTTGAGTTTCGGTTGCAAGTCTCACTTTAAAAATTGGGGATACAATAAGAGAAGTTGATAATAGCACTAACATCCTGTGGGATTTCCAGATCAAGCTTTCTAAATAAAGAGAAAAGATGGGCAGCCAACTGGAAACTGTGGCAGCAGTGATTAATGTAGGAATCTGAAGCAACAGCAACATAAAAAAGACACAACAATTTTAAAAAAATGCTTAGGGCTCAATGAGGAAACTGCAAAGTTTTGGAATGTCGAGGCTTTAGCCGTGCAGCTGAGACTGCCACCTCAAAACCAAAGAGAGAGACTTGATCAGGTTCCACCACCAACATCTGAGATCTCTTTAAGTACAGAACAGAACAACCGTCTAGAACCATCAAGTTCTAGAGAACCTATAGAAACCAAGCTTTAAGTATGGAGTCTATTTCACATCACAACTGTAACTGATGCTATAGATAACACTTTTCCTGAGAACTGGATCTGCCATAGATAACTTGGGAAAATGAAAGTAAAGAATCACCTTACACTGTGTAGATGGTATAAGAGCAAACAAGAATAATCCAGGGTGTGCGTAGTTCCATTTGCCTTTGTATATGTAAGCGTTGGACATTTACAAATTTCTGTGCAAAGAAGATAAAAATCTTTGCAATGCAAAGCAGAAAGTGTGAATGAAGCATCTTGTGAAAGAGCAAAAACAGTGCTGCAGTCTGGAACATAATATAGAAACAAGATGTTTCTGAGAATGTTTTTGTTTTTCACATGGAAAGTCGTTTCTGCCATGCAGGGGCGACGGCGGATCAGAGGATAGCAGTTTATGTATTTATCCTTTCTTTACTTGATCTTTAACCACTAGAGCAAAATATGAAATCTAGATCAAAACCTGCAACAACAGATGGATAAAATCCCTGAATAATTTTTTTTGTTTTTTAAAACGCTACAGTTTTTGTCTTTGTCGCCCCCTGTTGGGCTTGTTGGTGACTGATTTGTGGTTGTTTCTCCTTTCTCTGGTTTTAACTGATAATTCTGAGTAATATAAGTTAACACAGAGGAATCAAGAATGTTTTTGAAGTGGATCCAGGAAATACTCCGAGTGGTTTGTCCTCCATTTGTGCAGGTTTGTGTCGTTAAAATTTTCGTTTGTGTAGCTTTAGTTTCTGAGATTTCAAAAATTATTTTAGGTCATCCAGAGTTCACCATCCCTCCATTTTGCTCCAAAACAAACTAAAGAAGATTTTTTATCTTCAATAGCTTCAAAGTCAAAATACCAAAGATCAGGCACATCTATGGTGTGTATAATATTCCATATTACTACTTTTGTTCTTCAATAGCTTCCCCATTTTAGAATATTCTTTTTAATATTACAATTATTAAAAATATTGAGTAGGACTTAAAAATCACTAGAGAATGGTGCGTCTTGTGTATCAGCAGGAATTTTGTATCGGTCACAAGGCAAGACATCTAGTTACATTCATTTCTCAGGAGTGTTTGGAAATTTGTTGACAGTCCGTAAATGAACTCTGGAATACCTAAAAAATAAATAAATTAATATTTCATTAACCAAAGCTGCACAAAACGACAATTTAACGACACAAACAGATCTGAAACTGGTCGGATCGTATGACACCGGCCCTCTGGGGCCAATGAATGACCAGCATGTTTCATTTGTGTCTCTGTTATCTGATTCAAATGACTACCTCCTCTGCATGCTATCGTGTTACAATAAGTGCATTTATTCAAGACAGGTGTTTGGCAGAAGGGAAACACCTGAGGACCGGCTTTGAGAAACACTGGCTTAAGGTGAGTGATGGGTGGTAGTTGCACTCTTGAAGCAAAGTGCGCATATGGTTACCATTTCTACTTGTTATGGTGGTGAAGGTGTACTATATTTTAAATACATCAAAAGTAAACTGAAAACAAAAATGCAAGAAACGTGAGGAAAACAATGAATTAACTTTTTACTTTTAGGGTTCTCATTTTGAATTTTCTGTGGATTTCATTTTTAAATTTTTTTTGTCAATTATTCACACACTGTCACCGGTACTTCCATTATATTGTTACTCCTCCCTCCTCACTTTTACTCGAGGTTAAAGAATCAGGAAATGAAATGTTGCCCCAATAAAGAGGAAAAATAAACAAAAACATAAAATATAATTGAAAGATAGAAAGGCAGAGCTATGAGGAATGACGTCCAACAAAAGGCAAAATTATCAGCAAGTCTGATGAACTTCAGCGAGGGGAAGGATGTATAAGAAAATCATTACAGCAATCCTGGTAAATTGAACTGAGTCTGGTAAACAAAAAGTCAGACACCTAAACCACTAGAGAGAAAAATAGATTCACAAATGATATCAGATTATTTGGATAATCTCTTAGAAAATAATGTCTAAGTTAAATAAATGCTGCAGGAAACAATATATACAATTTAAGAGAACAAACAGAAGTAAATATTTCTACATAGAAACTGGGCCGATCCAAGATGTCATCGTTGATTTTCTTCATCGCTTATGGTTTAACGACGCAGACTTTCATGGAAAACTATGACAAACTTTATTTATATGTTATACCATAAAATGATTCTTTAATGTTTGATCTATTTCGACATATCCACGTGTTAATTTATTTCATTTCTCCAGTGTGTTTATTGTCACATAATGCAGCTGTGATTTGATCAGTTTACTTTAGCAGTCCTGGGCATGTCTGCATGCTTTTCTCATTCTCAGTGAAAACATCCATCTCTCCTCAATAACTCAGAGTAACATTTAGAGGAAACTCATTTTTCCTTTTCATTTAATTTTTCATTATCAGTACTTTATACTATTAGAGCTGGTGTATGTAACTTTTCTAAAACACGTTTCATACATATTTGATAAAACTGTCACTATGTCCTCACAGTGTGATATGAAAGATAATCTTTGGCAGGCCATCAAGTTTAGTAAAGGCCTGGTAACGAGAAATCCATTTGTTTCAGTTGTTTGAGCAACAAGGAGAGTAACTCTGAAGGACTCGGGTTGGAGATCCCTGACCTAATGCATAAAGTTATTAGTTAATAGCTACTTTTGAAGGACTTTATGTGAGTGTTGGTTTGATTCAACAGTTGTTTTTTTAATAGAGCTGGAGACACAGCCAAACTCTGTTTCCAATAATCAAATTAATTCAAAGAAGTCAAACTTTACAGCCAGTGTGGTTTTATTGCAGCTTGGTGGTTTCCTCTGGTATCTATGATGCTGCAGCTGAAATTTTTCATGATGTAAATTCAAACTTACACCACATGAAGCCAAGTACTGTCAGTACGGTACTCTGTTTGCATCAGACAAATACAGAACTTGATACTTGAATTGTACAGTTTCCATCAGAACGCTCGGCTCCAGAATAAAGACACAAAATAAAGCAACTCACCAGAGTCAGCTGTAAGTCTTGCTCCACTGCTTCTGACATTCTCAATCAAGAGAATTTATGTGAATTTAGTGCCAGGATTCAGGGGTGAAGCTGTGTAAGTTACTGATCCATCAGTGAATTTCTCTATGCCATTAAACCGGAGAACAAAGCTGGTACTGTTGTTGATTTATTTCTGAACAGAGAGAATAAGGTTTGGCTGGTGAAGATCCCTCTTGTGTCTTAGTGTGGTATTGAAGTTTTGTAAGTGTTGTCTTCTTTTTATAAAAAAACAAAACAAAACTAGTTTTTGTAAAAAGATATTAACCACCACAATGTTTTGTTTGGATTGAATGTTCAAACAACATTAAAATTCAACATTCAAATGTTTAAATGTCAAACATTCAACTTTGCGAGGTGGGTAAGGTAAGGTAATTTATTTATACAGCACATTTTCAGCAACAACTCAACTCAAAGTGCTTTACATTGATTAGAAAGAAATACAAACAAATAACAAATCAAAAGATTCTTGTTTTGATAATGTTGATTTTAGGTAATAGGGACAGTTTATATGAGCCCCAATCGATAGGATGCATTTCAAAAGGTTGAAGAGAGGAACTTTTTTTTTCCTATTTTCATCTAAATAAGTTCAGTTGATTCATATATTAAAGTAAATTCTTCCCAATACCTATTTACAACATTTGCTTCTCCCAATTACCATGACTATTTGTTGCATTTGCATGATTATAAAGCTCTATTTAAATGTTTCATAACCAGGGAAGCAACATGGAGTCACACGCCTAAATGTGTTCATACCATCACACACCAAGGATTGTTTTTCGTGTTTTTTCCAGCTTTTGCATGTAGATTTCAATGTTTCCCCTGAAAGATTTTTTTTTCAATACAAGTAAACAATTTATAGATCCCCAAAACCGTATTTAAAGGCAAAAAATAGAAGAATGCACAAATGATTTATGAAAATACAAAAAAATACTTAACTCAGTTCTTAATCAATATAAAAGAAATTAAAATATTACCCAAAGGAAAGTAATTTCTGTAAAGCAACATTACAAATGCAATTAGTACATAAAATAAAACATCCTGGGAAGGAAAGGAAACAACATTACAGATGAATTATCCAGAATTTGATTCCCCCGGTCATTTCATGGTTTGGAAGAAATGATTTTCAGTGTAAACTGTGGCGGCAGATTATATTCTCTGAGGATCTGGATTGAAAAATACATATATGAGTCAAAGGTTAAAAACGACACAAATACACATAAAATATAGATATTAGTTTACCTCTATCAAAGCGTCTTCCATCTCTGATTCTGTCAATGCTCTGAGAGACTCCAAGTTCAAAGTCAAACCTAAAACATATTCTGTTGACCAAAAAAATTAGACATGTATAATTCACAAAAATAATAAAACTATTAAATTTCAGATTATTAAAGAATAATGCAATAACTGTTTTCAAATTAAGTATGAACATTTGAAGCATCTACATTTTTATCTGATACAAAAGTAATGATCCTAATAGAAAAAAAGAAAAACTAAAGAATTGTATTTACTCACTTGGACCTGTTTGTTGGTCAATGAAGTTTTGTTGACATGAAAAGAAAAAAAACATTGGGTTGATTTTATTTTCTATCATTCATTTTTTGTAATTAACATAATAAATAAAGGTGACTTGGGTCAAATTTTATATCTTTAAAGATAATTCACAAAGCACTATGGTTAAATTCAAGCCATTAAACAACTGAACCTTTGAGTCTATGGGAAAAATAATGTAACTTAATGCACACCGTGAAGTATGCAACAGATTTGAGTATTTTACCAGTAGATGCAAGAATGCTGACTCCACTGCTTCTGGTGTTTTCAAACACAGAGAAAAGAGTGAATGTGTAGTTTGTCCGAGCCGTCAGAGATGTGACTGTATGTTTCACTGGTCCATCTCCGTCTGGTGCACTGATGTTTGTCTCTGTGCCGTTAAACTGCAGAGCAAAGTTGATGTTGTTGCCGACTTTATTCCACCGCAGGGTGATGCTGGTCTCATCTTGTTTTGATGCTCTGAAGCCTTTTGCATTTTCTGGCACTGAAACAAACAAACAAAAAAAACAAGACTGTGACATATGTGTCCCACAATCTCTTACAGCAAATAATTCTACTAGGAACAAATCCAAATCAAGCAACAATATTTGATCAATTTCTAATATAAGAAGCCAAATCTGGTGAAGTAAACCAAAAGGTTAGGGTTAGTTAAAGGTTAGAGAGCGGCTGATTTGATGTCTGCATGAAGAGTATTTAAGGTTTTATTGGTTCTACCGACCTTTATTTCAAAAATGATTAGACAGGAAAGCGGGTAACGAGAGAAGAGGAAAACATGCAGCGAAGGTTCATCCATTCTTAATTTGAAAAGGGTTAAAATGTACTTTTAAACCTTGCACAAATTGATGTTCTGGCTCATAGTGTTATTTTCTCATTGCATGTGGCATAGATTAGACAATGTATAAAAAAGAAGACCCCCACTAGTGTTTTCATTCCTTAGACCTTGTGCCCATAAGATAAGCTATTTAGTCACAGCATCTTGGTTCCAGGATTTAATTTAAAGTTGCATATTTTAAAACACAACTCTTAGGATGTGGAGAGAAAATGTCATTCTACACATCTACAAACATCCTACATAATATGAAAAAATAGATTACTTTTGTTGTCTCGCAAATCAAAAACATCTTACCTTTCATCATTAATGGAAGACAATAAAAATTGTCTGAGGTTTTGTTTCAGTACAGCTGACAAACTTACACCATTAATACTTCCAGTTAACACTGACTCTGGATAAATCTTGTAGCTATAGAAATAGTCCAAACATTTCATTTATCTCAGGGTAAAGCATGTTTCCCATAAATTTGAGGTTTGGGTTTATTTTTAAGTGTGACGCTTGCAGGTTGGATCATTGATGGTTCAATCTGATTTTGAAAATTTTGAGGAAAAATTGTTTGCCTTGTGGTTAATATATTAATGTACTTTATATTCATACCAGTGACAGCAGTAAGTTGTACTCCACTGCTTCTGACGTTCTCAAACACAGAGAAAAGAGTGAATGTATATTTGGTTCCAGCGGCGAGAGATGAGACGGTGTAGTTTACTGGTCCATCTCCATCTGGTGATCTGATGAACGACTCAAAGCCGTTAATTTGGAGAATAAAGTTGGTGCTGTTGTTGACTTTACTCCACAGCAGAGTGATGCTTCTCTCATTTTGTTCTGATGCTCTCAAGCCCTTTGCATTTTTAGGTGCTGATGAGTTAAAAAGGTCAATTAATTACTTCAAAACATTTATACTGAAAAAGGTAGCATTTAAAAACAGTATTGGGATGATGTAACAAACCCAATGTGCACCTTTAAATCTCAGATCTAGCATGTTTAAAAAAAGGTTCATTTGGAAAAAAAAAATTCCTAGTAATCAAGTGTTTCATTTATCTTACCAGTAGCTGCTGCAATGCTGATTCCACTGCTGGTCAAATTTTCAAGCACCGAAATTAGAGTGAATGTATATCTGGTTCCAGCAGTCAGAGATGAGACAGTGTGAGTTACTGGTCCATATCCATATGGTGCTGTGATGTTAGTCTCTGTGCCGTTAAACTGGAGAACAAAGCTGGTGTAGTCGTTGATTTTATTCCACTGCAGAGTGATGCTGGTCTCATCTTGTGACAATGGTATGAAACTTTGTGCATTTGAAGGAGCTGGGAGAATGAAAACAGCAGTGAATTGATAAAAGAAAATATCTGTTTCATAACTTCTAATATAATATCTAAATTAACTTATTAAAATAAGAAGTTATTACAGTAAAAAATTGTCCTAACTATTTATAAACTGTATAAATTAAAACCCCAGATACTTGCTTGTCCACTCAAGAGAAGATGTTTCATAGTCCCTTTGCTCTGTTCTCTCATCAAATATTTAAACTCTCACTTAAAACTAACCAGAGGGAAGAATTTAAATTCATAATTCACTTAGATTTTTATTTTCAAACAGCTGTGTTGTTGCATACTTAGAACTGGGCCATGACATAATTAAAAGTGCAATAAACTTAAATATGAAAGATTAAAAATGGGTGATTAATTTAGTGACATATTTATCTTCTTCATATGTGATATAAGATTTTTGTGCTTTGAACAGAATTTCTCTAACACTTGAAAAATGTTCTGATATTCACACAAAATATGATTTATATTTGATCTTTGTTTCTTGATTTAAAATGGTGAAAGAATATGATCTCAACAAGAATCAGCCAGGAGAATATTTTGATATATCGATTCTCGCTCTGTTTTTACTAAGTGATTTTACCAAACTGCCTGCAACTATTTAAATACCAGATTATTGGTAGAATTCCTCGTATCTCAACACAAACATTAAGGTGCAAGAGATGAAAAATTGAAAGTTGAAGCTTTATATAATAGAATCCAATATCTTACCAGTGACAGCAGTAAGTTGTACTCCACTGCTTCTGACGTTCTCAAACACAGAGTAGAGAGTGAATGTGTATGTGGTTCCACCAGTGAGAGATGACACTGTGTAGGTCACTGGTCCATCTCCATCTGGTGCTGTGATGAATGTCTCTGATCCATTAAACTGGAGAACGTAGCTGGTGCTGTTGTTGATTTTATTCCACTGCAGAGTGATGCTGGTCTCATTGTGCCCTGACTTCGTAAATCCTTCTGCATTTCGAGGAGCTGATTTTTTTTTTTTTTAAAAAGGAGATGTTCAGTTCAGGTTTTGCAGTTTATATGTATGTCTGTGAGTAGCCAGTATCTTAATTGTAGCTTACAAAAAAAGCATATCTGGGTCAATTATTCAAGCAAAGAACAAAAGAAACATGGGATGGATCAGTGTCATGTACTTTTCAAACATTATTGATCATTTTATTGCTTCTTTTGTTTTTACTACTAATTGAAAACAAGATTACTCTGATTGTTCAGGGTACTGATGAAACAATGTGAACTTCTCTAAGCATTTGCTCCTGGGTTTCTGTTGAAACTGATGATTAACGGAGAAGATGGTCATAGTTTGGAATCTATAAGTTTTGTCTCAGTACATGTACATACACAAAAAGCACTAAAAGGAGGAGAAATCAATTATTTTTTACAGTCTGTAGCTTTTCAGAGATGATAAGTTTATTTTTCTTAAAATACCAAAGGAGATGATAGTTTGAAAAGTTACTTTGTGCAGTGAAATATCTCACCAGTGACAGCTGTCAGTTGCTGTACACTGTTTCTCACATTTCCAAACACAAAAAACAGAGTGAATGTATATTTGGTTCCAGCAGTCAGAGATGAGACCATGTAGTTCACTGGTCCATCTCCATCTGGTGCACTGATGTTTGTCTCTGTGCCGTTAAACTGGAGAACAAAGCTGATGTTGTTGTTGATTTTATTCCACTGCAGAGTGATGCTGGTCTCACTTTGTGTCAATACTCTGAAGGGTTGAGGTTCTAACACACATAAATACACCATGCATTAGAAATATAAATCCAGAATATTTCTAAATTCCTCTCAGGTAATTGAAATGTATAATATTACCTGCACAATATGCCAGCCAACATGTAGACGGCTGTTGAAGTTTGTAGATGTAGTATCCATAACAAAGTTTGATCTGGATGGTGTGTGTGGGAAAACGGCAGCAGGAACTCGACCAAGCGTTACACACAGTTCGAGTTACAGTTTCATTAAGCTGGACTGGATGAGCCCCATTTATCCACAAAGGAGCATGAGTTCCACATCTTTGTTCTGCTACACATTTCTCTGGTATCTGAGCGCTGCTTTGCCCCAAATAAAAGCGATACCAACCACTCCAGGCAATGAATCGGTCACAGTGTAAGACTGAATTGTCTGTATTCTCTGTTGAACGCCATGCATCGTTCAGTACAGTGTAGTTCACACAGGGGTCAAGACATTCAACAACTCCATTGGTGGTGATGCACTCTGTGCCCAAAGCACAACATCGACAGCCGGTACAAGGACCTTCAAGTAGAATATGTGGAATAAAACAAAGGAAAAGCATTATAAGTGTAAAGACACAAAATACTTTTGTTTTTATTTAGACTTACAGTAAGATTTTGAGTTAATCTGACATCCTATTTAATGAGAATATCACTAAAAGTGCAGAGAAAATCATTTTTTTAAAAATCACACCTCACTATGAGTTCAATTAACATTATCTCTGAGTCTTGGTTTTAGCAGATTTTTAGTAGGCATGGTACAACTAATAAATAAAATAATATGTTTTAAATTCTTTTCATCAGTAAATCTACCCGTGACAGCCTGACAGCTTCTTTCCATTTACAGTCGCTCTCTCTCTATGGACTAAACAAATCCTATTCAGGACAAAGAACAGAAACATCTCACACTCCATTTATGTTTGAAAATGTTGATCCAATTAGGAAATTTAATGACCACTAAACATGTTTCTTTACTTTGTTGACCTTCAAGTGAGATTTTTTAATTAGTTGCTACATTACTGATTTTTGAGTAATTTCTTAAGTCTTTAACAGTCTTCAAACAGAAAACTATGTTATGGGAGAGAGAAGACATGTAGCAATGGTGACCAGACCAGGACTTGAACCTGTGAAGGTTGTGCTTTATCCCTGCACTATTGAGTCTTTTAAATTTTTATATAGCAGAAGGGTCTTGTTCAATGACCAACCAACGGACTGCAGACTATTATTTTAGTGTTAAATAGTCTACCTTTTTTAATAAAATGTAAACTCTTACCAGTAGCTGCTGTAATACTGACTCCACTGCTCCTGACGTTGTCAAGAACAGAGAACAGAGTGAATGTGTAGCTTGTTCCAGGAGTGAGAGATGAGACAGTGTAGGTCACTGGTCCATCTGCAACTGGTGCACTGATGAATGTCTCCACACCATTAAACAGGAGAACAAAGCTGGTGCTGTTGTTGATTTTATTCCACTGCAGAGTGATGCTGATATCATCTTGTCCTGACTTTGTAAATCCTTCTGCATTTCGAGGAGCTGTTTTTTAAAAAAGGATATGTTCAGTAAAGGTTTTTGCAGTTGGGATTTCATGTATATCTGTGAGTAGCCAGTATCTTAATTGTAGCTTCCAAAAAGAAAAACATGTCTGGGTCAATTACTCAAGCAAAGAACAAAAGGAATATAGGCTAGATCAGTGTCATGTACTTTTTAAACATGATTGATCCTTCCATTGCTTTTCACTTTCAAAACCACATTATGTTGCTTCAAACCATCTATACAATGTGTCCAGATATTGACATAATCAAAATCAAATAAACATAGTGGCACCGGAATCATAATAATCAGAATTTGAACCCCGTAAACTCACTGCTTTAGACTTTCCTGTGTCTAAAGGTGAGCTTAGTCATCTGAAGAGAAGAAAGTGTGATTACATTGTTAATACTGGGATCTCGTTGTTGTAGTGATAGTTTATATTTCACAAGCACTGGTCAAACCATAGAAAGACTAAATATTTATGATAAACTCCTTAACAAGCAGCTGAACGCCTGATTTCTGTTGCATTTTCTAGAGGGTGAGTGTTGAGGGGTTTTTACTACTAATTGAAAACTAGAATACTCTGATTGTTCAGGGTACTGATGAAACAATGTGAACTTCTCATAAGCAATCATAAGCATTTGCTCCTGGGTTTCTAGTGGAACTGATGAGTAACGGAGAAGTTGGTCATAGTTTGGAATCTATAAGTTTTGTCTCAGTATGAAGTACATACACAAAAAGCACTAAAAGGAGGAGAAATCAATCAGTTGTTTTACAGTTTGTAGCCTTTCAGAGATGATAAGTTTATTTTTCTTAAAATACCAAAGGAGATGATAGTTTGAAAAGTTACTTTGTGCAGTGAAATATCTCACCAGTGACAGCTGTCAGTTGGTCTACAGTGTTTCTCACATTTCCAAACACAGAAAACAGAGTGAATGTATATTTGGTTCCAGCAGTCAGAGATGAGACCGTGTAGTTCACTGGTCCATCTCCATCTGGTGCACTGATGTTTGTCTCTGTGCCGTTAAACTGGAGAACAAAGCTGATGTTGTTGTTGATTTTATTCCACTGCAGAGTGATGCTGGTCTCACTCTGTGTCAATACTCTGAAGGGTTGAGGTTCTAACACACACAGACACAATATATATTCCAGTAAAAAGAATAAATTTTACTAAACATAAAACTTTAGTTTCAAATTGGGTTAGGTTAAGAATATAACTACAATTTATAAAAATGACTTAATTGCAGTTTGTGTGTGTCCATCTTGCATATACATATTAAAATTGCCTTGTTGTAAAAGGAAAATTGATCATTCTGAATTCTTTATGAATTATTACAATAAAACAGTACCTGTACAATATGCCAGGTGGCATGTAGATGGCTGTTGAAGTTTGTAGACGTAGAATCCATAACAAAGTTTGATCTGGATGGTGTGTGGGAGAAAGGCAGCAGGAACCCGACGAAGCACTACACACAGTTCGAGTTACAGTTTCATTAAGCTGGACTGGATGAGTCCCATTTATCCACAAAGGAGCATTGGTCCCACATCTGTTTTCTGCCACACATTTCTCTGGTATCTGAGCGCTGCTTTGCCCCAAATAAAAGCGATACCAACCACTCCAGGCAATGTATCGGTCACAGTGTAAGATTGAATTGTCTGTATTCTCTGTTGAACGCCATGTATCGTTCAGCACAGTGTAGTTCTCACAGGCATCAAGACATTCAACAACTCCACTGGTGGTGATGCACTCTGTGCCCAAAGCACAACATCGACAGCCGGTACAAGGACCTTCAAGTAGAATATGTGGAATAAAACAGAGGAAAAGCATTATAAGTGTAAAGACACAAAATACTTTTGTTTTTATTTCGACTTACAGTAAGATTTTGAGTTAATCTGACATCCTATTTAATGAGAATATCACTAAAAGTACAGTCAGAGAAAATCATTTTTAAAAAAATCACACTCACTATGAGTTCAATAAACATTATCTCTGAGTCTGAGGCATGGTACAACTAATAAATAAAATAATATGTTTTAAATTCTTTTCATCAGTAAATCTATCCATGACAACCTGACAGCTTCTTTCCATTTACAGTCGCTCTTTCTCATGGACTAAACAAATCCTATTCAGGACAAAGAACAGAAACATCTCACACTCCATTTATGTTTGAAAATGTTGATCCAATTAGGAAATTTAATGACTTTCAAGTGAGACTCTTTAATTAGTTGCTACATTACTGATTTTTGAGTAATTTCTTAAGTCTTTAAGAAATTACTCAAAAACAGTCCAATAGTGATGTTCCATAACATCATCAAACAGAAAACTATGTTATGGGAGAGAGAAGACATGTGGCAATGGTGACCAGACCAGGACTTGAACCTGTGAAGGTTGTGCTTTATCCCTGCACTATTGAGTCTTTTAAATTTTTATATAGCAGAAGGGTCTTGTTTATGATTAACCAATGGACTGCAGACTATTATTTTGGTGTTAAAAAGTCTACCTTTCTTAATAAAATGTAAACTCTTACCAGTAGCTGCTGTAATACTGACTCCACTGCTCCTGACGTTGTCAAGAACAGAGAACAGAGTGAATGTGTAGTTTGTTTCAGGAGTGAGAGATGAGACAGTGTGGTTCACTGGTCCATCTGCAACTGGTGCACTGATGAATGTCTCCACACCATTAAACAGGAGAACAAAGCTGGTGTTGATGTTGACTTTATTCCACTGCAGAGTGATGCTGGTCTCATGTTGTGCTGAAGCTGTAAAGCCGGCTGCATTTGGTGGAACTAAGGTAAAAGCAATATAAATAGTAACAGGGATATTAAACAGGAATAAAGTATTGTGGGGGGACAGAGGGGTTATATTTTTATTTGTTAAATAAAAGCATAGCCTTCAAAAATATTTATTAGTTTTGTGTTGCATAATGTAGATTTTCCCCTTAAGAAGAAATAGATCATTTTCCCAGATTTAAGAAATGCTAGAAATATCTCATTATAATGAACAACTCCTGACAAGCTAGCTGATGAAAATGCAGGTGATGCAGTGTGCTTAGATACTGTATTTGAGGGAAATGACTACACCACATCATTTTACTGTTGTGTAAAATGATGGATTATTTATGGCTGTTGAAAAAGCAAAAATGAGATACATTACTTGGTTTGTAGCAGACAAATGGTAAGCTCAGGCTGCAGTTTTCATCTGACCATCTTCCCGCGTCACTAAATGATCCTGCAACACACTGATCACCAGAGGGCTCGTTGGGCTCGCCAGCCGCCCAGTGTCGAAACAGAGAGGTGCTTCCATCGGACCACAGCTTTTCCCGATACAGTCCAATCCAAACAGTGTTGGCACCTATTAGGGTTCTGATGATTTCATTTTCTGTCTGATTTCGTACACTGGCAAGGAAAAACAATGTTAATAAACAATCACATTAAATACAGTACACAAGAAAAAATAATCTGTCTTGGGTTTCCTTTGATTTTTCTGTTTCAAAACCAAAAACAATTATTGTGTTTTTTGTTTGTTTGTCTTTTTTAGTTTTTAGTACCTAAATGACAAAAACAAACAAACAAACAGAAAAACCTTAAAATTGAAAAGTTTAAATCCACAGTGTTTGGTTTTTGCTTCAGCTATTAAATCTAAACTAAAATATGCAGTTATTCATAAATATGTAAAATAGAAAATAAAAGAAGACACAATATTAGCTGGTTTCTTGGGATGTTATATCAAATTTAATCATATTAGGCTGATGAGCTCATGAACAGATGCGTCGACTCTCTTCAAACAGTTCAAAGGTGATCAAGGGGGACTGGAATCCACTGTCTAACACATAAACTCACACAAGAAGCAGCATTTATTGTTAATTAGTTTTTCGTTATAATAATACAATCTGGGCTTCCTCATGTTCACTTGGATTCCTTTTGGTAGAATTTATACTGGGCCAAATTAGCCAACAGAAGAAAATGTGAACGATGATGTTGATTATCTACACTGTTTTAAAATTGTCATCTGTCTGTAATTTTAGCAATGACAGCGTAGAAAGTGAACGAAGCTGTTCATTCCGTGTTGGTCACACTTCCTAATACTGAATGAACATGAACAGCCATCTTGTTTTGCTAGACTCTTGTCTCTTCACAATGCATGATGGCTGTTTACAACAGAGGCAATTTCCGGTAAGCTTCATAGCATTGAACTGGCGCACCACATATGTCCCTTACAAAGATTAGCAATAGGGTGAAAGATAAAAAACTTCAAAAGAACTCACACCTCCATGGAGATGAAAGTCATAGGAGGCAGGCAGAGTTTAAAGGAATAAACTAGTTGAAGGCATTAGCCCTCAGTAAAACTGATCAGACAGTAAATGTGACAAGGCCGGAATACAACAATCAGAAATCCTGAGGTTGTGATTCAAATCATTGACTTCAAGGAAATCAATATGCATATGTAAATGGGCAGCCCTCTTTCCAACTACACCATGCAATACCACACAGCCTAAACTGAAATATAATATTGAAAATTTACAAGTAGTGAGGAATTCAACAGTGATGCTTTCATTTGTCCTTTTTCAACAGAAAAGCACAAATGAAAATAACTTCAGGGATTAGAAAAGTGACCGGTTGGTTGTTTTCTATAGGAGGATGTGTTCATTAAATTAAAACCAGATTAGTTTAATAAACAGGCTGTAGAAAAAACTAGTGGAAAAAAATATATTTATAAGAATGACTGAAAAACAAAAAGAGGGAGCAAAGTATGACAAAAGATTTACCAACAACTACTCAACAACAGGAAGAAAATGGAAAATAATTGACAGAAAGAAACAGTGGATTGTTCTTAGTGCCAAAATAAACCAGGACCAAGTGTCTACAAAGAGAAAGAATAAAATTAACTTCTTAAAGTACAAGACAAAAACCCAGAGGAAAAAGACTGGATCATGAACTACAATCCCTCTCTATATATTATTATGCATTAATTCAGTACTTGCTTTAAGATACCATCTAGTTATTTACCTGGCCAGATCAACATAATTCGCACGGCAGAATCTCTGAGCTTCTGTCCAGTTTAGTGAAATGTTACTCAAAACAAAGGATGATGATCCACCCACTGTACCTGTAAACATGTAGACAAAAATTAGAATAATAAAACTAAAAGAAAATAATAATAATAATCTTTATATATATATATATATATATATATATATATATATATATATATATATATATATATATATATATATATATATATATATTAGATAGATAGATGTAGATATAGATATATATATATATAAAACTCTTACCATATAGCACACAAATTGCATTGTTTCTGTGCACCCAATGTCATCCCATTGGCCAAGAGAGGAATCACTGGAACCGTAAATTCTAACACAATGCTGTTGTCCAAAATAATCATCGGGTTGGGTGGGTTGCCAGTTCCTAAATGAATATTCTCCAGGTCCGTAGAAGCTGCTGTCATTTAGGGACCATTTCCAGCTGTTTAATGTGTCATCATAAAGACCGATCCATGCCTTGCCTAAATAAATAAAATAAAGTTTATTACATTAAAAAGCTTCAGTGAAGCATGGTTATATTCATATGATAAAACTTTCACCAAAATGAAAACATAAGAGAAGGTAGTTTTATAGCACATTTTCAGCAACAAGATAATTCAAAGTGCTAGAAATGTGGTGTTTGTGACTGTCTTGTGTTGTTCACCCATTTTCAAATCAAAAACCCACCTGTATAACTGAAGGTGGTATTTAGAAAACCATCAACATTAGCTGTGCTTTCAATAGTGGCCAGATCAGTGTAGTTCCGTCTGCAGACGCTCTGAGCTTCTGTCCATGTGAGCGAAGTGTTCACAAAGTAGTACTGACGGCTTTGGGCGCAGGCAACACTGAGCAGGGCGCCTGAAATAAAACATTTAAACTTTAACAGCATTGCATGACAGGAATTGCATTCATCTTATTTATTTATTCCAAGCGTTCTTTCTGTGGAAAATGTGAGCAAAAATAGTGATTAAAAGCATTTGATTATTGTTAGTCTATCCAAATGACAAGATGTGGAGAGTTCAGCGAGAGTCACTGTCATTGTTGACATTCACGTCTACAATTTGTTTGTCCTGAAAACTTTCTAGAATTTGTTCTAATGCAATATCCATATTTGTGTAGTTTGAAATGATTTATATTTATTGAACTTAGTAAACATGAAGAAACCACAAGGGCACATAACTTGGAAGCTATTGAAGAAAACATGAAATAATTTAAAATATTGAATATGACTTAAAGATTCAATAGAGAATAGTGTCAGTTTGTCACAAAGCATTACATTTATTTAAACTTGTTTGTCAGGAGTGTTCGGTTCCCTAAGTGAACCTCTGAGCGCTTGAGGAGAGAGCAGCAAATTAATGCCTGAAGAAAATACAAGGAAGAAATATAAGCATTTTGAAGACATTAGTATTAAAAGGCCAATATTTGTGTAATATCTAATAAACACTTTGATCAGACATGACCTACTTCAACACTTATTAATGTCAAAGAGAACAGGCATCAGCAACACTGATCAATGACAAAGACCAATGAATGGACTAACAGGATGAACCAATCAGAGAAGTTAAAGACATTCAGACAACTACATCAACCAACAACGGGGGTCAGTGGCATCAAAGAACAACTGCAAAGGGTTCACTGCTTTACTGAAGATGAATTGACAAGATGACAGTGAATAATAACCATGACAAAGCTAGACTTAAGATATGCAACATGTAAATATGCAACAACTAACAAATGCATCACCTAAATATGCAACATCTATAACCAACATCAACATATTCATAAAGCACTAAGACCGTAGACATCAACCAAAGACACATAGCAATGACACAGACCAACAACATCTACACATATGGAGCTCCATAGTAAGTTCCTCTCTGTCTCAGTTTCCCATTGTAAAAAAATAACTAAAAGACAAAAGATTATTAGAAGCCAGAAGATACCAGACACAAACCTGTGAGCCCAAACAGCATGAGCCTGAAATCCATCAGTAAAAGCTTGAGAAAAAATGAAGTATCCAGATAATTTCTTCTAAATACAAACACTATGAATGCATTTCACAACTTATAGAAGCTAACAACCTACAAGCTGCAAAGCACACGTTAATAAAATCTTGATAAGTACTGCATGTTTATAGGTATTTGAGGTGAGTGAGGCAATCAATTCCCAGCATCTGATGGTACTGGAATGTGGACAAGCATGGTTTTAAAACAACAGTTGTCAATCAAAGTGAATTGCTATGAATCAGAGTTCATAGTTTAAGGCTTTTTTTCAATCATGTTATTTAGAAGCTTAGAAAATAGTTAAAAAGAGTTACAAAGTTACAAAGTATATAGTTAAAATTAGTATAAAATAACAGAGAAAGGTAATGACGCTAACATGCATTGAACAATTAAGTCTAATGTAATAAGGTAATCAACTTGGAAAAGCAAATTTAATAATGATTTAAACATAGAAAGAATTAGATGAATATTGTCTTAACACTAAAGTATTTCTTAAAATCCAAATAAATTATAGTTTTTCCACAATAAAGCTCTGTTAAATGTAAAAGAAAGAAAACTATAGTGAAACAGAAAACAGACACATTGACAAACAAAACATAAAATTTTTATATTAAGCTATAAATCATCATCAATTTTATGAACAAGCAAGCTGTCAAATCTGGTCAGATTATCTCAACATAGATCTGAGTTTAGCCAGCATATCCTTGTTTTTCACATTGGACTTTGAGACAAACTACATTCTTCACATAAACAAACAAAATATTTTTCGCCTGTGAAAAAAATTTCCGTAAAGGCACAGGTGTAATCTAAGAGGTCATCAAAAAGTGGTCTCTAGTACTACAACACTATTGGTTTGTCCATCTCCAGACCCACAGGACCAGAGCTGTAGCACTAATACACCTGAATGAAACGCTTAATGACCTCCTCAGCAAGTACCACTGGCTATTCATTATTAATATTTTTGCAGATCAGCCTCCCTGGAGGACATACGTCATAGTCCATATAGGATTTCACCCATAAAATTGTTTTGGAGCAAAACAGTCAAAATGTGCAAAAGTCATTAAATCATTTTTTTGTATTTTTAAAACAAAGGTAGGTATACAATTAGAAATAGACATTTACATACAATGTATTAAAAATATTTTTTTAATGCCAGAACAATGAAAGAGAAATAGTTTTTTTAGTTGTCTTCAAGTTATCTAAGATTACTGTAATGTTAAACTATTATAGAAAGCCCAGCTGAGGACGCGTTACAACTTCAACATTTGTAAACCAATGTTAGTGTTATAAGAAGGAAAACCAGTGGATGTATTTTAAACTCTACTTAATTAAGTGACATCCTGGAAAAATGGAAACAAGTCGATCAAAATCAGAGGAACAGAATAAACAAATCTGGTTCATTTGGTAAAATTTCCAGATACCTGAAATTTCTAATCACATCTTCAGTTTATTCACTCAATTTAACAGACACATTTCATAATCAACTTACAAACACATTGTCTTATCACACTTAACATAAATCATAACTGCAAAAAAATTGAGTGAATCAGGTCTCTGAAGAAGCTCATAAAAGTTTCTTCAGTGCACCTGCACATTTTTAACACAGAACTTGATTTTAACTTTTGTCTTACATTTTCTCTCTGTCTCAGTTTCCCATTGTAAAAAAAAACTAAAAGATAAAAGATTATTAGAAGCCAGAAGATACCAGACACAAACCTGTGAGCCCAAACAGCATGAGCCTGAAATCCATCAGTAAAAGCTTGAGAAAAAATGAAGTATCCAGATAATTTCTTCTAAATACAAACACTATGAATGCATTTCACAACTTATAGAAGCTAACAACCTACAAGCTGCAAAGCACACGTTAATAAAATCTTGATAAGTGCTGCATGTTTATAGGTATTTGAGGTGAGTGAGGCAATCAATTCCCAGCATCTTATGGTACTGGAATGTGGACAAGCATGGTTTTAAAACGACAGTTGTCAGGCAACAAAGCAGGGAAGTGTCATTTGATGCACCAGTGCTTAACACCAGAGTTCTTGGAACTTCATTTTGCATGAAGGCTTTTTTTTAATCAAAGGTCTATTGGCAATATTATAATATGTGAGACTAAAAAGTCATATAAGCAGGTAGACAGAGGAGACAAAGGAGATTGTACTCTGAGTGTTTTCACTCAATGTCAAACGTCTGGTAAATGTCAGAGTCCAATCATCTAGAAATACTCAGATTATTTTGCAGCTTTCTGGGAGTATCAGAGGTGAACAAGAAACCTAGTGCAAAATTGGTAAAATACTTAAATCCGTGGTGTGAGAACAATCTTGAAGAAAAAATAAATTGGGCCATTATAAATTGTAGAAAAGACAAAAAAAGGTCAAACATTTTTATCATGAGAAAAATGTAAATATCTTGGTGTCAAACTGGATTAGAGGCTATATTGGTGGGCTCATCTGCCACTACAAAGCAAGTGTGCCAATCTTGAGCATGTTGGAGCAGAAATATGCTTCAAAGACAAATATGATAATAAGAACATCTCTTGAAATAAATCCACAGACCTCTTTTTGTCACAAGATATAATTTGCCAAAATAATGTCTGGTGAAGCTGTTTCATTTGTTCCAGTGAAATCGTTGAAAGATTCAAACAGAAAGCTAAAGAAGCTATTTAGAAGCTCAGAAAATCTATAGAAAATTAGTATAAAATAATAGAGAAAAGTAATAACACTAACATGCACTAAACAATTAAGTCTAATGTAACCAGATAATCAATGTGGAACAGCAAATTTAATAATGATTTAAACATAGAAAGAATCAGATGAGTATTGTCTTAATGATGTATCTCTGAAAATCCAAGAATTGCTTTTCCTCAATAAACTCTGTAAAATGTAAAAGAAAGAAAACTATACAGAAAACAGATATTTTAAAGACAAAAATATATATATTAAGCTTTAAATCATCATCAATTTTATGAACAAGCAAGCTGGCATAGTCAGAGTCAAATCTGGTCAGATTATCTCAACAGAGATCTGAGTTTAGCCAGCATATTCTTGTTTTTTGCATTGGACTTTGAGACAAACTACATTCTTCACATAAACAAACAAAATATTTTTCACCTGTGAAAAAAAATTTCCGTAAAGGCACAGGTGTAATCTAAGAGGTCATCAAAAAGTGGTCTCTAGTACTACAACACTATTGGTTTGTCCGTCTCCAGACCCACAGGGCCAGAGCTGTAGCACTAATACACCTGAATGAAACGCTTAATGACCTCCTCAGCAAGTACCACTGGCTATTCATTATTAATATTTTTGCAGATCAGCCTCCCTGGAGGACATACGTCATAGTCCATATAGGATTTCACCCATAAAATTGTTTTGGTGCAAAACTACTAAAAATTCAAAATGTGCAAAAAACATGAAAGCATATTTTTTAAAATTATTTGAAACAAAGTTAAAAAGGTATACAATTTTAACTAGATACTTAAATACAATGTATTCAAATTATTTTTTCTTTAATGCTAGAACAACGTGTTTTGTAGTTGTCTTCAAGTTATCTAAGATTACTGTAATATTAAACTATTAGAGAAACCAGATGAGGGTGCTTTATGACTTTAACATTTGTAAACTAATGTTAGAGTTATGAGGAGGTAAACCAGTGGATGTATTTTAAGCATTCTACTTACTTAATCACATCCTGGAAAAATGGAATCAGAATCACAGAATAAACAAACCTGGTTCATCTGGTAAAATTTCCAGATGCCTGAATCACATATTCAGTTTATTCTTTCAGTTTAAGAGACATATTCAATAATCAACTTACCAACACATTGTCTTATCACATTTGATACATCAGTATTTAACAACACCAGAAATCAACGAAATTCATTTTGCATTAAGGCTTTTAACTTATCAAACATCTATTGCCAATATTATAATTTGTGAGACTAAAAAAATCATGTGGAAAAAAGCCCATAGAGGCACAGGCATAATCTAAAAGGCAGATAATCAATCAATACTTGATCATATTTATGTGTCTGTCGCTTTAATAAAAGTCTCTGGCAAAGCTAAGCATGGAATGAGGCAGATCTTCACGACAAGATCTGAATCTAATAAGGCACAGAAACACAAAGATAAACACATTTTGCACATTTGGTTATGCTGTTTCTAAATCTGTCATCAGTTAAGATTTCTGATAAACTGTTTGTGACGCATTACTTCTAAGAACCAGAGGAAAGGGATGAGTTACAGGAAATATTTGTTTTAAAAACGGTTTCTGAGAATAGCTCCAGCATGCATGTCAAATAGTTTTAAAGAACCTGGCTGTCACATATATTGAGATCCAATTTTTGGTTGTCACTGTCAGAACCAAAACTGAACTTGGTGTCGCTGGAACTTGTGATAAATACCTACACCGCCACCTGGTGGTGGGAGATCAGACTAACATATTCACACAATGGCCAGTGGAGCAAAATGGAGTCACACTAACTTTAGTTTGCTTCTTCACACTTTTACTTTGTGCATATCACCACATACCAAAGTTTTTTTATTGTTTGTTCAAGCTTCTGCATCTAGCTTTCAGTATTTTGGCTTACATTGTTTTTTCAATAAAAAGTAACCAATTCATTGATCCCTAAAACTGTATTTAGAGGCAACGCAATCATAGAAGAAAAGTACGATAATGATTAATGAAAATACAAAAAATACTTAATTGAATTCTTGGTCAACTTAAATAGATTAAAATATCTCACAAAAGAAAATAAAATCTGTAAAATGACAACATTCCAAAATGTGTAAATTGGTACATGAATTAAACCTTGTGTTATTTTAGGAAAAAGAAACAACATTGCAGATATATTATCCAGAATTTGATGTCCTGGTGATTTCATGGTTTGGAAGTAACAATTTTCAGAGTGAGCTGTGGCGGCAGATTATATTTTCTGAGGAACTGGATTGAAAAACACATAAATGAGTCAAAGGTTAATAAAGACACAAACAGACATAGAAAAATAAAAATAAAAAATAAAAATAGATATTAGCTCACCTCTATCAAAGCATCTTCTATCTCTGATTCTGTCATTGTGCTGGGAAGGTTCAATCTCAGATTCAATCCCAAAACATAGTCTGTTGATAACAAAAGATTGACATTTATAATTTGCTAACATAATAGAAATCTATTTCTATAATCTTGTTTTTGAATAAAATTCTAACTTCAATATTTTTATATGGCAAAACGTTATTTACTCACTTGGACCTGTTTGTTGGTCAATGAAGTTTCAAGTTTTAACCAAGAATAGAGACATGAAAAGAGAAAAGAAAAACATATTGTGGTGATTTCATATTGTTGTATTTTTTTTGTAATTCCAAAATTAACTTGTCCACAACACACCTAATATTAATCAGGAAAGAACAACAACAGAAAGACATAATAATTGCAGGTGTTACAAAACAAGAGTTTGACAATATTTTTAAAATTCTACGGTGAAATTAAAGGAAATAAAACCACTGCACATTTGAATTCATGTGAAAAATAAGGTAAATTTGTTGGAGTTAACTTATTTGATCATAGCTAATGGATTAAGTGTCCAACAGATACACATATCTTACCAGTAAATGCAAGAATGCTGACTCCACTGCTTCTGACATTTTCAAACACAGAGAAAAGAGTGAATGTGTAGTTTGTACGAGCAGTCAGAGATGTGACTGTATGGTTCACTGGTCCATCTCTGTCTGGTGCACTGATGTTTGTCTCTGTGCCGTTAAATTGCAGAACAAAGCTGATGTTGTTGCCGACTTTATTCCATCGCAGGGTGATGCTGGTCTCATCTTGTTTTGATGCTCTGAAGCCCCCTGCATTTTTAGGTGCTAAAAGAAAAACAAAAAAAGCAATATCTTCAAAATCTGCAAAAGTTATCATTTTTAAACAATATTGTCACGATGATGATAAAAGTCCCACAATCTTAAGAGAAATAATGATTATGTTATATTCGGTTAACTCAAGTAATAATATTGAACAAATTCTAATACAAAAAAATCAAATCTGGTAAAGTAAAACGGTTATGTTCAAATGCAAAGGCATATAATAAAGTTCGTGGATCAGTTGATTTTAAGGTTTACTATTTTAATAAAGAAATTTGATTGGACCGGATTTATGAGATTTGCTAGTCTTTTCATATTTGAGCCATGAGTGTTTCAAAGATTTGTTGCAACTTTTACATTGATATTAAACATTGAGTTCCTTTACAGTAAATGAATTAAAACCCTTGTTATTCTGCTTGATGGCTTTTTGCTCTTGCAACATATTTCAAAATTGAAAAATTCAAATTCTTTTGATTTCTTTTCTACCCTTATAAAACCTTATGTTCTGGCTGATAGTGTTACTTCCTCATTGCATGTGGCATTAGATAGTATTCCCATAAAGAAGAAGACCCCCAACTAATGATTTCATACTTTTGACCTTGTGCCCATAAAAAATAAGGCATTTATTCACAAGAGCTTGGTTCTATAATTTAATGCATATTTTAAAGCACAACTCTTGGAATTTGGAGGGAAAATGTCATCCTATACATCTACAAACATTGGACTTAATCCTTATATTTTTCCTCGTGTTGCAAAAAAAGTCATTTCACTGATGAAAAACAGGATATTCTTCATTATTAACAGAAGACCATTAAAAAACTGTTTGAGGTTATGTTTTGCCACAGTTGTCAAATGTACATGATTAGCAGTCCAAAGATGATAATTATCTCAGGGTAAAGTATTTTTTCCCATTACATTGCATTTTGGATTTATTCTTAAATGTGACTTTAGCAAGTTTGAGGGCACAATTTTGAAGATTTTGGAAGATAAATTGTTTGCCTTTGTTGTTAGAAAATGAATGAACTCCATATTCATACCAGTCACAGCAGTAAGTTGTACTCCACTGCTTCTGACGTTCTCAAACACAGAGAAGAGAGTGAATGTATATTTGGTTCCAGCAGTGAGAAAAGAGACTTTGTGAGTTACTGGTCCATCTCCATCTGGTGCTCTGATGAATATCTGTATGCTGTTAACTTGGAGAATAAAGTTGGTGCTGTTGTTGATTTTATTCCACTGCAGAGTGATGCTGCTCTCATCTTGATCTGGTGACCAGAAGCCTTCTGCACTTTTAGGTGCTGAGACAAAAGAGGGGGAAAAAAAGGTCAATTAATTTTTTATACAGTTTTATCCCGCAAAAGATGACATTTTGAAACGATGATGAAATAACAGGTACTAAAATGTTCAACCAGGAAATAATTTAGTGAAAAATGATTTCAAATCAAGTAACAATCTTTTATAATGTTCCAATAAAACAAGAAAACAAATATGGTGAAGTAAAACATATGGCTACGTTCAAATGCTAATGCATAAAATTAAGGTCATAGACCAGTTAATTTTGAGTTTTGCTATTTAATTAAAAATTTTGATTTTCCAACACCAGGGTTGCTTCCATCATGATATTTATTCAAGTCTTCTCCATAACCAAACTGAATTATTTTGCAAAAAAGGTAAAATAACATGTTTGCACAGAAGTCCTACTTGTACTTTTTTGTACTTTAGCCATGGTTCTTAAATGTTGTATTCTAAAAATAAATGAAAGAAATAATAAATTTCATCATATTAGACAACTTTAAAACTGTGCTTGTTCAACAAGTTATCGCTCATCACATATAAATGAACTATTTTCTTACCAGATGCTGCTTCAAATTGTACTGCACTGCTTCTGATGTTCTCAAACACAGAGTAGAGAGTGAATGTATATTTGGTCCCAGCATTGAGAAAAGAGACTTTGTAGTTCACTCGTCCATCTGCATCTGGTGCTGTGATGAATGTCTCTGATCCATTAAACTGGAGAACAAAGTTGGTGCTGTTGCTGATTTTATTCCACTGCAGAGTGATGCTGGTCTCATTTTGATCTGATGCTCTCAAGCCTCCAATATTCATAGGAGCTGTGACCAGAGCATAAATATTTACCTCAAGTCAATTCTATAAAATATTCCATAAGCTAAAACCTTATGGAATAAGCTTTTAGCTTATGGAAATGCTTGAAGTATAAGAAAGTAGATGTCAAACAAACATTTGTTAAATGGTAAGCTAACAGTTATCTTACCAGTATATAATAATTCTGCATCCTCTTCATTGACATGAACCATTTTTAAACATGCACGACACCATTTGCAGATCTTTACCGAAATACTTCATTAAATTCATGTAAGGATTATATTAAAATCTTTACCAGTCACAGCTTGATGTTGTATTCCACTGCTTCTGACGTTCTCAAAGACAGAGAAGAGAGTGAATGTATATTTGGTCCCAGCAGTGAGAAAAGAGACTGTGTGGTTCACTGGTCCATCTCCATCTGGTGCTCTGATGAATGTCTCTGATCCATTAAACTGGAGAACAAAGCTGGTGCTGTTGTTGATTTTATTCCACTGCAGAGTGATGCTGCTCTCATTTTGATATGATGCTCTCAAGCCTCCAACATTTATGGGAGCTGTGAACATAAATATTTCTTGAAGTATAAGAAAGGAGATGTAGAAAAAAATGTGTTAAATGTTAAGCTAACAGTTATCTTACCAGTAGCAACATTGATGTTTACAGCACTGCTTCTAACATTCATAAACACACGGTAGAGTATGAATGTATATGTGGTTCCAGCAGTCAGAGATGTGACTGTATGGTTCACTGGTCCATCTCCATCTGGTGCTGTGATGTTTGTCTCTGATCCATTAAACTGGAGAACAAAGCTGGTGTTGTTGTCGCCTTTATTCCACTGCAGAGTGATGCTGGTCTCATTTTGTTCTGATGCTCTGAAGCCCTCAGCATTTTCAGGAGCTGAGAAAAACAGTGAGATTTAGAAATGATTCATCATAAAGTCACTGATTGTGTCTACAGATATTATATTGCTATTTTAACATCTGAAGTTATTCGGTTAACTGTCTCTCCAAAGTTTAAGCAACATTTCTCCAACATCAGTTACTGAATGTTTTGTTTAAAATTTGGTTTAAAATAAATCTCACCAGTCACTGCAGCAATGCTGACTCCACTGCTTCTGATGTTCTCAAACACAGAGAAGAGAGTGAATGTGTATCTAGTTCCAGCAGTGAGAGATGAAACTGTCAGTAGTAATGGTTGTTGTCCAGCAGGTGCTGCTATAGTCAACTGTGTTTCATTATGTAGGAGGATGAAGCTGACATTGTTATTGACAATTTCCCACTGGAGAGTGATGCTGGTCTCATCCTGTCTCAGTGATGTGAAGCCTTGTGCGTTTTGGGGAGCTGCAAGAAATGAATATGAGCCAAATACTGTCTTCAGTTCATTGAATGTTGGTGGTGAAGTGACCTTTTCAAAATCATCAGTAATTAATGTAATGAAAAATGCCACATGAATGAAAATTTCTTTGTCTTGGTTGTTAATAAATTAATGTACTTTATGTTCATACCAGTGACAGCAGAAAGTTGTATTCCACTGCTTCTGACGTTCTCAAACACAGAGAAGAGAGTGAATGTATATTTGGTCACAGCAGTGAGAAAAGAGACTTTGTATTTCACTGGTCCATCTCCATCTGGTGCTGTGATGAATGTCTCTGATCCATTAAACTGGAGAACGAAGTTGGTGCTGTTGTTGATTTTATTCCACTGCAGAGTGATGCTGGTCTCATTTTGTTCTGATGCTCTAAAGACTCCAACATTTATAGGAGCTGTGACAAAAACATAAAAATGTACCTCATGTCAATTCCATAACTATTTGATAAGCTAAAGGGTTATTTTTACATCAATTTCTTGAAGTATAAGAAAGTAGATGTAGAACAAACATTTGTTAAATGTTAAGCTAACAGTTATCTTACCAGTAGCAACAGTGATGTTTACAGCACTGCTTCTAACATTCATAAACACACGGTAGAGTATGAATGTATATGTGGTTCCAGCAGTCAGAGATGTGACTTTATGGTTCACTGGTCCATCTCCATCTGGTGCTGTGATGAATGTCTCTGATCCATTAAACTGGAGAACAAAGCTGGTGTTGTTGTTGATTTTATTCCACTGCAGAGTGATGCTGGTCTCATTTTGTTCTGATGCTCTGAAGACCTCAGCATTTTCAGGAGCTGAGAACAAAAATAAGATTTAGAAATGTGTTATCAAAGAGTCATTGATTGTGTCTACAGAAATAATATTGCTGTTTTAACATCTGAAGTTATTCGTTTAACTGTCTATCCAAGGTTTAAGCAACATTTCCCTAACATCAGTTACTAGATGTTTTGTTTGAAACTTGGATAAAAAGGAATCACCAGTTACTGCAGCAATGCTGACTCCACTGCTTCTGACGTTCTCAAACACAGAGAAGAGAATGAATGTATATCTAGTTCCAGCATTGAGATAAGAGACTTTGTAGTTCACTCGTCCATCTGCAACTGGTGCTGTGATGAATGTCTCTGATCCATTAAACTGGAGAACGTAGCTGGTGCTGTTGTTGATTTTATTCCACTGCAGAGTGATGCTGGTCTCATTTTGATCTGACGCTCTCAAGCCTCCAACATTTATAGGAGCTGTGACAAAAACATAAATATTTACCTCATGTCAATTCTATAAAATATTCCATAAGCTAAAGGCTTATTGTCACATGAAATGCTTGAAGTATAAGAAAGTAGATGTAGAACAAACATTTGTTAAATGTTAAGCTAACAGTTATCTTACCAGTAGCAACAGTGATGTTTACAGCACTGCTTCTAACATTCATAAACACACGGTAGAGTATGAATGTATATCTGGTTCCAGCAGTCAGAGATGTGACTGTATGGTTCACTGGTCCATCTCCATCTGGTGCTGTGATGTTTGTCTCTGTGCCGTTAAACTGGAGAACAAAGCTGGTGTTGTTGTCGCCTTTATTCCACTGCAGAGTGATGCTGGTCTCATTTTGTTCTGATGCTCTGAAGCCCTCAGCATTTTCAGGAGCTGAGAAAAACAATGAGATTTAGAAATGATCAATCATAGAGTCACTGATTATGTCTACAGATATTATATTGCTATTTTAACATCTGAAGTTATTCGGTTAACTGTCTCTCCAATGTTTAAGCAACATTTCTCCAACATCAGTTACTGAATGTTTTGTTTAAAATTTGGTTTAAAATAAATCTCACCAGTCACTGCAGCAATGCTGACTCCACTGCTTCTGACGTTCTCAAACACAGAGAAGAGAGTGAATGTGTATCTAGTTCCAGCAGTGAGAGATGAAACTGTCAGCAGTACTGGTTGTTGTCCAGCAGGTGCTGCTATAGTCAACTGTGTTTCATTATATTGGAGGATGAAGCTGACATTGTTATTGACAATTTCCCACTGGAGAGTGATGCTGGTCTCAGCCTCTCTCAGTAATGTGAAGCCTTGTGCGTTTTGGGGAGCTGCAAGAAATGAATACGAGATAAATTATGTCTTCAGTTCATTGGATGTTGGTGTTGAAGTGACCTTCTTAAAATCATCAGTAATTACTGTAATGAAAAATGCCACATGAATGAAAATTTCTTTGTCTAGGTTGTTAATAAATTAATGTATTTAAATCATACCAGTGACAGCAGTAAATTGTATTCCACTGCTTCTGACGTTCTCAAACACAGAGTAGAGAGTGAATGTGTATCTAGTTCCAGCATTGAGAAAAGAGACTTTGTATTTCACTGGTCCATCTCCATTTGATGCTGTGATGAATGTCTCTGATCCATTAAAAAGGAGAACAAAGCTGGTGATGTTGTTGATTTTATTCCACTGCAGAGTGATGCTGGTCTCATCTTGATCTGATGCTCTCACAGATTTTGTGTTTGTAGGAGCTGAAATAGAGCAATAAATCATTGATTAGCTAACAACTTTGGTTTACCTGATGATATTATTGCTAATTTGAAGATCTATAGTCTTCAATCTAACACCCATTGAGCAGCTTTGGTAATATAACAATACTTCTTGGTCTTTTCAATTGCTGTGACAAATCTTTTCTTTTTGTAAAATTAACCAATTTCATGTTTGTTGAATACTTAATCCTCCATCCATTATACTCATTCTGCATCCTCTTCAATGACATGAACCATTTTTAAACATGCACGACACCATTTGCAGATCTTTACCGAAATACTTCATTAAATTCATGTAAGGATCATATTAAAATCTATACCAGTCACAGCTTCAAATTGTATTCCACTGCTTCTGACGTTCTCAAACACAGAGAAGAGAGTGAATGTATATTTGGTCCCAGCAGTGAGTAAAGAGACTGTGTGGTTCACTGGTCCATCTCCATCTGGTGCTGTGATGAATGTCTCTGATCCATTAAACTGGAGAACAAAGCTGGTGATGTTGTTGATTTTATTCCACTGCAGAGTGATGCTGGTCTCATTTTGTTCTGATGCTCTAAAGACTCCAACATTTATAGGAGCTGTGATAAAAATATAAATATGTACCTCAGGTCAATTCCATAAAATATTTGATGAGCTAAAAGGTTGTTTTTACATGAATTGATTGCAGTATAAGAAAGGAGATGTAGAAAAAAATGTGTTAAATGTTAAGCTAACAGTTATCTTACCAGTAGCAACAGTGATGTTTACAGCACTGCTTCTAACATTCATAAACACACGGTAGAGTATGAATGTATATCTGGTTCCAGCAGTCAGAGATGTGACTGTGTGGTTCACTGGTCCATCTCTATCTGGTGCTGTGATGTTTGTCTCTGATCCATTAAACTGGAGAACAAAGCTGGTGTTGTTGTCGCCTTTATTCCACTGCAGAGTGATGCTGGTCTCATTTTGTTCTGATGCTCTGAAGCCCTCTGCATTTTGAGGAGCTGAATACAACAATGAGATTTAGAAATGGTTCATCATAGAGTCACTGATTATGTCTACAGATATAATATTGCTATTTTAACATCTGAAGTTATTCGGTTAACTGTCTCTCCAAAGTTTAAGCAACATTTCTCCAACATCAGTTACTGAATGTTTTGTTTAAAACTTGGATAAAAATAAATCTCACCAGTCACTGCAGCAATGCTGACTCCACTGCTTCTGATGTTCTCAAACACAGAGAAGAGAGTGAATGTGTATCTATTTCCAGCAGTGAGAGAGATGAAACTGTCAGTAGTACTGGTTGTTGTCCAGCAGGTGCTGCTATAGTCAACTGTGTTTCATTATGTAGGAGGATGAAGCTGACATTGTTATTGACAATTTCCCACTGGAGAGTGATGCTGGTCTCATCCTGTCTCAGTGATGTGAAGCCTTGTGCGTTTTGGGGAGCTGCAAGAAATGAATATGAGCCAAATACTGTCTTCAGTTCATTGGAAGGTGGTGGTGAAGTGACTTTTTCAAAATCATCATTAATTAATGTAATGAAAAATGCCACATGAATGAAAATTTCTTTGTCTTGGTTGTTAATAAATTAATGTACTTTATGTTCATACCAGTGACAGCAGTAAGTTGTATTCCACTGCTTCTGACATTCTCAAACACAGAGTAGAGAGTAAATGTGTATTTAGTTCCAGCAGTGAGAAAAGAGACTTTGTATTTCACTGGTCCATCTCCATCCGGTGCTGTGATGAATGTCTCTGATCCATTAAAAAGGAGAACAAAGCTGGTGCTGTTGTTGATTTTATTCCAATGCAGAGTGATGCTGGTCTCATCTTGATCTGATGCTCTCACAGATTTTGTGTTTGTAGGAGCTGAAATAGAGCAATAAATCATTAATAAGCTAACAACTTTGGTTTACCTGATAATATTATTGCTAATTTGAAGATGTATAGTCTTCAATCTAACAGTTTTGGTAATAGATCAATTCTTCTTGGTCTTTTCAAGTGATGTGAAAGATCTTTTGTTTCAGTAAAATTAACCAATTTCATGTTTGTTGTATTAGTACTTGATGAACAATCCTTCATCCATTATATTCATTCTACAACCACTTCATAGAACTCAAACATTTTTAAAGATATACAACACCATTTGCAGATCTTTTCCAACATACTTCATTACATTCACATAAGGATCATATTAAAATCTTTACCAGTCACAGCTTGATATTGTATTCCACTGCTTCTGACGTTTTCAAACACAGAGTAGAGAGTGAATGTATATTTGGTCCCAGCAGTGAGTAAAGAGACTGTGTGGTTCACTGGTCCATCTCCATCTGGTGCTGTGATGAATGTCTCTGATCCATTGAACTGGAGAATAAAGTTGGTGCTGTTGTTGATTTTATTCCACTGCAGAGTGATGCTGCTCTCATTTTGATGTGATGCTCTCACATTTTCTGTGTTTGTAGGAGCTGAAATAGAGCAATAATTCATTAGTAAGCTGACAATTTTTGTTTACCTGATGATTTAATTGCTCATTTGAAGACGTATAGTCTTCAATCTAACACCTATTGAGCAGCTTTGGTAATATATCAATACTTCTTGGTCTTTTCAATTGCTGTGACAAATCTTTTCTTTTTGTAAAATTAACCAATTTCATGTTTGTTGAATACTTAATCCTTCATCCATTATAATCATTCTGCATCCTCTTCAATGACATGAACCATTTTTAAACATGCACGACACCATTTGCAGATCTTTACCGAAATACTTCATTAAATTCATGTAAGGATTATATTAAAATCTTTACCAGTCACAGCTTCAAATTGTATTCCACTGCTTCTGACGTTCTCAAACACAGAGTAGAGAATGAATGTATATTTGGTCCCAGCATTGAGAAAAGAGACTTTGTAGTTAACTGGTCCATCTCCATCTGGTGCTGTGATGAATGTCTCTGATCCATTAAACTGGAGAACAAAGCTGGTGTTGTTGTCGCCTTTATTCCACTGCAGAGTGATGCTGGTCTCATTTTGTTCTGATGCTCTGAAGCCCTCTGCATTTTCAGGAGCTGGGAATAAAAATAAGATTTAGAAATTATTCATCATAGAGTCACTGATTATGTCTACAGATATAATATTGCTATTTTAACATCTGAAGTTATTTGATTAATTGTTTCTCCAAAGTTTAAGCAACATTTCTCCAACATTAGTTACTAAATGTTTTGTTTAAAATTTGGATAAAAATAAATCTCACCAGTCACTGCAGCAATGCTGACTCCACTGCTTCTGATGTTCTCAAACACAGAGAAGAGAGTGAATGTATATCTAGTTCCAGCAGTGAGAGATGAAACTGTCAGTAGTAATGGTTGTTGTCCAGCAGGTGCTGCTATAGTCAACTGTGTTTCATTATGTAGGAGGATGAAGCTGACATTGTTATTGACAATTTCCCACTGGAGAGTGATGCTGGTCTCATCCTGTCTCAGTGATGTGAAGCCTTGTGCATTTTGGGGAGCTGCAAGAAATGAATATGAGCCAAATCATGTCTTCAGTTCATTGGATGTTGGAGGTGAAGTGACTTTTTCAAAATCATCAGTAACTAATGTAATGAAAAATGCCACATGAATGAAAATTTCTTTGTCTTGGTTGTTAATAAATTAATGTACTTTATGTTCATACCAGTGACAGCAGTAAGTTGTATTCCACTGCTTCTGACGTTCTCAAACACAGAGAAGAGAGTGAATGTGTATTTAGTTCCAGCAGTGAGAAAAGAGATTGTGTGGTTCACTGGTCCATCTCCATCTGGTGCTGTGATGAATGTCTCTGATCCATTAAACTGGAGAACAAAGCTGGTGCTGTTGTTGATTTTATTCCACTGCAGAGTGATGCTGCTCTCATTTTGATGTGATGCTCTCACATTTTCTGTGTTTGTAGGAGCTGAAATAGAGCAATAATTCATTAGTAAGCTGACAACTTTTGTTTACCTGATGATTTAATTGCTCATTTGAAGATGCATAGTCTTCAATCTTGAGCAGCTTTGGTAATATATCAATACTTCTTGGTCTTTTCAATTGCTGTGACAAATCTTTTCTTTTTGTAAAATTAACCAATTTCATGTTTGTTGAATACTTAATCCTTCATCCATTATAATCATTCTGCATCCTCTTCATTGACATGAACCATTTTTAAACATGCACGACACCATTTGCAGATCTTTACCGAAATACTTAATTAAATTTATGTAAGGATCATAATAAAATCTTTACCAGTCACAGCTTCAAATTGTATTCCACTGCTTCTGACGTTTTCAAACACAGAGAAAAGAGTGAATGTATATTTGGTCCCAGCAGTGAGTAAAGAGACTTTGTAGTTCACTGGTCCATCTCCATTTGATGCTGTGATGAATGTCTCTGATCCATTAAAAAGGAGAACAAAGCTGGTGATGTTGTTGATTTTATTCCACTGCAGAGTGATGCTGGTCTCATTTTGTTCTGATGCTCTAAAGACTCCAACATTTATAGGAGCTGTGACAAAAACATAAAAATGTACCTCATGTCAATTCTATAATTATTTGATAAGCTGAAGGGTTATTTTTACATCAATTTCTTGAAGTATAAGAAAGGAGATGTCAAACAAACATTTGTTAAATGTTAAGCTAACAGTTATCTTACCAGTAGCAACAGTGATGTTTACAGCACTGCTAACATTCATAAACACACGGTAGAGTATGAATGTATATTTGGTTCCAGCAGTCAGAGATGAGACCGTGTAGTACACTGGTCCATCTCCATCTGGTGCACTGATGTTTGTCTCTGTGCCGTTAAACTGGAGAACAAAGCTGGTGTTGTTGTCGCCTTTATTCCACTGCAGAGTGATGCTGGTCTCATTTTGTTCTGATGCTCTGAAGCCCTCAACATTTTCAGGAGCTGAGAAAAACAGTGATATTTAGAAATGTTTCATCATAAAGTTACTGACTGTGACAAATAATATTGCTGTTTTTACAGCATTTTCAGGAGCTGGGAACACAAATAAGATTTAGAAATGTTTTATCAAAGAGTCATCGATTGTGTCTACAGAAATAATATTGCTATTTTAACATCTGAAGTTATTCGGTTAACTGTTTCTCCCAGGTTTAAGCAACATTTCTCCAACATCAGTTACTAAATGTTTTGTTTAAAACTTGGATAAAAATAAATCTCACCAGTCACTGCAGCAATGCTGACTCCACTGCTTCTGATGTTCTCAAACACAGAGAAGAGAGTGAATGTGTATCTAGTTCCAGCAGTGAGAGATGAAACTGTCAGTAGTAATGGTTGTTGTCCAGCAGGTGCTGCTATAGTCAACTGTGTTTCATTATGTAGGAGGATGAAGCTGACATTGTTATTGACAATTTCCCACTGGAGAGTGATGCTGGTCTCATCCTGTCTCAGTGATGTGAAGCCTTGTGCGTTTTGTGGAGCTGCAAGAAATGAATATGAGCCAAATACTGTCTTCAGTTCATTGGAAGTTGGTGGTGAAGTGACTTTTTCAAAATCATCAGTAATTAATGTAATGAAAAATGCCACATGAATGAAAATGTCTTTGTCTTGGTTGTTAATAAATTAATGTACTTTATGTTCATACCAGTGACAGCAATAAGTTGTATTCCACTGCTTCTGACGTTCTCAAACACAGAGAAAAGAGTGAATGTATATTTGGTCCCAGCAGTGAGTAAAGAGACTTTGTAGTTCACTGGTCCATCTCCATCTGGTGCTGTGATGAATGTCTCTGATCCATTAAACTGGAGAATAAAGCTGGTGCTGTTGTTGATTTTATTCCACTGCAGAGTGATGCTGGTCTCATTTTGATCTGACGCTCTCAAGCCTCCAACATTTATAGGAGCTGTGACCAGAGCATAAATATTTATCTCAAGTCAATTCTATAAAATACTCCATAAACTAAAAGCTTATTGTCACACGAAACACTTGAAGTATAAGAAAGTAGATGTCAATCAAAAAATTTTAAATGTTAAGCTAACAGTTATCTTACCAGTAGCAACAGTGATGTTTACAGCACTGCTTCTAACATTCATAAACACACGGTAGAGTATGAATGTATATGTGGTTCCAGCAGTCAGAGATGTGACCGTGTAGTACACTGGTCCATCTCCATCTGGTGCACTGATGTTTGTCTCTGTGCCGTTAAACTGGAGAACAAAGCTGGTGTTGTTGTTGATTTTATTCCACTGCAGAGTGATGCTGGTCTCACTTTGTGTCAATACTCTGAAGGGTTGAGGTTCTAAACACACATAAATACACCTCGCATTAGAAATATAAATCCAGAATATTTCTTAATTCTTCTCAGGTAATTGAAATGTACAATATTACCTGCACAATATGCCAGCCAACATGCAGACGGCTGTTGAAGTTTGTAGACGTAGAATCCATAACAAAGTTTGATCTGGATGGTGTGTGTGGGAAAAAGGCAGCAGGAACCCGACCAAGCGCTACACACAGTTCGAGTTACAGTTTCATTAAGCTGGACTGGATGAGTCCCATTTATCCACAAAGGAGCATGAGTTCCACATCTTTGTTCTGCTACACATTTCTCTGGTATCTGAGCGCTGCTTTGCCCCAAATAAAAGCGATACCAACCACTCCAGACAATGTTTTGGTCACAGTGTAAGATTGAATTGTCTGTATTCTCTGTTGAACGCCATGCATCATTCACCACAGTGAGTTCACACAGGGGTCAAGACATTCAACAACTCCATTGGTGGTGATGCACTCGGTGCCCAAAGCACAACATTGACAGCTGGTACAAGGATCTTCAAATAGAATATGTGGAATAAAACAGAGGAAAAACATTATAAGTGTAAAGACACAAAATACTTTTGTTTTTATTTCGACTTACAGTAAGATTTTGAGTTAATCTGACATCCTATTTAATGAGAATATCACTAAAAGTACAGTCAGAGTAAATGATAAAAAAAAAAATCACACATCACTATGAGTTCAGTAAACATTATCTCTAACTCTTGGTTTTAGCAGATTTTTAGTAGGCATGGTGCAACTAATAAATAAAATAATATCTTCAAAAACCGCTTCATCAGTAAATCTACCCGTGACAGCCTGACAGCTTCTTTCCATTTACAGTCGCTCTTTCTCTATGGACTAAATAATCCTTTTCAGGACAAAGAACAGAAACATCTCACACTCCATTTATGTTTGAAAATGTTGATATGATTAGGAAACTTGATGACCACTAAACATGTTTCTTTACTTTGTTGACCTTCAAGTGAGATTTTTTAATTAGTTGCTACATTACTGATTTTTGAGTAATTTCTTAAGTCTTTAAGAAATTACTCAAAAACAGTCCAATAGTGATGTTCCATAACATCATCAAACAGAAAACTATGTTATGGGAGAGAGAAGACATGTAGCAATGGTGACCAGACCAGGACTTGAACCTGTGAAGGTTGTGCTTTCCCCTTGCGCTATTGAGACGTTTAATTTTTATATAGCAGAAGAGTCTTGTTCAATGACCATCCAATGGACTGCAGACTATTATTTTAGTGTTAAATAGTCTACCTTATTTAATGAAATGTAAACTCTTACCAGTAGCTGCTGTAATACTGACTCCACTGCTCCTGACGTTGTCAAGAACAGAGAACAGAGTGAATGTGTAGCTTGTTCCAGGAGTGAGAGATGAGACGGTGTAGGTCACTGGTCCATCTGCAACTGATGCACTGATGAATGTCTCCACACCATTAAACAGGAGAACAAAGCTGGTGCTGTTGTTGATTTTATTCCACTGCAGAGTGATGCTGATATCATCTTGTGCTGAAGCTGTAAAGCCGCCTGCATTTGGTGGAACTAAGATAAAAACAATATAAATAGTAACAGGGATATTAATCAGTTTCAACAAGTATTTTCATGTTTGGGTTTTTTGTAATCTCATTTACTTATTAACAAAAGCAAAAACTTTCATGAAAGTTTGTTTTTTGTTCTGTGTTCCATAACATCATTGTTCCTCTTAAGATGACCACCATTATTTTTCCTGATGTAAAATTAAGGATTATTTAGAACTGCTTAAGCAACAGAAATTAGATACATTACTTGGTTTGTAGCAGACATATGGTAAGCTCAGGCCGCAGTTTTCATCCGACCATCTTCCCGCGTCACTAAAAGATCCTGCAACACACTGAGCACCAGAGGGCTCGTTGGGCTCGCCAGCCGCCCAGTGTCGAAACAGAGAGGTGCTTCCATCAGACCAGAGCTTTTCCCGATACAGTCCAATCCAAACAGTGTTGGCACCTATTAGGGTTCTGATGATTTCATTTTCTGTCTGATTTCGTACACTGGCAAGGAAAAAAATAAAAAAATAAACAAATTAAACACTGTATACAAAGAAAATCAAGGTGCATGGTTTTCTTTGGCTTTTCCATTTCAGAACAACTAAAAATGTTGTTTTTATGTAACAGTACCAGAAATAACAGACATTAGAAAAGATGACGACTGTAAGGGACATTATAAAACATTATAATCTTAAGTGCTTTGCTGTAATATATAGACAATTTTGTTTACTTGAAGTCTCATAAAAAGTTCAACAGAGATCAAGGGGGCCTGGAATCTTTCCATTCTGACCCTAAATTTGCACCCCACAGAAGAAGCAACGTTGATTGTTTGTTCTTAGCTTTTCTGTGCTTTATTGATCCAGACAGAATGAAGTTATTTAAAATGCCAGGGTGTAAAATAGTTTCAAGCATTAACCTTCTTTCAAAGTGATCCAACAGTAAATGGGAGAAAGTGGGAACACAAGAAACAGAGTTCCCGAGATCAGGATTCAAATTTTGAGCAGCTGCTTCACGTATTATAGTCTTTTTAAATGAGCAGTTCACTTTCTCACTTCACCTGGAACCACCAGAGAACCTAAACTGAAATATTACAGGTCGTGAGGAATTTAACAGTGGAAAATAAAAAAACACTGGTGAAAATGACATCAGGCATGAGAAAAGTGAAAAATGTGTCATTTCTACCATAGGAATTATTGAAATTAGTTCAATAATTTAATTAGAAATTATTGAACTAATTTCTAATTAAAATTAATCAGTTCAATAAACAGGAAGCAGTTGTAGAAAAAACAGATAGAAAAAAAATATGTACGGGAATGATTGATAAACACAAAGCGAAAGCAAAGTATGACAGATACTCAAGTTACCAGAAATGCAGGAATACAGCTTAGATAACTCAGCAACAGGAGTTACAGGAAGTAAATGGAAAATAGTTGTCAGAACCAGGACCAAGTGTCTATAAAGAGAAAGAATAACATCACAGTCTTAAAGCACAAAAAGCCCAGAAGGAAACATCTGGAATTTATGAGAACTATAATCCCTCTCTCTATAGATTACTAGAGATTAATGCAGTACTTGCTGTAAGATACCATCTTATTTACCTGGCCAGATCAACATAATTCGCACGGCAGAATTTCTGAGCTTCTGTCCAGTTTAGTAAAATGCTACTCAAAACATAGGATGGTGATCCACCTACTATACCTGTAAATATATAGACAAGACATAGAGAAAGAAAACTGAAAGAAAATAGACTTTAATTATGTATTTTATTTCTTATATATATATATATAATATATATATATATATATATATATATATATATTATATATATATATATATATATATATATATATATATAACTTACCATTATAGCACACAAACTGCAAGGTTTCTGAGCACTGAATGTCATCCCATTTGCCTAGAGGGGCAACACTAGAACCATAAAAGCGGACACAATGCTGCTCTCCAAAAGCGTTGTTGGGCTCGCCCGGAAACCAGTTCCTAAATGAATATTCTCCAGGTCCATAGAAGCTGCTGTCATTTAGGGACCATTTCCAGCTGTTTATTATATCGTCGTAGAGACCTATCCATGCCTTTCCTAAATAATAAAATAAACATGTTTAATACATTTAGAAGATTCAGTGAAACATGTTAACTGTTACATATTATAAGACTTTCAGCAATACCCATAAAACAATGTCAGGGTTTGTGTTTATACCTGTGTTGTCTTCCTTTTTTCAAATTAAAAACCCACCTGTATAACTGGAGATGGTATTTAGAAAACCATTAACATCAGCTGTGCTTTCAATGGTGGCCAGATCAGTGTAGTTCTGTCTGCAGACGCTCTGAGCGTCTCTCCATGTGAGCAAATTGTTCACAAAGTAGTACTGACGGCTTTGGGCGCAGGCAACACTGAGCAGGGCGCCTGAAATAAAACCGATTAAACTTTAACAGCATTGAACTACAAAGGAAAATTTCAACAAAAATAGTGATTAAAAACAATCAATTATTATTATTCTTTTCAAATGACAAGATGTGGGGAGTTAAGTTTTCTTCAGCGAGACTCACTGTCAATGTTGACATTCAGGTCTACAATTTGTTTATCCTACACTTGTCTAGAATTTGTTTTAATGCAATATCCATGATCTGTGTAGTTTAATAGGATTTATATTCATTGATCCTATTGGATCAATGAATATAAACAGGAACCACATAATAACCTTCATAGCTGGTATTTTCATCTCCAGACCTATGGAGCCAGTGTTCTGGCAGTCACCAGATACCCCTGGCAATTACCATAGATATTAATATTTTTGCAGATCAGCTTCCCTGGACGTCATCATACATCATAATCCCTATAAATGTGTTTCAGAGCAAAACTAGTAACAAAACAGTCAATATATGCAAAAATCATTAAAAAATGTTAATTTAAAACAAAAGTAGGTATACAATTAAAACTGGATATTTACATAAAATGTATTAAAAATCTATTTTCCACATGCTGAGCAAGGAGAGCGAAATAGTTTTCTTCTATTTCTTTTGCTAACTAAGATTACTGTGATGCAAAAATATCAGAGAAAGCCCAGTGGAGGACGATAAGAACTAACATTTGTGAAACAATGTTAGAGTATGGACTTTGGAGGTATACTCCATAAAAATCGTGTTTTACTCTGTGGATGTATTTTACACATCCACAGAGTAAAACACGATTTGCTAAAAAAAAAATTGGATATTGGTTTCAGAAAAAAAGCTAAAGACCTTAAAAAGATTTTGAATAAATCTGCTTTGGACTTTCCTCAGTGAAAAGAGTTCCTTAACACTGGATAAAAAATAATAATAATAATAATAAAAAAAGCCAGATTACCATCTTAAAATGCACAGGAACAAATATCTTCATCTTTAGTGATAACTGAAGTGTTTCCATTATGTCTCCTGTTATTTTTGGATGAATAGGCAGAAGCTTAAAAATCTCAGAACACCAGTTTGTTTGTTTTACGACCAGAGGGAGCAGTGCACTTCACAAAGTCGCATTGTGAAGAAGTTTAGTGGGAAATATTCCAGCAATAATTCAATACAACTCACTGTTGTATTGAATTAATTAAACTTGTCTTAAAATGGGTTTGTCATAGTTGTGTTGTTGAAAGAGCAACTCTTAAATAATGGTATGGAAATACATGCAAACTTTTGAATATAATCAGAGTTTAAAAACAATATTGGTAATTTTAATGGATTAAAAAGTTTAGGATATGTTGAGTCACATTTAGGGTCAAACATTAAGGGAAAAAAGCCCAATTGATTGTTCTTGTTTATATCTGGTTTTGGTTGAGTTAATCCTGGGTTAATCTTCTCCATTAAGGCTGTTTAAGAAAAAAGACAAAACATGTGAGCAGCTTCCTGCTGGAGTTTAAAGCTTGGATTCCTTGTGTTCAGGTGAAAGAGCTAATTATATATTCAGATTTTACCTGAATATTTTCAACATATGGTAAAATGGTAAATGGACTGAACTTACATAGTACTTTTCCAGTCATTTTGACCACTCAAAGCGCTTTAGACTAGAGTCACCCATTCACACACAAACGCATACACATTTATACACCGATACGCAAACTGGAAGGCAATTTGGGGTTAAGTGCCTTGCCCAGAGGCACAGCAACATGTGGCAGGAGGAAGCTGGAATCGAACACACAACCAATTGCAAGACGACAACTCTGCCATAGAGCCACAGTCGCTCACATACATACATAAAACATACAACTTAGTTTTATGTTTTGTTTTGCTTTTCCTCTGTCTGTTTCCCACTGTGTAAAAAATGACTAAAAAAAGTTAAAATATTAGAAGCCAGAATAAAAGTGCATGCTCATTGTCAATACAGAATTTGATTTAATCCTTTTTCTTACTTTGCCTCTCTGTCTCAGTTTCCCATTGTGTGAAAATGACTGAAAGAAAAAAGATTATTAGAAGCAAGAATAAGAAAACAGACACAAACCTGTGAGCCCAAACAGGATCAGCCTGTTCGCCATCAGTGAAAACTTGAGAAAAATAGAAGTATCCAGACAATATCTTCTAAATCCAAACACTATCAGTGTATTTCACAAATTGTACAAACTAGCACCCTACAAGCTGCAAGGCACATGTTAACAAAATCTCGAGATGCTCTGCATGTTTAAAGGTGTTTCAGGTGGGTGTTCCATTAACAGAAGTTGCTTTTAACAAGCCACCAGGGCACCTGGCATTACAAGAATGAAGATGAACATAGTTATGAAACAAAAATGCCACACAACGCAGCATAGACGTGTCACTTGATGCATTAGTATTTAACACTACCAGAGTTAATAGGAATTCACTTTGCATTCAGGCTGTTTTATTAAAAGTCAATTGCCAATATAATAATTTGAGAGACTAAAAGGTCATGTGTCTAAGCAGGTGGTCTGCAGCACAGGAGGTCATACTCTGTTTTACTTTCTCTGAAGATGTCAGAAGAGTCAGACTCCAGTCATCTGTAGTTATATTCAGATTATGCTGCAGTTTAAACAGCTGAATGAGACATAAAAATGAAACTTTGAGCAAAATTGGCAGAATGCTGAAATTTATGGTCTCGGAACAATTGTATCATTTTGAAGGTAACCAAAATAAATTAGGTGATTCTAAACTGTAGGAGAAAGAGAGAAAATGCAAATATCTTGGTATTAATCTAGATTACAGTCTGGATTGGCAACAATATTATCATGGGCTCATCTGTGCAGAGCGAGAGTTGCAGCCTTGAGAATGTTGGAGCATAAATATGTTTTGGTATTTGTTTTGACATGATAAAGATCTCTGAAATATATTCTTAAAAAATGAAAGAAAAATGGGACAACTTGGTGAAACAGGAAACAGACGAAAAAGGATATTTTTAAATTAAGCTTTAAATCATCATTGGTTAAGTCAACAAACAAGCTGACATAGTCGCACTCAAATCTGTGCAGATTATCTCATAGATCTGAGTTTATCCAGCATTTCCTCGTTTTCCACTTTGATCTTCCTGACAAACTACATTCTTCATTTAAACAAACACAGGTTTGTTTCATTAGGGGGAAAAAAAGTACTTTAAAGAGGAATTTGTTTTTTTTTTTGCACATGTGAATACTATTTGCACAGAGTCACAAGTAATCTAAGAGCCAGAAAATCAAACAATAATTGATGTTTACGTGTCAGTAAAAATAACAAAAAGCTCACGCAAAGAGAGATGGAATGAGGAAGATCTTCATGACAGGATCTGAATCTAAACCAGATATTTCTCTAATCTTTTTGTTCATGTAACTTTGTTTTCACATCATTCGTTGTATAAAACCTTTGCAATATGACTGAAGCTCTTTCTTTAGGCTGTTGTGTGCAGTTTTATAGATGTGCAGTGAACTCATCAAGTTGAGAGAAAATGCAGCAGGAAATAAATGACTAATGAACAGAAGTAGTTTTGCTGTATTGTCTTCACAATAAACATTTACTTTTGAGTTAATAAATCTAGTTGTAGCAGTTTACAGAATCGCTCAATGGGAAAATCTGTTTAACTTCACTCAGTTTGTATGAAAGCTTTATTTTTACATTAAAATATACGCTAAAATACTGACTAATTAATGACTGATTTATTTTGACACTTTCATATTAGAGATGTGATAAACAAATGCTGGTTTTATTTGTTTGTTTAGGTTTTTTTGATCACGTAGTTTACTTTACTAGTCCTAATAAAAAATCTCAATCTGTAATTCATACAAAGATAATGAGTGATAAGAGAATGAGAATTTACTGTGTCAGATCTGCAGCATAGAGAATGTGCTAAGTGGGTGTCTACTTAGCCCACTTAAGTAGGCTAAGCATGAAAATAATATTCACAAGTGCTGCAAATATCCACAACCTCCTCTTTAAAATACTTTTTTTTCACCCTCATAAAACAATTACATAAAACAATCTTTATTAAGTAGTATTCTAAGGAATGAAGTTACTAGTATTTTAAATTTGTGTTGTTTGTATGTCATCTTTATGTTTAAAATGACATTGAAATTTTACATTTTCATAGAGCAAAGCTCTGCTATGTTTCTAAACCACAACTTTGGACTGTGGGACTTTGTGACGGTACATCCAGTTAATTCATATACTCAAGTAAATATTTTATGTATTTTCTGTATTTAAGCAGATGAAACCCCATAGAGATCCAATGTTAGAAATATTTAGTATATATTATCTTGATGTTTGCTAGTGCTCTTATGTTCATTGTGCGTTTCCTCCTATTGTTCTGTGAGTTTTTTCAGGTCCTGTCTTGTCGCTGTAGAAAGGAAACAATGCTGCAGAACAAAGACAAACAGAAACTAAACTCAAATGTCAGCTCATAGTTGCTGCTGCCTGCAACTCAAGGTAACAGAGGAAATAACAAAAAACAGCAACCTAAGTAACTGACTTGAAATAGCAAAAATTATCTACATAACTAAGGACTGTCACACTAATCGAAGTTTTACTTCTTTATACTTTTACTTTGTTTTCATTAATGACTTGGGATTTGTGCATACAATCACATAACTGGGTGTTTTTGTGCATGCAACTCTCAGTATTTTGTTCAAGACCATTTTTTTCAATAACAAGTAACCAGTTCATTTATAAACTATATTTAAAGACAACAAAATCAGAGAAGAAATGTACACAAATAATTTATGAAAATAAAAACAATTCTAAATCAAATTCTTGGTGAACAAAAACATGTTAAAACATCAAGCAAAAGAAATCTGCGAAATGACAACATTCCAGAATTAGTAAATACAATACAACATGTTATTTTAGAGAAAGCAAACAAAGTTTCAGATGAATTATCCAGAATTTGATCCCCCGGTGCTTTCATGGTTTGGAAGAAATTATTTTCAGAGTAAACTTTGGTGGCAGATTGTATTCTCTGAGGATCTGGACGGAAAAACAGATATATGAGTCAAAGGTTAAAAAAGACACAAATAGACAAAAAAAAAAAATGGAAATAGATATTAGTTTACCTCTATCAAAGCATCTTCCCTTTCTGTCTCTGTCATTGGTCTGAAAAGCTTCAACCTCAGACTCAATCTCAAAACATAGCCTGTTGATAACAAAAATTAGATATTTAGAACTCACTAACATAACAGAAATCTATTAAATTGCAGATTGATAAAAAAATAATGTGATACTTGTTTTTGAGAAAAATTCAAACTTCAATATTTTTATATGACAAAAAATGTCCAAATAAGGGGATGGGAGATAATAAAAAAATGTTTATTTACTCACTTGGACCTGTTTGTCAGTCGATGGAGTTTCAAGTTGGTTTTGTTGACATGAAAAGAAAAACATATAGGAGTGATTTAATTTTCTTGTGACTTCAAGAAAAGAACAAGATAAAAACATTATAATTGCAGGTGTTACAAAATAAGACTTTCTCTTCTAGATTTACTAATCATTCAAAAAGTTCTACAGTGAAATGTAAGTATTAAAAAATTTGAATTGATGTGAAAAACAGATAAGAGTATCTTACCAGTAGATGCAAGAATGCTGACTCCACTGCTTCTGACATTTTCAAACACGGAGAAAAGAGTGAATGTGTAGTTTGTACGAGCAGTCAGAGATGTGACTGTATGGTTCACTGGTCCATCTCCATCTGGTGCACTGATGTTTGTCTCTGTGCCGTTAAACTGGAGAACAAAGCTGGTGTTGTTACCAACTTTATTCCACCGCAGGGTGATGCTGGTCTCATCTTGCTCTGATGCTCTGAAGCCTTTTGCATTTTTAGGTGCTAAAACAAAGAAAGGATAAAACTCAAATAATTTATTCAAAACCTTTACCCTCCAAAAGTTTACTTTCATAAATAATATTATGGTGATGATGATGATTAGAGTTCCACAGTCATAAGGCAAATGATAATTCTATTACGAATATTTCCAAGGCAAGTAATAATATTCGATCGAATTTTAATATGAAAATTCTAATCTAGTAAAACAAACATTTATGTTCAAATGCAAAGGCATAAAATAAAATTTATGGATTAGTTGATTTTAAGGTTTACTGTTTGAAGGAAGAAAGTTTTTTTTGGACCATTAAATGTGCAACAGATTGAAGTATATCTTCCTGTTTGAAAAATGATATAAATACATACTCAGAATAAAGACTGGTTCAACTGGCCAAATTATATGTTTCCATACAAGACTTGCTTGTCTTTTCAAATTGAGTGATGACTGTCTCAATGATTTGCTGTTACTTGTATATTTATATTGAACATTGAGTTCCTTCACATTAAATGAATTAAAACCCTTGTCAATCAACATTCTGCTTGATGCCTTTTTGCTCTCACAATTTATTTGAAATTTAAAAAATTCCAATTCTATTAATTTATTTTCTACCCTTATAAAAACTTTTGTTATGCATCACAGCTTCCTCATTGCATGTGGCATTAGACAACGTATTCCAATATAGAAGAAATATTTTTCTCCCACTAAATTGAGATTTGAATTTATTGTTCAGTGTGATGTTAGGAGGTTTGAATCCTTAATTGTTCAATTGGATTTTCAGGATTTTGGAGGAAAAAATGCTTGTCTTGGTTGTTAATAAATGAATGAACATTATATTCATACCAGTGAAAGCTGTAAGTTGTACTCCACTGCTTCTGATGTTCTCAAACACAGAGAAAAGAGTGAATGTATATTTGGTTCCAGCAGTGAGAAAAGAGACTGTGTGGTTCACTGGTCCATCTCCATCTGGTGCTGTGATGAATGTCTGTATGCTGTTAACCTGGACAAGAAAGTTGGTGCTGTTGTTGATTTTATTCCACTGCAGAGTGATGCTGCTCTCATCTTGATCTGATGACCTGAAGCCTTCTGCATTTTTAGGTGCTGAGACAAAAGAGATCAATTAATTTTTAACACAATTTAATCCCGCAAAAGATGGCATTTTAAAACAATGACAAAATAACATAAACTAAAATGTTAAACAGGAAATAATTTAGTTAAAAACAAATTCAAATATTTTATAAAATTTACGACACCATTTGCAGATCTTTACCGAAATACTTCATAAAATTTACATAAGGATCATATTAAAATCTTTACCAGTAACAGTTTGAAATTGTACTCCACTGCTTCTGACGTTCTCAAACAAAGAGAAGAGAGTGAATGTATATTTGGTCCTAGAATTGAGAAAAGAGACTTTGTAGTTCACTGGTCCATCTCCATCTGGTGCTGTGATGAATGTCTCTGATCCATTAAACTGGAGAACGTAGCTGGTGCTGTTGTTGATTTTATTCCACTGCAGAGTGATGCTGGTCTCATCTTGTTCTGATGCTCTCAAGCCTCCAATATTTATAGGAGCTGTGACAAAAACATAAAAATGTACCTCATGTCAATTCATAACCATTTGATAAGCTAAAGGGTTATTTTTACATCAATTTATTGAAGTATAAGAAAGTAGATGTAGAACAAAAATTTGTTAAATGTTAAGCTAACAGTTATCTTACCAGTAGCAACAGTGATGTTTACAGCACTGCTTCTAACATTCATAAACACACGGTAGAGTATGAATGTATATGTGGTTCCCGCAGTCAGAGATGTGACTGTATGGTTCACTGGTCCATCTCCATCTGGTGCTGTGATGTTTGTCTCTGTGCCTTTAAACTGGAGAACAAAGCTGGTGTTGTTGTTGTTGCCTTTATTCCACTGCAGAGTGATGCTGGTCTCATTTTGTTCTGATGCTCTGAAGCCCTCAGCATTTTCAGGAGCTGAGAAAAACAGTGATATTTAGAAATGATTCATCATAAAGTCACTGATAGTGACAAATAATATTGCTGTTTTTACAGCTGACGTTTTTCTGATAAACTGTCTCACCAAGAATTATGTAACATTTCTCCAACATCAGTTACTAAATAAACTCTTGTTTGAACCTTTGATGAAAATAAATCTCACCAGTCACTGCAGCAATGCTGACTCCACTGCTTCTGATGTTCTCAAACACAGAGAAGAGAGTGAATGTATATCTAGTTCCAGCAGTGAGAGATGAAACTGTCAGTAGTAACGGTTGTTGTCCAGCAGGTGCTGCTATAGTCAACTGTGTTTCATTATGTAGGAGGATGAAGCTAACATTGTTATTGACAATTTCCCACTGGAGAGTGATGCTGGTCTCATCCTGTCTCAGTGATGTGAAGCCTTGTGCGTTTTGGGGAGCTGCAAGAAATGAATACGAGATAAATTATGTCTTCAGTTCATTGTACTTTGGTAGTGTAATGACTTTCTCAAAATCATCTTTAATTGATGTCATGAAAAATGTCATGACATAGAAAAATTGTTGACCTTAGTTGTGAATGAATTAATGTATTTAAATCATACCAGTGACAGCTGTAAGTTGTACTCCACTGCTTCTGACGTTCTCAAACACAGAGAAGAGAGTGAATGTGTATCTAGTTCCAGCAGTGAGAGATGAAACTGTCAGTAGTAACGGTTGTTGTCCAGCAGGTGCTGCTATAGTCAACTGTGTTTCATATGTAGGAGGATGAAGCTGACATTGTTATTGACAATTTCCCACTGGAGAGTGATGCTGGTCTCATCCTGTCTCAGTGATGTGAAGCCTTGTGCGTTTTGGGGAGCTGCAAGAAATGAATACGAGATAAATTATGTCTTCAGTTCATTGTACTTTGGTAGTGTAATGACTTTCTCAAAATCATTTTTAATTGATGTCATGAAAAATGTCATGACATAGAAAAATTGTTGACCTTAGTTGTGAATGAATTAATGTATTTAAATCATACCAGTGACAGCTGTAAGTTGTACTCCACTGCTTCTGACGTTCTCAAACACAGAGAAGAGAGTGAATGTGTATTTAGTTACAGCAGTGAGAAAAGAGACTGTGTGGTTCACTGTCCATCTCCATCTGGTGCTGTGATGAATGTCTCTGATCCATTAAACTGGAGAACGTAGCTGGTGCTGTTGTTGATTTTATTCCACTGCAGAGTGATGCTGGTCTCATTTTGTTCTGATGCTCTAAAGACTCCAACATTTATAGGAGCTGTGACAAAAACATAAAAATGTACCTCATGTCAATTCTATAACTATTTGATAAGCTGAAGGGTTATTTTTACATCAATTTATTGAAGTGTAAGAAAGTAGATGTAGAACAAACAATTGTTAAATGTTAAGCTAACAGTTATCTTACCAGTAGCAAAGTGATGTTTACAGCACTGCTTCTAACATTCATAAACACACGGTAGAGTATGAATGTATATGTGGTTCCAGCAGTCAGAGATGTGACTGTATGGTTCACTGGTCCATCTCCATCTGGTGCTGTGATGTTTGTCTCTGATCCATTAAACTGGAGAACAAAGCTGGTGTTGTTGTCGCCTTTATTCCACTGCAGAGTGATGCTGGTCTCATTTTGTTCTGATGCTCTGAAGCCCTCAGCATTTTCAGGAGCTGAGAAAAACAGTGATATTTAGAAATGATTCATCATAAAGTCACTGATTGTGTCTACAGAAATAAAATTACTGTTTTAACATCTGAAGTTATTTGATTAATTGTTTCTCCAAGGTTTAAGGTTCATTTCTCTTTCATCAGTTACTAAAGGGTTTGTTTAAAATTTGGATGAAAATAAATCTCACCAGTCACTGCAGCAATGCTGACTCCCTGCTTCTGATGTTCTCAAACACAGAGAAGAGAGTGAATGTATATCTAGTTCCAGCAGTGAGAGATGAAACTGTCAGTAGTACTGGTTGTTGTCCAGCAGGTGCTGCTATAGTTAACTGTGTTTCATTATGTAGGAGGATGAAGCTGACATTGTTATTGACAATTTCCCACTGGAGAGTGATGCTGGTCTCATCCTGTCTCAGTGATGTGAAGCCTTGTGCGTTTTGGGGAGCTGCAAGAAATGAATACGAGATAAATTATGTCTTCAGTTTATTGTACTTTGGTAGTGGAATGACTTTCTCAAAATCATCTTTAATTCATGTCATGAAAAATGTCATGACATAGAAAAATTGTTGACCTTAGTTGTGAATGAATTAATGTATTTAAATCATACCAGTGACAGCTGTAAGTTGTACTCCACTGCTTCTGACGTTCTCAAACACAGAGAAGAGAGTGAATGTGTATTTAGTTACAGCAGTGAGAAAAGAGACTGTGTGGTTCACTGGTCCATCTCCATCTGGTGCTGTGATGAATGTCTCTGATCCATTAAACTGGAGAACGTAGCTGGTGCTGTTGTTGATTTTATTCCACTGCAGAGTGATGCTGGTCTCATTTTGTTCTGATGCTCTAAAGACTCCAACATTTATAGGAGCTGTGACAAAAACATAAAAATGTACCTCATGTCAATTCTATAACTATTTGATAAGCTAAAGGGTTATTTTTACATCAATTTCTTGAAGTATAAGAAAGTAGATGTAGAACAAACATTTGTTAAATGTTAAGCTAACAGTTATCTTACCAGTAGCAACAGTGATGTTTACAGCACTGCTTCTAACATTCATAAACACACGGTAGAGTATGAATGTATATCTGGTTCCAGCAGTCAGAGATGTGACTGTATGGTTCACTGGTCCATCTCCATCTGGTGCTGTGATGTTTGTCTCTGATCCATTAAACTGGAGAACAAAGCTGGTGTTGTTGTCGCCTTTATTCCACTGCAGAGTGATGCTGGTCTCATTTTGTTCTGATGCTCTGAAGCCCTCAGCATTTTCAGGAGCTGAGAAAAACAGTGAGATTTAGAAATGATTCATCATAAAGTCACTGATTGTGTCTACAGAAATAAAATTACTGTTTTAACATCTGAAGTTATTTGATTAATTGTTTCTCCAAGGTTTAAGGTTCATTTCTCTTTCATCAGTTACTAAAGGGTTTGTTTAAAATTTGGATAAAAATAAATCTCACCAGTCACTGCAGCAATGCTGACTCCACTGCTTCTGATGTTCTCAAACACAGAGAAGAGAGTGAATGTATATCTAGTTCCAGCAGTGAGAGATGAAACTGTCAGTAGTAATGGTTGTTGTCCAGCAGGTGCTGCTATAGTCAACTGTGTTTCATTATGTAGGAGGATGAAGCTGACATTGTTATTGACAATTTCCCACTGGAGAGTGATGCTGGTCTCATCCTGTCTCAGTGATGTGAAGCCTTGTGCGTTTTGGGGAGCTGCAAGAAATGAATACGAGATAAATTATGTCTTCAGTTTATTGTACTTTGGTAGTGTAATGACTTTCTCAAAATCATCTTTAATTGATGTCATGAAAAATGTCATGACATAGAAAAATTGTTGACCTTAGTTGTTGAATGAATTAATGTATTTAAATCATACCAGTGACAGCTGTAAGTTGTACTCCACTGCTTCTGACGTTCTCAAACACAGAGAAGAGAGTGAATGTGTATTTAGTTCCAGCAGTGAGAAAAGAGACTGTGTGGTTCACTGGTCCATCTCCATCTGGTGCTGTGATGAATGTCTCTGATCCATTAAACTGGAGAACGTAGCTGGTGCTGTTGTTGATTTTATTCCACTGCAGAGTGATGCTGGTCTCATTTTGTTCTGATGCTCTAAAGACTCCAACATTTATAGGAGCTGTGACAAAAAACATAAAAATGTACCTCATGTCAATTCCATAACTATTTGATAAGCTGAAGGGTTATTTTTACATCAATTTCTTGAAGTATAAGAAAGTAGATGTAGAACAAACATTTGTTAAATGTTAAGCTAACAGTTATCTTACCAGTAGCAACAGTGATGTTTACAGCACTGCTTCTAACATTCATAAACACACGGTAGAGTATGAATGTATATGTGGTTCCAGCAGTCAGAGATGTGACTGTATGGTTCACTGGTCCATCTCCATCTGGTGCTGTGATGTTTGTCTCTGATCCATTAAACTGGAGAACAAAGCTGGTGTTGTTGTCGCCTTTATTCCACTGCAGAGTGATGCTGGTCTCATTTTGTTCTGATGCTCTGAAGCCCTCAGCATTTTCAGGAGCTGAGAAAAACAGTGAGATTTAGAAATGATTCATCATAAAGTCACTGATTGTGTCTACAGAAATAAAATTACTGTTTTAACATCTGAAGTTATTTGATTAATTGTTTCTCCAAGGTTTAAGGTTCATTTCTCTACCATCAGTACTAAAGGGTTTGTTTAAAATTTGGATAAAAATAAATCTCACCAGTCACTGCAGCAATGCTGACTCCACTGCTTCTGATGTTCTCAAACACAGAGAAGAGTGAATGTGTATCTAGTTCCAGCAGTGAGAGATGAAACTGTCAGTAGTACTGGTTGTCCAGCAGGTGCTGCTATAGTCAACTGTGTTTCATTATGTAGGAGGATGAAGCTGACATTGTTATTGACAATTTCCCACTGGAGAGTGATGCTGGTCTCATCCTGTCTCAGTGATGTGAAGCCTTGTGCGTTTTGGGGAGCTGCAAGAAATGAATACGAGATAAATTATGTCTTCAGTTCATTGTACTTTGGTAGTGTAATGACTTTCTCAAAATCATCATTAATTGATGTCATGAAAATGTCATGACATAGAAAAATTGTTGACCTTAGTTGTGAATGAATTAATGTATTTAAATCATACCAGTGACAGCTGTAAGTTGTACTCCACTGCTTCTGACGTTCTCAAACACAGAGAAGAGAGTGAATGTGTATTTAGTTCCAGCAGTGAGAAAAGAGACTGTGTGGTTCACTGGTCCATCTCCATCTGGTGCTGTGATGAATGTCTCTGATCCATTAAACTGGAGAACGTAGCTGGTGCTGTTGTTGATTTTATTCCACTGCAGAGTGATGCTGGTCTCATTTTGTTCTGATGCTCTCAAGCCTCCAACATTTATAGGAGCTGTGACAAAAACATAAAATGTACCTCATGTCAATTCTATAACTATTTGATAAGCTAAAGGGTTATTTTTACATCAATTTCTTGAAGTATAAGAAAGTAGATGTAGAACAAACATTTGTTAAATGTTAAGCTAACAGTTATCTTACCAGTAGCAACAGTGATGTTTACAGCACTGCTTCTAACATTCATAAACACACGGTAGAGTATGAATGTATATCTGGTTCCAGCAGTCAGAGATGTGACTGTATGGTTCACTGGTCCATCTCCATCTGGTGCTGTGATGTTTGTCTCTGATCCATTAAACTGGAGAACAAAGCTGGTGTTGTTGTCGCCTTTATTCCACTGCAGAGTGATGCTGGTCTCATTTTGTTCTGATGCTCTGAAGCCCTCAGCATTTTCAGGAGCTGAGAAAAACAGTGAGATTTAGAAATGATTCATCATAAAGTCACTGATTGTGTCTACAGAAATAAAATTACTGTTTTAACATCTGAAGTTATTTGATTAATTGTTTCTCCAAGGTTTAAGGTTCATTTCTCTACCATCAGTTACTAAAGGGTTTGTTTAAAATTTGGATAAAAATAATCTCACCAGTCACTGCAGCAATGCTGACTCCACTGCTTCTGACGTTCTCAAACACAGAGAAGAGAGTGAATGTGTATTTAGTTCCAGCAGTGAGAGATGAAACTGTCAGTAGTAACGGTTGTTGTCCAGCAGGCGCTGCTATAGTCAACTGTGTTTCATTATGTAGGAGGATGAAGCTGACATTGTTATTGACAATTTCCCACTGCAGAGTGATGCTGGTCTCATCCTGTCTCAGTGATGTGAAGCCTTGTGCGTTTTGGGGAGCTGCAAGAAATGAATATGAGATAAATTATGTCTTCAGTTCATTGTACTTTGGTAGTGGAATGACTTTCTCAAAATCATCTTTAATTGATGTCATGAAAAATGTCATGACATAGAAAAATTGTTGACCTTAGTTGTGAATGAATTAATGTATTTAAATCATACCAGTGACAGCTGTAAGTTGTACTCCACTGCTTCTGACGTTCTCAAACACAGAGAAGAGAGTGAATGTGTATTTAGTTCCAGCAGTGAGAAAAGAGACTGTGTGGTTCACTGGTCCATCTCCATCTGGAGCTGTGATGAATGTCTCTGATCCATTAAACTGGAGAACGTAGCTGGTGCTGTTGTTGATTTTATTCCACTGCAGAGTGATGCTGGTCTCATTTTGTTCTGATGCTCTCAAGCCTCCAACATTTATAGGAGCTGTGACAAAAACATAAAAATGTACCTCATGTCAATTCTATAACTATTTGATAAGCTAAAGGGTTATTTTTACATCAATTTCTTGAAGTATAAGAAAGTAGATGTAGAACAAACATTTGTTAAATGTTAAGCTAACAGTTATCTTACCAGTAGCAACAGTGATGTTTACAGCACTGCTTCTAACATTCATAAACACACGGTAGAGTATGAATGTATATCTGGTTCCAGCAGTCAGAGATGTGACTGTATGGTTCACTGGTCCATCTCCATCTGGTGCTGTGATGTTTGTCTCTGATCCATTAAACTGGAGAACAAAGCTGGTGTTGTTGTCGCCTTTATTCCACTGCAGAGTGATGCTGGTCTCATTTTGTTCTGATGCTCTGAAGCCCTCAGCATTTCAGGAGCTGAGAAAAACAGTGAGATTTAGAAATGATTCATCATAAAGTCACTGATTGTGTCTACAGAAATAAAATTACTGTTTTAACATCTGAAGTTATTTGATTAATTGTTTCTCCAAGGTTTAAGGTTCATTTCTCTTTCATCAGTTACTAAAGGGTTTGTTTAAAATTTGGATAAAAATAAATCTCACCAGTCACTGCAGCAATGCTGACTCACTGCTTCTGATGTTCTCAAACACAGAGAAGAGAGTGAATGTATATCTAGTTCCAGCAGTGAGAGATGAAACTGTCAGTAGTAATGGTTGTTGTCCAGCAGGTGCTGCTATAGTCAACTGTGTTTCATTATGTAGGAGGATGAACCTGACATTGTTATTGACAATTTCCCACTGGAGAGTGATGCTGGTCTCATCCTGTCTCAGTGATGTGAAGCCTTGTGCGTTTTGGGGAGCTGCAAGAAATGAATACGAGATAAATTATGTCTTCAGTTCATTGTACTTTGGTAGTGGAATGACTTTCTCAAAATCATCTTTAATTGATGTCATGAAAAATGTCATGACATAGAAAAATTGTTGACCTTAGTTGTGAATGAATTAATGTATTTAAATCATACCAGTGACAGCTGTAAGTTGTACTCCACTGCTTCTGACGTTCTCAAACACAGAGAAGAGAGTGAATGTGTATTTAGTTCCAGCAGTGAGAAAAGAGACTGTGTGGTTCACTGGTCCATCTCCATCTGGTGCTGTGATGAATGTCTCTGATCCATTAAACTGGAGAACGTAGCTGGTGCTGTTGTTGATTTTATTCCACTGCAGAGTGATGCTGGTCTCATTTTGTTCTGATGCTCTAAAGACTCCAACATTTATAGGAGCTGTGACAAAAACATAAAAATGTACCTCATGTCAATTCCATAACTATTTGATAAGCTGAAGGGTTATTTTTACATCAATTTCTTGAAGTATAAGAAAGTAGATGTAGAACAAACATTTGTTAAATGTTAAGCTAACAGTTATCTTACCAGTAGCAACAGTGATGTTTACAGCACTGCTTCTAACATTCATAAACACACGGTAGAGTATGAATGTATATGTGGTTCCAGCAGTCAGAGATGTGACTGTATGGTTCACTGGTCCATCTCCATCTGGTGCTGTGATGTTTGTCTCTGATCCATTAAACTGGAGAACAAAGCTGGTGTTGTTGTCGCCTTTATTCCACTGCAGAGTGATGCTGGTCTCATTTTGTTCTGATGCTCTGAAGCCCTCAGCATTTTCAGGAGCTGAGAAAAACAGTGAGATTTAGAAATGATTCATCATAAAGTCACTGATTGTGTCTACAGAAATAAAATTACTGTTTTAACATCTGAAGTTATTTGATTAATTGTTTCTCCAAGGTTTAAGGTTCATTTCTCTACCATCAGTTACTAAAGGGTTTGTTTAAAATTTGGATAAAAATAAATCTCACCAGTCACTGCAGCATGCTGACTCCACTGCTTCTGATGTTCTCAAAACAGAGAAGAGAGTGAATGTATATCTAGTTCCAGCAGTGAGAGATGAAACTGTCAGTAGTATGGTTGTTGTCCAGCAGGTGCTGCTATAGTCAACTGTGTTTCATTATGTAGGAGGATGAAGCTGACATGTTATTGACAATTTCCACTGGAGAGTGATGCTGGTCTCATCCTGTCTCAGTGATGTGAAGCCTTGTGCGTTTTGGGGAGCTGCAAGAAATGAATACGAGATAAATTATGTCTCAGTTCATTGTACTTTGGTAGTGTAATGACTTTCTCAAAATCATCGTAATTGATGTCATGAAAAATGTCATGACATAGAAAATTGTTGACCTTGGTTGTGAATGAATTAATGTATTTAAATCATACCAGTGACAGCTGTAAGTTGTACTCCACTGCTTCTGACGTTCTCAAACACAGAGAAGAGAGTGAATGTGTATTTAGTTCCAGCAGTGAGAAAAGAGACTGTGTGGTTCACTGGTCCATCTCCATCTGGTGCTGTGATGAATGTCTCTGATCCATTAAACTGGAGAACGTAGCTGGTGCTGTTGTTGATTTTATTCCACTGCAGAGTGATGCTGGTCTCATTTTGTTCTGATGCTCTCAAGCTCCAACATTTATAGGAGCTGTGACAAAAACATAAAAATGTACCTCATGTCAATTCTATAACTATTTGATAAGCTAAAGGGTTATTTTTACATCAATTTCTTGAAGTATAAGAAAGTAGATGTAGAACAAAACATTTGTTAAATGTTAAGCTAACAGTTATCTTACCAGTAGCAACAGTGATGTTTACAGCACTGCTTCTAACATTCATAAACACACGGTAGAGTATGAATGTATATGTGGTTCCCGCAGTCAGAGATGTGACTGTATGGTTCACTGGTCCATCTCCATCTGGTGCTGTGATGTTTGTCTCTGATCCATTAAACTGGAGAACAAAGCTGGTGTTGTTGTCGCCTTTATTCCACTGCAGAGTGATGCTGGTCTCATTTTGTTCTGATGCTCTGAAGCCCTCAGCATTTTCAGGAGCTGAGAAAAACAGTGAGATTTAGAAATGATTCATCATAAAGTCACTGATTGTGTCTACAGAAATAAAATTACTGTTTTAACATCTGAAGTTATTTGATTAATTGTTTCTCCAAGGTTAAGGTTTTTCTCTACCATCAGTTACTAAAGGGTTTGTTTAAATTTGGATAAAAATAAATCTCACCAGTCACTGCAGCAATGCTGACTCCACTGCTTCTGATGTTCTCAAACACAGAGAAGAGAGTGAATGTGTATCTAGTTCCAGCAGTGAGAGATGAAACTGTCAGTAGTATGGTTGTTGTCCAGCAGGTGTGCTATAGTCAACTGTGTTTCATTATGTAGGAGGATGAAGCTGACATTGTTATTGACAATTTCCACTGGAGAGTGATGCTGGTCTCATCCTGTCTCAGTGATGTGAAGCTTGTGCGTTTTGGGGAGCTGCAAGAAATGAATACGAGATAAATTATGATTTCAGTTCATTGTACTTTGGTAGTGTAATGACTTTCTCAAAATCATCTGTAATTGATGTCATGAAAAATGTCATGACATAGAAAAATTGCTGACCTTAGTTGTGAATGAATTAATGTATTTAAATCATACCAGTGACAGCTGTAAGTTGTACTCCACTGCTTCTGACGTTCTCAACACAGAGAAGAGAGTGAATGTGTATTTAGTTCCAGCAGTGAGAAAAGAGACTGTGTGGTTCACTGGTCCATCTCCATCTGATGCTGTGATGAATGTCTCTGATCCATTAAACTGGAGAACGTAGCTGGTGCTGTTGTTGATTTTATTCCACTGCAGAGTGATGCTGGTCTCATTTTGTTCTGATGCTCTAAGACTCCAACATTTATAGGAGCTGTGACAAAAACATAAAAATGTACCTCATGTCAATTCCATAACTATTTGATAAGCTAAAGGGTTATTTTACATCAATATCTTGAAGTAAGAAAGTAGATGTAGAACAAACATTTGTTAAATGTTAAGCTAACAGTTATCTTACCAGTAGCAACAGTGAGTTTACAGCACTGCTTCTAACATTCATAAACACACGGTAGAGTATGAATGTATATCTGGTTCCAGCAGTCAGAGATGTGACTGTATGGTTCACTGGTCCATCTCCATCTGGTGCTGTGATGTTTGTCTCTGATCCATTAAACTGGAGAACAAAGCTGGTGTTGTTGTCGCCTTTATTCCACTGCAGAGTGATGCTGGTCTCATTTTGTTCTGATGCTCTGAAGCCCTCAGCATTTTCAGGAGCTGAGAAAAACAGTGAGATTTAGAAATGATTCATCATAAAGTCACTGATTGTGTCTACAGAAATAAAATTACTGTTTTAACATCTGAAGTTATTTGATTAATTGTTTCTCCAAGGTTTAAGGTCATTTCTCTACCATCAGTTACTAAAGGGTTTGTTTAAAATTTGGATAAAAATAAATCTCACCAGTCACTGCAGCAATGCTGACTCCACTGCTTCTGACGTTCTCAAACACAGAGAAGAGAGTGAAGTATATCTAGTTCCAGCAGTGAGAGATGAAACTGTCAGTAGTAACGGTTGTTGTCCAGCAGGTGCTGCTATAGTCAACTGTGTTTCATTATGTAGGAGGATGAAGCTGACATGTTATTGACAATTTCCCACTGCAGAGTGATGCTGGTCTCATCCTGTCTCAGTGATGTGAAGCCTTGTGCGTTTTGGGGAGCTGCAAGAAATGAATATGAGATAAATTATGTCTTCAGTTCATTGTACTTTGGTAGTGGAATGACTTTCTCAAAATCATCTTTAATTGATGTCATGAAAATGTCATGACATAGAAAAATTGTTGACCTTGGTTGTGAATGAATTAATGTATTTAAATCATACCAGTGACAGCTGTAAGTTGTACTCCACTGCTTCTGACGTTCTCAACACAGAGAAGAGAGTGAATGTGTATTTAGTTCCAGCAGTGAGAAAAGAGACTGTGTGGTTCACTGGTCCATCTGCATCTGGTGCTGTGATGAATGTCTCTGATCCATTAAACTGGAGAATGTAGCTGTGCTGTTGTTGATTTTATTCCACTGCAGAGTGATGCTGGTCTCATTTTTGTCTGATGCTCTAAAGACTCAACATTTATAGGAGCTGTGACAAAAACATAAAAATGTACCTCATGTCAATTCTATAACTATTTGATAAGCTAAAGGGTTATTTTTACATCAATTTCTTGAAGTATAAGAAAGTAGATGTAGAACAAACATTTGTTAAATGTTAAGCTAACAGTTATCTTACAGTAGCAAGCAGTGATGTTTACAGCACTGCTTCTAACATTCATAAACACACGGTAGAGTATGAATGTATATCTGGTTCCAGCAGTCAGAGATGTGACTGTATGGTTCACTGGTCCATCTCCATCTGGTGCTGTGATGTTTGTCTCTGATCCATTAAACTGGAGAACAAAGCTGGTTTGTTGTCGCCTTTATTCCACTGCAGAGTGATGCTGGTCTCATTTGTTCTGATGCTCTGAAGCCCTTCAGCATTTTCAGGAGCTGAGAAAAACAGTGAGATTTAGAAATGATTCATCATAAAGTCACTGATTGTGTCTACAGAAATAAAATTACTGTTTTAACATCTGAAGTTATTTGATTAATTGTTTCTCCAAGGTTTAAGGTTCATTTCTCTGCCATCAGTACTAAAGGGTTTGTTTGAAAATTTGGATAAAAATAAATCTCACCAGTCACTGCAGCAATGCTGACTCCACTGCTTCTGATGTTCTCAACACAGAGAAGAGAGTGAATGATATCTAGTTCCAGCAGTGAGAGATGAAACTGTCAGTAGTAATGGTTGTTGTCCAGCAGGTGCTGCTATAGTCAACTGTGTTTCATTATGTAGGAGGATGAAGCTGACATTGTTATTGACAATTTCCCATGGAGAGTGATGCTGGTCTCATCCTGTCTCAGTGATGTGAAGCCTTGTGCGTTTTGGGGAGCTGCAAGAAATGAATACGAGATAAATTATGTCTTCAGTTCATTGTATTTGGTAGTGTAATGACTTTCTCAAATCATCTTTAATTGATGTCATGAAAATGTCATGACATAGAAAAAATTGTTGACCTAGTTGTGAATGAATTAATGTATTTAAATCATACAGTGACAGCTGTAAGTTGTACTCCACTGCTTCTGACGTTCTCAAACACAGAGAAGAGAGTGAATGTGTATTTAGTTGCAGCAGTGAGAAAGAGACTGTGTGGTTCACTGTCCATCTCCATCTGGAGCTGTGATGAATGTCTCTGATCCATTAAACTGGAGAACGTAGCTGGTGCTGTTGTTGATTTTATTCCACTGCAGAGTGATGCTGGTCTCATTTTGTTCTGATGCTCTAAAGACTCAACATTATAGGAGCTGTGACAAAAACATAAAAATGTACTCATGTCAATTCTATAACTATTTGATAAGCTTAAAGGTTATTTTTACATCAATTTCTTGAAGTATAAGAAAGTAGATGTAGAACAAACATTGTTAAATGTTAAGCTAACAGTTATCTTACCAGTAGCAACAGTGATGTTTACAGCACTGCTTTCTAACATTCATTAAACACACGGTAGAGTATGAATGTATATGTGGTTCCAGCAGTCAGAGATGTGACTGTATGGTTTCCACTGGTCCATCTCCATCTGGTGCTGTGATGTTTGTCTCTGATCCATTAAACTGGAGAACAAAGCTGGTTGTTGTTGTCGCCTTATTCCACTGCAGAGTGATGCTGGTCTCATTTTGTTCTGATGCTCTGAAGCCCTCAGCATTTTCAGGAGCTAGAGAAAACAGTGAGATTTAGAAATGATTCATCATAAAGTCACTGATTGTCTACAGAAATAAAATTACTGTTTTAACATCTGAAGTTATTTGATTAATTGTTTCTCCAAGGTTTAAGGTTCATTTCTCTACATCAGTTACTAAAGGGTTTGTTTAAAATTTGGATAAAATAAATCTCACCAGTCACTGCAGCAATGCTGACTCCACTGCTTCTGATGTTCTCAAACACAGAGAAGAGAGTGAATGTATCTAGTTCCAGCAGTGGAGATGAAACTGTCAGTAGTAATGGTTGTTGTCCAGCAGTGCTGCTATAGTCAACTGTGTTTCATTATGTAGGAGGATGAAGCTGACATTGTTATTGACAATTCCCACTGGAGAGTGATGCTGGTCTCATCCTGTCTCAGTGATGTGAAGCCTTGTGCGTTTTGGGGAGCTGCAAGAAATGAATACGAGATAAATTATGTCTTCAGTTCATTGTACTTTGGTAGTGTAATGACTTTCTCAAAATCATCTGTAATTATGTCATGAAAAATGTCATGACATAGAAAAATTGTTGACCTTAGTTGTGAATGAATAATGTATTTAAATCATGACAGTGACAGCTGTAAGTTGTACTCCACTGCTTCTGACGTTCTCAAACACAGAGAAGAGAGTGAATGTGTATTTAGTTCAGCAGTGAGAAAAGAGACTGTGTGGTTCACTGCGTCCATCTCCATCTGGGTGCTGTGATGAATGTCTCTGATCCATTAAACTGGAGAACGTAGCTGGTGCTGTTGTTGATTTTATTCCACTGCAGAGTGATGCTGGTCTCATTTTGTTCTGGATGCTCTAAAGACTCCAACATTTATAGGAGCTGTGACAAAAACATAAAAATGTACCTCATGTCAATCTATAACTATTTGATAAGCTAAAGGTTATTTTACATCATTTCTTGAAGTCATAAGAAAGTAGATGTAGAACAAACATTTGTTAAATGTTAACTAACAGTTATCTTACCAGTAGCAACAGTGATGTTTACAGCACTGCTTCTAACATTCATAAACACACGTATAGAGTATGAATGTATATCTGGTTCCAGGCAGTCAGAGATGTGACTGTATGGTTCACTGGTCCATCTCCATCTGGTGCTGTGATGTTTGTCTCTGATCCATTAAACTGGAGAACAAAGCTGGTGTTGTTGTCGCCTTATTCCACTGGCAGAGTGATGCTGGTCTCATTTTGTTCTGATGCTCTGAGCCCTCAGCATTTTCAGGAGCGGAGAAAAACAGTGAGATTTAGAAATGATTCATCATAAAGTCACTGATTGTGTCTACAGAAATAAAATTACTGTTTTAACATCTGAAGTTATTTGATTAATTGTTTCTCCAAGGTTTAAGGTTCATTTCTCTACCATCAGTTACTAAAGGGTTTGTTTAAAATTTGGGATAAATAATCTCACCAGTCACTGCAGCAATGCTGACTCCACTGGCTTCTGATGTTCTCAAACACAGAGAAGAGAGTGAATGTATATCTAGTTCCAGCAGTGAGAGATGAAACTGTCAGTAGTAATGGTTGTTGTCCAGCAGGTGCTGCTATAGTCAACTGTGTTTCATTATGTAGGAGGATGAAGCTGACATTGTATTGACAATTTCCCACTGGAGAGTGATGCTGGTCTCATCTGTCTCAGTGATGTGAAGCCTTGTGCGTTTTGGGGAGCTGCAAGAAATGAATACGAGATAAATTATGTCTTCAGTTCTTGTACTTTGGTAGTGTAATGACTTTCTCAAATCATGCGTTAATTGATGTCATGAAAAAATGTCATGACATAGAAAAATTGTTGACCTTAGTTGTGAATGAATTAATGTATTTAAATCATACCAGTGACAGCTGTAAGTTGTACTCCACTGCTTCTGACGTTCTCAAACACAGAGAAGAGAGTGAATGTGTATTTAGTTCCAGCAGTGAGAAAAGAGACTGTGTGGTTCACTGGTCCATCTCCATCTGGTGCTGTGATGAATGTCTCTGATCCATTAAAACTGGAGAACGTAGCTGGTGCTGTTGTTGATTTTATTCCACTGCAGAGTGATGCTGGTCTCATTTTGTTTGATGCTCAAAGACTCCAACATTTATAGGGAGCTGTGACAAAAAACATAAAAATGTACCTCATGTCAATTCCATAAACTATTTGATAAGCGGAAGGGTTATTTTACATCAATTTCTTGAAGTATAAGAAAGTAGATGAGAACAAACATTTGTTAAATGTTAAGACTAACAGTTATCTTACCAGTAGCAACAGTGATGTTTACAGCACTGCTTCACATTCATAAACACACGGTAGAGGATGAATATATGTGGTTCCCGCAGTCAGAGATGTGACTGTATGGTTCACTGGTCCATCTCCATCTGGTGCTGTGATGTTTGTCTCTGATCATTAAACTGGAGAACAAAGCTGGTGTTGTTGTCGCCTTTATTCCACTGCAGAAGTGATGCTGGTCTCATTTTGTTCTGATGCTCTGAAGCCCTCAGCATTTTCAGGAGCTGAGAAAAACAGTGAGATTTAGAAATGATTCATAAAGTCCACTGATTGTGCCTACAGAAATAAAATTACTGTTTTAACATCTGAAGTTATTTGATTAATTGTTTCTCCAAGGTTTAAGGTTCATTTCTCTACCATCAGTTACTAAAGGGTTTGTTTAAAATTTGGATAAAAATAAATCTCACCAGTCACTGCAGCAATGCTGACTCCACTGCTTCTGATGTTCTCAAACACAGAGAAGAGAGTGAATGTATATCTAGTTCCAGCAGTGAGAGATGAAACTGTCAGTAGTACTGGTTGTTGTCCAGCAGGTGCTGCTATAGTCAACTGTGTTTCATTATGTAGGAGGATGAAGCTGACATTGTTATTGACAATTTCCCACTGGAGAGTGATGCTGGTCTCATCCTGTCTCAGTGATGTGAAGCCTTGTGCGTTTTGGGGAGCTGCAAGAAATGAATACGAGATAAATTATGTCTTCAATTCATTGTACTTTGTTAGTGGAATGACTTTCTCAAAATCATCGGTAATTGATGTCATGAAAAATGTCATGATATAGAAAAATTGTTGACCTTGGTTGTGAATGAATTAATGTATTTAAATCATACCAGTGACAGCTGTAAGTTGTACTCCACTGCTTCTGACGTTCTCAAACACAGAGAAGAGAGTGAATGTGTATTTAGTTCCAGCAGTGAGAAAAGAGACTGTGTGGTTCACTGGTCCATCTCCATCTGATGCTGTGATGAATGTCTCTGATCCATTAAACTGGAGAACGTAGCTGGTGCTGTTGTTGATTTTATTCCACTGCAGAGTGATGCTGGTCTCATTTTGTCCTGATGCTCTAAAGACTCCAACATTTATAGGAGCTGTGACAAAAACATAAAAATGTACCTCATGTCAATTCTATAACTATTTGATAAGCTGAAGGGTTATTTTTACATCAATTTCTTGAAGTATAAGAAAGTAGATGTAGAACAAACATTTGTTAAATGTTAAGCTAACAGTTATCTTACCAGTAGCAACAGTGATGTTTACAGCACTGCTTCTAACATTCATAAACACACGGTAGAGTATGAATGTATATCTGGTTCCAGCAGTCAGAGATGTGACTGTATGGTTCACTGGTCCATCTCCATCTGGTGCACTGATGTTTGTCTCTGATCCATTAAACTGGAGAACAAAGCTGGTGTTGTTGTCGCCTTTATTCCACTGCAGAGTGATGCTGGTCTCATTTTGTTCTGATGCTCTGAAGCCCTCAGCATTTTCAGGAGCTGAGAAAAACAGTGAGATTTAGAAATCATTCATCATAAAGTCACTGATTGTGTCTACAGAAATAAAATTACTGTTTTAATATCTGAAGTTATTTGATTAATTGTTTCTCCAAGGTTTAAGGTTCATTTCTCTACCATCAGTTACTAAAGGGTTTGTTTAAAATTTGGATAAAAATAAATCTCACCAGTCACTGCAGCAATGCTGACTCCACTGCTTCTGATGTTCTCAAACACAGAGAAGAGAGTGAATGTGTATCTAGTTCCAGCAGTGAGAGATGAAACTGTCAGTAGTAGTGGTTGTTGTCCAGCAGGTGCTGCTATAGTCAACTGTGTTTCATTATGTAGGAGGATGAAGCTGACATTGTTATTGACAATTTCCCACTGGAGAGTGATGCTGGTCTCATCCTGTCTCAGTGATGTGAAGCCTTGTGCGTTTTGGGGAGCTGCAAGAAATGAATATGAGATAAATTATGTCTTCAGTTCATTGTACTTTGGTAGTGGAATGACTTTCTCAAAATCATTTTTAATTGATGTCATGAAAAATGTCATGACATAGAAAAATTGTTGACCTTAGTTGTGAATGAATTAATGTATTTAAATCATACCAGTGACAGCTGTAAGTTGTACTCCACTGCTTCTGACGTTCTCAAACACAGAGAAGAGAGTGAATGTGTATTTAGTTCCAGGAGTGAGAAAAGAGACTGTGTGGTTCACTGGTCCATCTCCATCTGGTGCTGTGATGAATGTCTCTGATCCATTAAACTGGAGAACGTAGCTGGTGCTGTTGTTGATTTTATTCCACTGCAGAGTGATGCTGGTCTCATTTTGTCCTGATGCTCTAAAGCCTCCAACATTTATAGGAGCTGTGACAAAAACATAAAAATGTACCTCATGTCAATTCTATAACTATTTGATAAGCTGAAGGGTTATTTTTACATCAATTTCTTGAAGTATAAGAAAGTAGATGTAGAACAAACATTTGTTAAATGTTAAGCTAACAGTTATCTTACCAGTAGCAACAGTGATGTTTACAGCACTGCTTCTAACATTCATAAACACACGGTAGAGTATGAATGTATATCTGGTTCCAGCAGTCAGAGATGTGACTGTATGGTTCACTGGTCCATCTCCATCTGGTGCTGTGATGTTTGTCTCTGATCCATTAAACTGGAGAACAAAGCTGGTGTTGTTGTCGCCTTTATTCCACTGCAGAGTGATGCTGGTCTCATTTTGTTCTGATGCTCTGAAGCCCTCAGCATTTTCAGGAGCTGAGAAAAACAGTGAGATTTAGAAATGTTTCATCATAAAGTCACTGATTGTGCCTACAGAAATAAAATTACTGTTTTAACATCTGAAGTTATTTGATTAATTGTTTCTCCAAGGTTTAAGGTTCATTTCTCTACCATCAGTTACTAAAGGGTTTGTTTAAAATTTGGATAAAAATAAATCTCACCAGTCACTGCAGCAATGCTGACTCCACTGCTTCTGATGTTCTCAAACACAGAGAAGAGAGTGAATGTATATCTAGTTCCAGCAGTGAGAGATGAAACTGTCAGTAGTACTGGTTGTTGTCCAGCAGGTGCTGCTATAGTCAACTGTGTTTCATTATGTAGGAGGATGAAGCTGACATTGTTATTGACAATTTCCCACTGGAGAGTGATGCTGGTCTCATCCTGTCTCAGTGATGTGAAGCCTTGTGCGTTTTGGGGAGCTGCAAGAAATGAATACGAGATAAATTATGTCTTCAGTTCATTGTACTTTGGTAGTGGAATGACTTTCTCAAAATCTTTAATTGATGTCATGAAAAATGTCATGACATAGAAAAATTGTTGACCTTAGTTGTGAATGAATTAATGTATTTAAATCATACCAGTGACAGCTGTAAGTTGTACTCCACTGCTTCTGACGTTCTCAAACACAGAGAAGAGAGTGAATGTGTATTTAGTTCCAGGAGTGAGAAAAGAGACTGTGTGGTTCACTGGTCCATCTCCATCTGGTGCTGTGATGAATGTCTCTGATCCATTAAACTGGAGAACGTAGCTGGTGCTGTTGTTGATTTTATTCCACTGCAGAGTGATGCTGGTCTCATTTTGTTCTGATGCTCTAAAGACTCCAACATTTATAGGAGCTGTGACAAAAACATAAAAATGTACCTCATGTCAATTCTATAACTATTTGATAAGCTAAAGGGTTATTTTTACATCAATTTCTTGAAGTATAAGAAAGTAGATGTAGAACAAACATTTGTTAAATGTTAAGCTAACAGTTATCTTACCAGTAGCAACAGTGATGTTTACAGCACTGCTTCTAACATTCATAAACACACGGTAGAGTATGAATGTATATGTGGTTCCAGCAGTCAGAGATGTGACTGTGTGGTTCACTGGGCCATCTCCATCTGGTGCTGTGATGTTTGTCTCTGATCCATTAAACTGGAGAACAAAGCTGGTGTTGTTGTCGCCTTTATTCCACTGCAGAGTGATGCTGGTCTCATTTTGTTCTGATGCTCTGAAGCCCTCAGCATTTTCAGGAGCTGAGAAAAACAGTGAGATTTAGAAATGATTCATCATAAAGTCACTGATTGTGTCTACAGAAATAAAATTACTGTTTTAACATCTGAAGTTATTTGATTAATTGTTTCTCCAAGGTTTAAGGTTAATTTCTCTACCATCAGTTACTAAAGGGTTTGTTTAAAATTTGGATAAAAATAAATCTCACCAGTCACTGCAGCAATGCTGACTCCACTGCTTCTGATGTTCTCAAACACAGAGAAGAGAGTGAATGTATATCTAGATCCAGCAGTGAGAGATGAAACTGTCAGTAGTACTGGTTGTTGTCCAGCAGGTGCTGCTATAGTCAACTGTGTTTCATTATGTAGGAGGATGAAGCTAACATTGTTATTGACAATTTCCCACTGGAGAGTGATGCTGGTCTCATCCTGTCTCAGTGATGTGAAGCCTTGTGCGTTTTGGGGAGCTGCAAGAAATGAATACGAGATAAATTATGTCTTCAATTCATTGTACTTTGTTAGTGGAATGACTTTCTCAAAATCATCGGTAATTGATGTAATGAAAAATGTCATGACATTGAAAAATTGTTGACCTTAGTTGTGAATGAATTAATGTTTTTAAATCATACCAGTGACAGCTGTAAGTTGTACTCCACTGCTTCTGACGTTCTCAAACACAAAGAAGAGAGTGAATGTGTATTTAGTTCCAGCAGTGAGAAAAGAGACTGTGTGGTTCACTGGTCCATCTCCATCTGGTGCTGTGATGAATGTCTCTGATCCATTAAACTGGAGAACGTAGCTGGTGCTGTTGTTGATTTTATTCCACTGCAGAGTGATGCTGGTCTCATTTTGTTCTGATGCTCTAAAGACTCCAACATTTATAGGAGCTGTGACAAAAACATAAAAATGTACCTCATGTCAATTCTATAACTATTTGATAAGCTGAAGGGTTATTTTTACATCAATTTCTTGAAGTATAAGAAAGTAGATGTAGAACAAACATTTGTTAAATGTTAAGCTAACAGTTATCTTACCAGTAGCAACAGTGATGTTTACAGCACTGCTTCTAACATTCATAAACACACGGTAGAGTATGAATGTATATGTGGTTCCAGCAGTCAGAGATGTGACTGTATGGTTCACTGGTCCATCTCCATCTGGTGCTGTGATGAATGTCTCTGATCCATTAAACTGGAGAACAAAGCTGGTGTTGTTGTCGCCTTTATTCCACTGCAGAGTGATGCTGGTCTCATTTTGTTCTGATGCTCTGAAGCCCTCAGCATTTTCAGGAGCTGAGAAAAACAGTGAGATTTAGAAATGATTCATCATAAAGTCACTGATTGTGTCTACAGAAATAAAATTACTGTTTTAACATCTGAAGTTATTTGATTAATTGTTTCTCCAAGGTTTAAGATTAATTTCTCTACCATCAGTTACTAAAGGGTTTGTTTAAAATTTGGATAAAAGTAAATCTCACCAGTCACTGCAGCAATGCTGACTCCACTGCTTCTGATGTTCTCAAACACAGAGAAGAGAGTGAATGTATATCTAGTTCCAGCAGTGAGAGATGAAACTGTCAGTAGTACTGGTTGTTGTCCAGCAGGTGCTGCTATAGTCAACTGTGTTTCATTATGTAGGAGGATGAAGCTGACATTGTTATTGACAATTTCCCACTGGAGAGTGATGCTGGTCTCATCCTGTGTCAGTGGTGTGAAGCCTTGTGCGTTTTGGGGAGCTGCAAGAAATGAATACGAGATAAATTATGTCTTCAGTTCATTGCACTTCGTTAGTGGAATGACTTTCTCAAAATCATCGTTAATTGATGTCATGAAAAATGTCATGACATAGAAAAATTGTTGACCTTAGTTGTGAATGAATTAATGTATTTAAATCATACCAGTGACAGCTGTAAGTTGTACTCCACTGCTTCTGACGTTCTCAAACACAGAGAAGAGAGTGAATGTGTATTTAGTTCCAGCAGTGAGAAAAGAGACTGTGTGGTTCACTGGTCCATCTCCATCTGGTGCTGTGATGTTTGTCTCTGATCCATTAAACTGGAGAACAAAGTTGGTGCTGTTGTTGATTTTATTCCACTGCAGAGTGATGCTGGTCTCATTTTGTCCTGATGCTCTCAAACTTTTTGCATTTATAGGAGCTGAAAAATAAATATCAGGGGAAAAAAAGTCAAATTTCTTCACAAGCTTTATCCTCCAAATGATAGCATCTATGAAAAATATTGTGATAATGGTACAATGTATCCCACAATATAAATATGTGATTCTAACTTTTAAAAATAAAAAAACTATATTTTATCAAAATTTTACATAATAAAACAAATGTAGAATAAAAACCATTCTGTTTTGTTCAATAACTGAACCATAAGATAAAGTTGAGAGAGGAGTTTATGTTGATGTTTGTTGTCTGAATGAATAGAGATATTTTTAATTTTTCAGTGTCATCTTCAAGATGATGTAAACACAATTATAACAAAGAATTTTCTAAAATTGAACTTAATGATTCCTCTCAAACAACAAATATTATGTTTACATAAATGCATTTTTAGGTATCTCTTCATCTAGATGTAGTTGTTGTCTTGGGATGTAGAGAAATACAAATTTATTCGGAAACCAGTGACTTCTTGCATATGAATAATATTTAAACCCTGCTTATTCAATGTTTTGCTTGATCACTGTTTGCTCTAATTACATCGGATGGAGCAAGTTCAGCAATTTCTCAAAAGATTTGTTGGTAATATTTTGTCCTTCAAAAATTTAAAGCGGCCATGAAATGAAGTAAACATTTTTAACAGTTTGTTTTTGTCCTTACCAGAAGCAGCTTGAACTTGTACTCCACTGCTTCTGACGTTCTCAAACACAGAGAAGAGAGTAAATGTGTATCTAGTTCCAGCAGCGAGAGACGATACAGTGTAGTTCACTGGTCCATCTCCATCTGGTGCTGTGATGTTTGTCTCTGATCCATTAAACTGGAGAACAAAGCTGGTGTTGTTGTTGCCTTTATTCCACTGCAGAGTGATGCTGGTCTCATTTTGTTCTGATGCTCTGAAGCCCTCAGCATTTTCAGGAGCTGAGAAAAACAGTGAGATTTAGAAATGATTCATCATAAAGTCACTGATTGTGTCTACAGAAATAAAATTACTGTTTTAACATCTGAAGTTATTTGATTAATTGTTTCTCCAAGGTTTAAGATTAATTTCTCTACCATCAGTTACTAAAGGGTTTGTTTAAAATTTGGATAAAAGTAAATCTCACCAGTCACTGCAGCAATGCTGACTCCACTGCTTCTGATGTTCTCAAACACAGAGAAGAGAGTGAATGTATATCTAGTTCCAGCAGTGAGAGATGAAACTGTCAGTAGTACTGGTTGTTGTCCAGCAGGTGCTGCTATAGTCAACTGTGTTTCATTATGTAGGAGGATGAAGCTGACATTGTTATTGACAATTTCCCACTGGAGAGTGATGCTGGTCTCATCCTGTGTCAGTGGTGTGAAGCCTTGTGCGTTTTGGGGAGCTGCAAGAAATGAATACGAGATAAATTATGTCTTCAGTTCATTGCACTTCGTTAGTGGAATGACTTTCTCAAAATCATCGTTAATTGATGTCATGAACAATGTCATGACATAGAAAAATTGTTGACCTTAGTTGTGAATGAATTAATGTATTTAAATCATACCAGTGACAGCTGTAAGTTGTACTCCACTGCTTCTGACGTTCTCAAACACAGAGAAGAGAGTGAATGTGTATTTAGTTCCAGCAGTGAGAAAAGAGACTGTGTGGTTCACTGGTCCATCTCCATCTGGTGCTGTGATGTTTGTCTCTGATCCATTAAACTGGAGAACAAAGTTGGTGCTGTTGTTGATTTTATTCCACTGCAGAGTGATGCTGGTCTCATTTTGTCCTGATGCTCTCAAACTTTTTGCATTTATAGGAGCTGAAAAATAAATATCAGGGGAAAAAAAGTCAAATTTCTTCACAAGCTTTATCCTCCAAATGATAGCATCTATGAAAAATATTGTGATAATGGTACAATGTATCCCACAATATAAATATGTGATTCTAACTTTTAAAAATAAAAAAACTATATTTTATCAAAATTTTACATAATAAAACAAATGTAGAATAAAAACCATTCTGTTTTGTTCAATAACTGAACCATAAGATAAAGTTGAGAGAGGAGTTTATGTTGATGTTTGTTGTCTGAATGAATAGAGATATTTTTAATTTTTCAGTGTCATCTTCAAGATGATGTAAACACAATTATAACAAAGAATTTTCTAAAATTGAACTTAATGATTCCTCTCAAACAACAAATATTATGTTTACATAAATGCATTTTTAGGTATCTCTTCATCTAGATGTAGTTGTTGTCTTGGGATGTAGAGAAATACAAATTTATTCGGAAACCAGTGACTTCTTGCATATGAATAATATTTAAACCCTGCTTATTCAATGTTTTGCTTGATCACTGTTTGCTCTAATTACATCGGATGGAGCAAGTTCAGCAATTTCTCAAAAGATTTGTTGGTAATATTTTGTCCTTCAAAATTTAAAGCGGCCATGAAATGAAGTAAACATTTTTAACAGTTTGTTTTTGTCCTTACCAGAAGCAGCTTGAACTTGTACTCCACTGCTTCTGACGTTCTCAAACACAGAGAAGAGAGTAAATGTGTATCTAGTTCCAGCAGCGAGAGACGATACAGTGTAGTTCACTGGTCCATCTCCATCTGGTGCTGTGATGTTTGTCTCTGATCCATTAAACTGGAGAACAAAGCTGGTGTTGTTGTTGCCTTTATTCCACTGCAGAGTGATGCTGGTCTCATTTTGTTCTGATGCTCTGAAGCCCTCAGCATTTTCAGGAGCTGAGAAAAACAGTGAGATTTAGAAATGATTCATCATAAAGTCACTGATTGTGTCTACAGAAATAATATTACTGTTTTAACATCTGAAGTTATTTGATTAATTGTTTCTCCAAGGTTTAAGGTTCATTTCTCTACCATCAGTTACTAAAGGGTTTGTTTAAAATTTGGATAAAAATAAATCTCACCAGTCACTGCAGCAATGCTGAATCCGCTGCTTCTGATGTTCTCAAACACAGAGAAGAGAGTGAATGTGTATCTAGTTCCAGCAGTGAGAGATGAAACTGTCAGTAGTAATGGTTGTTGTCCAGCAGGTGCTGCTATAGTCAACTGTGTTTCATTATGTAGGAGGATGAAGCTGACATTGTTATTGACAATTTCCCACTGCAGAGTGATGCTAGTCTTATCCTGTGTCTGTGATGTGAAGCCTTGTGCGTTTTGGGGAGCTGCAAGAAATGAATACGAGATAAATTATGTCTTCAGTTCATTGGATGTTGGTCTGAGAACGACGATGAGATTTAGCAATGTTTCAACATATAGTCACTGACCTTGTATAGAAGAAATAATACGGTAACACTTTATTTGACTAATTGTGAATAGGACTGACATGAATGTCATCAACATGACACAAAACCCGTCTTGAACTTTCTGCTTTTTATACAATTATTCCATGTAACACTTTCTCAAAGGTTCAGATCTTAAGTCACATCTGTCAGTACAAAGCCAGAATACCATTTTTATAATATAAATATGATAAATCATTCTATCAACAATATTTATTGAAACAAATTACCTAATTTATGCTCATTAATATCCTTTGCTTTAATAAAGTTTAAAGGTAATTTTGTTTGGTGAACCTCTTTCACTATTTGTCATAATGAAATGGTTGGAAAACTTTTAACATAAAGGAAGAGACACTGGAGGAATTGGGGGGGGGAAACACATTTAGAGCCCTAGAAAATCTATAAAACATATTAATAATTTAACAAAAACAAGCAAGGCAACAAAACAAAATGTGTCTTTATAGCTAGTGAAACCAAATAATTAACTTTGAACAGCAAATTTCATTATTGAAACAAACATATGAAGAGGATAATTCTCTTAACAAGGAATCACCTCTGCAAATCCAGTATGTATAACTTAATGCACTAGTATTTGTTGTTGCATAATAAAGCTCTCAAAAATGCAAAACAAAAAAGCAGTAGGTGTTGGTAGGTGAAAATAGACACAGTGAGATAAATGTTCCAATTAAGCTTTAAATAACCACTTAAAGCTTTAAATTATTCTAATGTAGTATTTTAAATTAGTGCACAAATTGAAGTTGACAGACTATATCTGTGCATAGACGATCTCATCATAAATCTGAATTCATTAAACAATTTAGATTTCTGACAAACCACATTAATTATAAACAAATAACCAGAGCTTCTTTTACTGAAATGAATACCAGCCATTTCTTTATAAAACAGTATAAAGTTGTTGTTTTTGTTAGGATAGAAAATAAATTATTTTAAAGAGATTATTGTCGATACTCTTAGATGATGTGACTATTATTTGTGTAGAAGCAAAGGCATAATCCAAGAGGCAAAACACAGTAATCAATAACTGATTATGTCCATACATCAAAAGCTATTTCACTAATAAAAGTTATTCGAGGTGTGTTTTAGTTTTGCTTTAACATCAGATAAACTTTGGCACTCTAAGGAAACTGCTGGCAGTTTGCCATCTACAGTCAGTTGAAGAGTGGAAAATGATGAATAACTGCTCAGGTTTTTGTTTTAAACTTTGTCATGGAGCTAATATAACGAGGCAATTACATTGTGGAAACTTTGGGACTTTTAGATTCCTAGAGGGATACATTATTTTTACATCTTGAAATTGCTTATTTTCCTCAGCTCCATGAGAGTCATTCTCATATTCTTCTGTGAAAGTCCTTCACGCTTATCCACAGAACTGAACCACCATGTAATAATGCCCAGAATTTTTTAATCCAGTTCTCATCATATTCATTATTATTGTCTTTCATAAACCTTTATTTAAGCTTTCTCCTCAGAGCAATCATGAATTTGGATAGAGCACCGTATCAAAACCATTACAGACACAGAAGAACAGGGAAGTGCAGTTCAAGCTTTCGATGGGTGGAGAAACTTAATGATGGAAAAGTTTGCGTGCAATGCATTCTGAAGAACTTGTATTTCTACGAGTATTTTTAACTTCCTGTTGAACAACTAGCAACGTGGTACAATATACTGCAGTTCAGAACTTTTGTTGCTCTCTGTCAGCAAAGAATCAAGATTACATGTAAAAATTTACTGTCTACCGTCAGAGTTCCTTCATTATGCCCTTGCCTTTACATAAGTATAAATATATAAACATAAACACTTAACCACTTAGAAACAAAAATATTATCAAAAATAAAGATAATTACATCTTTATTTTCCAATTGGTCCTGTTGGTCATAATGTGTAGCTATGGGAAATGTATCAATAGTGTTGATAGGCTACCAAGCACTGGACAAGTTTTAATAATTATTATAGTTAATTCTTGTAGCCATTTATTGGCAAACTTATGATCAAATTCTTCTGAGCAGGGGAAAAAAATCATAATTACAATTGACAAACTTCTCATTTAATTTATATAACTTTTATGAAAAATAACTTACCAGTGATCTACATAATTTAGTGCATGCAGTCTTAAGTAGACGTCACATTCAAGGATGTGAAGTTTACATGTTGAAACCTGTTGCCCATTTTCTGGCTGCTTTGTTGTTTTTAAGCAAATTTCACTACTTTGAAAATTGTTGCAAAAGAAAAGTTTGTTTAAACTAGGATGTTGCTCTCTTAGTTTCACACTAAAACCTAAAAACATATACACTCTCTCTCTATAGTTAAGATATTGCTATATTACATGGAATTTGAAAACAAACAAAACTGCACAAATATTCAATTAAAACCATGTGGAAATTAAGTTAAGAATCATACCAGTGACAGCAGTAAGTTGTACTCCACTGCTTCTGACGTTTTCAAACACAGAGAAGAGAGTGAATGTGTATTTAGTTCCAGCAGTGAGAGACGAGACTGTGTGGTTCACTGGTCCATCTCCATGTGGTGCTGTGATGAATGTCTCTGATCCATTAAACAGGAGAACAAAGCTGGTGTTGTTGTTGATTTTATTCCACTGCAGAGTGATGCTGCTCTCATCTTGAATGGATGACCTGAAACCTTCTGCATTTCGAGGCTCTTTGGAAAAAAACAAAAAACAAAGAAAAGATCACAAGTGACTCCATCATGTCACAACAGTACATCTGACAAGGAACATAAGATATATTAAAAAAAAGAAAGAAAAAGTATACTGAAAACATCTGTTAGTTTCACTGTAAAACATAAAGGTCTCAGAACAACAGGTGCAGCTTTTGAAAAATAATTAAACTTATTTCTCTTACTGGTAACTGCTGCAATGCTGACTCCACTACTTCTGACATTATCCAACACAGAGAAGAGAATGAATGTATATTTGGTTCCAGCAGTCAGAGATGTGACTGTATGGTTCACTGGTCCATCTCTATCTGGTGCACTGATGTTTGTCTCTGATCCATCAAACTGGAGAACAAAGCTGATGTTGTTGTTGATTTTATTCCACTGCAGAGTGATGCTGGTCTCATTTTGACTTGATGACCTGAAGCCTTCTGCTTTGGCTGGGACTGAGAGAGAAAGTTTATCTTTACTTAGAGACTACATGAAATAAAAAAATAAAGAAACGTAAGTCAAACTTCACTTATATATTTTATGCCTTAGAATTGGACTTTTCTGCAGAATGAAAACTGCAGCTGTATCAAAGATCTTTATTTTTCCCTTCATATATATAAAAAAAAATCATTATGAGACTCTAAAAACATGTTTATTTGAAATTGAAAACACCTTTACCTGAAGCTCTTAATATTTTGTCTGTATAATTTTTTTGTGGATTTTTTTTATTCCATGGACAACACAGAAATATTTGTCTCTGCTGTTTTTAAAATTTACATTTATTTCAATGTCTAATTTAGTGTTTTTGTTTATGTTTTGTAAATGCAATCTTGCATCTCAATGAGACAACCTGTGCTGACGTCAAATAAAAAAAAATAAATAAATAGAAAAAATTCCAAAAGTTTCAAAGAGAATGTAAAGCATGAGTTTACAGTTTTAGTATATGAGCAGTCAACACATTTGCTTCTTATGCTAAAGACAAATATATAGTAAGAGTTACTTGGTTTGTAACAGATGAATGGAAAACTCTGGGTGCAGTCTTCATCCAACCATTTTCCCATGTCGCTGAATGAAGCAGCAACACACTGACTGTAGTCATTGTCTGGCTGACCGGTCGCCCAGTGTTGAAACAGGGAGGGGCTGCTATCTGACCACAGCTTTTCCCGATAAAGCCCAATCCACACTTCAATGCCACCTAGTAGTGTTCTGATGTTATTATTTTCTGCTTGATTTCGTATACTGTGAAGAAAATTACAGAAAAAAAAGTGGGAAAAGAAAACTCATAGTGCTAAGTAGTACATATTTATTTTTTTAGATATATATTTTGCTTTTATTACCTGGCTAGGTCAATATAATTCTCTCTGCAGAATCGCTGAGCTTCGGTCCAATTCAGTGATTGGGTACTGACAAAATAAGACGGCGAGCCACCGACTATACCTGCAAATAAAACAGACTGATGATTAGGAATGCTTGAAATTTACCAGTCAAGTTAGCAGTAAGGGAATAAAGAGAAACTAATGCCATCACGTGGCTTTAACCAGAATTAAATGAGCAAAGATAGAAACAATATTTCCTCCTTTTCCCCATGACCAACATTTCAGTGTTCAGGACCTTTTATATCACAAAATATAGTGTAAACTGAAAGAAAATCTTACCGGTGTAACACAAAAAACGCCTTAGGTCCGAGCACTGACGGTCATCCCATCCACCCAAATGCACGCTGTCACTTAAAAACCTAACACAGTGCTGCTGTCCCCCCAAGTCATTGGGTGAGCCAGATATCCAGTTCCTAAATGTATACTCTCCAGCTCCATAGAAGCTGCTGTCATTCAGGGACCATTTCCAGCTGTTGTACAACTCATCATAGAGACCTATCCAAGCATTGCCTGTTGAAGAACAAAGTTTCAAGTTGTCAGTGAGCAGCTGTGAAGATTCATCTGAAGGAGAATTTTATTTATTTATATACATATCCAGGATAAGGTCTGTGTCTGAAATGTTTAAGTCTGCAGTGAGTGTTAAGAATCTACCTGAATAGCCAGTATTTGTCCTAAGAACAGCATCAACGTCGGCCAAGTTTTCAATGGTGGCCAGATCGGTGTAGTCCTGTCTGCAGACACTCTGGGCATTTGTCCAGGTTTGTGCAGAGCCTACAAAGTAGTACTGACGAGTTTGGGCAAAGGCAATGCTGAGGAGTGCACCTAAAATAAAACATATTGAGTAATGCATAGCTGATATATGAATGCATTCACTGGCCATTTTATTCAATGCACTTAACACAAACAGTGATTCAGCCAATTACGTGGCAGCAAGGCAATGCATTTAGGTAAATTTGGTAAAGAAAAGCTACTGATTGAGTTAGCTGACAGATTGTGAACTGTATGGATTAGTATGAATATGTTCCATCCTAGAAAAATATCTGCTTTAAACTTTGGGTACTCTGAAGAGTTACAATAGTTATCACAGTTTTTTGTTGTTGTTGTTTTCAGATCACTGAAACCACCAATAGAAATAAAGAAAACTAGGGAGCTAGTTTTACATCCTGAGATGATTTACTGCACTTATTTTCTCAATCATACTTTACTTTTCAATGTACAATTAAATTCTTGTCATTAGTTGTGGTTTTACAAATGATTGAAATTTTACAAAAAACTAATTAGCTCTGAGAATTTGATCAACTCTGAGTATACCACTTAAAAATAAGTAAAGTTTTTTTTTACATTTACTTTTTCATGAACAATCCTTTATTTTGAGTTTCTTACAGAAAGTATTTAGAAGAGAAAATTTTGGTTTTATTTATTTTTATGCTTTCCTTGTACAATCTCCCTATTTGTAGGAATGCTGATGATTTCAAATGAAAATGCAACAAAATACAGCATAAAGCAGAAAATGAAAACAAAAAGGTACAAACCTGTGAGTCCCAGGTAGATCAAGCTCAAATCCATGGGTCAAACGTTTAAAAAGACCAATAATCAAGTTGAGTTTTTTTTAATGGTCAGCCACTGAATTCATCTTATGAAGTCGTTTCACATCTCAGTCAAGCCAGCAAAAAAAAAAAAGAATTAAAAAAATCTAGATACTCAACATTAAGATTTTTAAATGAATCTTGTTCATTTTAAAAAGTATTAACTTTTTTGCTACTAAAATTGTCCCAACAGAAAATGCTACACACCCAAACAATGAGGAGACGTGTGCTGCAATGAACCAAAGACACTCATGAACACAAACTTCAGGCGCACTGCGTTTTTACAACTGTTAGAGAGCCGAGTAACAAAGAAACACGTCTGATTAGTTTTGTGGATCCTAGGAACTTTTTGTAAAGATTGTTCCTCGTTCTGCAGTCATAGGCAGGAATGAGGATGTGTTTGAACTCAACTCTTGTGAAAATTTAAATTGTTATCCTTGTTGTCACTTCAGGCACATTGTACTATCATTTACACAACTGAATAAAGTTCAGTTGTATTCCAAGCTGCAAAGCTTCTTGTTAATATGCTAACAAAACCAATGATGAATTTGACAATCAGTGGATCAATATCTTAAAAAATGCTCAGAAATCATATTCATTTGAAGATAAATTTTATTACACCAGGTTAAAGGATAAATCTAGCACATTTACAAGGTAGACTTATGTCTATAGATCCATTTTTTAAGTAAACAATTATAATAAATTCATAAACAGTAGAAAGGTCTCCTGACACTCCAGCTCAAACCTACAGTCCCAATAAAATGTGAAATCTCACTTAGCGATTCTCAATAAACCTTTACTGAAGGGTGTTTGGTTTGTTTGTTTTTTGTGTGAATTTCTGAATTGGCTTTCTTATTAGGCATTGTGTACATGTTGGACAAAGCCAAAACTCCTTAAAAGAGATTAACAAATTACAGCGAACACATTGGTAACTTGAATGGAAATCTGACAAAAAGAACAAAAGGATTACTCTGCATTGGCGTAATCAAAAGAATGAGGAACAGCTGGAGGAAAACCACAAGCAAAGGACAGATGAGTAAATGGAAAACACCTGAGCTGAGGAGGAAGCCGAGCTGAAAACGTAATCAAACAATGAGAAAAATCATAAAACTAACACAAGTAGAGATAGAAACATCAACATAAGTCTAAAGGCACAATAAATAATAAATTCTAATTAAGGCAGCAATTTATTTTTTGCATTAGTCAGACTGAAGATATTGTTTTTCCTCCATGCTTTGTAGTTAAGCCGCTCCAAGAAAAAAAAAACTATAGGCTACTTTCTGGTTTTTAATTATGAAAGACATCACAGGAACCGTGTTCCTACATTTTTCCATCTTTATCGTTCTTGTAGTTATCAGTTTTAGCCACCAGAGGGCATAACCTCGCTATTCTGAATGTTGCGAGTCCTTAGCAGGGCTATCAGTCTCACAAGCTACAATGCTGACAACAGAATGTTGATCAAAACAGCCTTAAAAAAGCAAAGTGAACTTCTACGAACTCTAGAAGTTCACTTAACAAAACTTCTCTGCTTTGTTACGTGATGGCTTTCATTTTAAAATTATGCTCATCCTCATTCTTGTACTGTCAGGTGTGCTGACAGCTGGCAAAAAGTAACTCCTCCATGAATGCCACACCCACCTGCCATACATTTAATCATGCAGAGCATCTCAATACTTTATTTATATGTACCTTGCAGCTTATGTATGTTACAAAATGTTATTTCAGGCAGCTACAATATATGGTTCCCAATTCAAAACTTTGTCAAATAAATAGCAAATGTTTTCAAACTTACATGATTTATTGTTTATGATGAGAGGAATAAACACAGTTAAAGAGCTGCACGTAAATTAATTTGTCCCCATTTTATGGAGGGGGAACAGATTATTTCAGGCACCTGAACTATCCATTCTCTCCTCTCCTCCCCCCATCATTTTGGGAAATAAGGAGCAACTTTTTCCAAATGCTCAAAACTTGTTATGTGTGATAGCATGTCATATACTAGAAATTTGCTTAATCCAGTAATCTGTCATGTTTTAAATTAGAAGGGGGTTTACCACAAAGTCTACGCTCACATCTTTGCAGGAAGTCTTAATTTTTGTGCCCTGCTGTCAGCCAGCTAGGTCCCATACCTTTATATCAGCAGTGCGCGTCCCGACACAGGGGGGAACAGAATTTTGCTCAAGACCTCTTCTGATGCTATTCCTTAAAATCTATAAAAGGTTAATTAAAATTGTTGAATTGTATAATATCAGTAACATTTTGTTTTATTTTTTTGAGGAATACCTGGAATATGAAGTGATGAAAACTTTTCATGACAAAGATTTTGCAAAAGAGATGACCTCACCGGGTCAAAAAGGAACCCACTGGCGCGTCAGAGAGTTAGAGCTGCCGCTTCCCGTGTGCACCTGAACGCAGCGCGGGAGCATCCGGCGGTGTAGGAGGAGGAGGAGGAGGGAGGAAGAGAGGAAGGAGAGCGACAGGAAGAAGAGGAAGCATATCGATGGTAAGCATGAAGAATATTCCCGGACTCTGAGCTGATCGACGGGGAAAACATCTTCCGTCGCTCGTTAAGAGGCCGACAGGAAGCGGAGGGAGACAACGGCGCGGCCAGGATGGAGGAGGAGAAGCAGTTCCTTTGTGGGGTGGTGGAAGGTGAGAGCGGCCGACTTCATCTGTGACCTCCTATAAATAATGTGATTTTTATGTTACTCCTGTGCTGAGCGTATTGATTCTGAATAGAGAATAGTGTGACCTGGACTACAGTTAAAAAAAAAACTAACGATCGTTTGCAGCTACTGTAAAATGGGCGTGGGAGTGTTGATAAATATATTTATGAAGGAAGAATAAGCTTGGATGAAAAGGTCTGTGGCAAATGATGGTGCCATCAGCCAAGTGAAGTGGAGATCAAAAAGGCAGGCAGCGGAAAGCATCAGATCTGTTTGAACTGTGCTGGAAATAAAGACAGAAATGCTGATAAATGGAACAGAAATGATGGGAGGAATGCAAATGATGTGATGAAGCTGGAAATGAATAGACTGGTGATAAGAGAATGAGATGAAGTTTGAATGACACGACAATAACAGATGATGACAGAGATGTTGTGGGGGAGATAGGAGGAGGAAGGCTGCTGTTATGGTGGGCAGTTAATTATCATGATGAGGATGATGATAATGATGATAACAAAGAAGGTGAAGAGGACACACGACTCAACAGATTTCTTAAATCTGTTGAGTACAGTTTTAATGAAGAGGAGAATTGTGATAATAATTCAGAAAAAAAAAGTAATTACAATTATTCTTGTTTGTTGTGCCACAGATTGCAATTATCGCAAAACAGCAGCATGTAGAGTCATTTACAAATAAATTCTGGTTAATTATGATGTTGCACATTTCCTCCATTTTTAGAGACAAATAGAAAGCTTTGTACTGTTTTGACTTATTTGAGGTGCTAAAGCAAAAATATTTGAATAATCCAGGTATATAAGATATAAGCAAACTGAGAGACGGCAGGGGATTCACAGCGTTCAGCTACGTCTGGACGGATAAGAGGAGATAACTTTAAAAAAACACAATGGCTTGAGTAACTGCTCAGGAAATGAGGAGCAAGATTAACCAAAAATGTTGTTTTAGGCATCTAGTATGTTAAGGTGAGTGAGTTTTCATTAAACTTTTCATTAAAGTTTTCATTAAACACTTTGTTCAAACAAAGTGTTTGAACTGTGTTGCATGAGCTTGAGTAAAATTATTGCAACATTTCTGCCATTTTTAACTACAATGTCCCACTGATACAGTAAACATTGTGTTTGAAAGTTACATGTTGTAAACAAAACACAAAACATTAAACAAGAGAAACAATGAAAGGGTAAACCAAAAGTAATTCAACTTTGCACAACAGCTCATTTAAATCCTATTTATTGTTCTGCATGAGTAGTAAAAAAAATTATCTAAATTTTAATGTGATATGCAGGACACCAAATAAAATCATCAGTGAGTAACTAAATCTTTTTAGTATTCTGTTTATTAAATAGTTAAGTTTTTCTTTTACTTTTAAGTATCTATCATTCCAGCTACAAACTGTATCATTTTATCCATCGAGTTCAGTATTCACAACAGACATCTTCTTAAATCTTATTCGTTCCACTGCAGTCCAGCAGCTTTATTCTTTATTCTTTACTTCCTAGATTTCCCCAAACTGTCTAGAAGGTTTCTCATGAGGTTGTTATTGGTCTGGCTTTGAAGCGAAGACTCCACTTACGTCTAGAAATATCAAAGATCACACATACGCACACCAAAGCAATAATGAAGAAATTCCAAAATGGCTTGCAGAAGGAAATGGTCTGGACTGCATTTTATTCACTTGTCACTCTGACCCACTTACTGTACTTGCCCTCATACACACATTGCAGACTTATTCAATAACATACAAGACTGGTAGGGACACTGGGGATGCTCCCATTTCTATTAATAGAAAATGTGATGGAGTGTGTGCATGTAGATAAATTAGGCCTAATCCAAATGCAGTGGGGATACGGCCAAGCGGGCGCTGGAAGATCTCAGATCGTTTGCCTTACTTTACGCTTTGCATTGTAGCAGCCAGTAGCGAGTATTAAAAAAACTGAGCTGCTCTTTGTTTATTTGGGAAATTTAGGAGATGACTTTGGTTTCCTAAAATTGTGGCCCATTCTGTCTGAGAGAACTTGTGAGTTAAATTTATAGGCCGCCTAGATTTCATTAACCTTTTTAACCCTGCCTGCATATTTTTCTTAATACTGAGATCAGGACTTTGTGATGGTCACTGCAGAACATTGATCTTGTTCTTAAGTTGAATTTGTATATTCAACTTGCTGTCTACTTAAGGTGACTGTACTTTTGGAACACCCATTTATACCTAAGACTGGTAGATCTTATTTCAAAATTTCCCTAGAGTATATGATGGCAGCAAAAGTTTGGATATTTTGATGGAGTTATCAGGCTTGAAAGATTCTGCCTAATCTTGGACAATATGGCCAGACACTTCAGTTTTACTTTCTGGTCACTAGAGATCCACAAATTAAGACTTTTGTTCTTATGTGCCAAATTGTAATTGGGCTTTTTATGTCTAACTTATATAATGTCCTCATTTCTGAGTGATCTTCAGTTCATGTCAATGGTGGAATCAGTCAATTGCGGATGACAACGCTGTAAAATATGAAAATGAAACAGTGGATTAAAAACAACCCGATTTGAGCCGATTTTAGTTATTGTGGTCACCCAGTACTTAGTCAAATATGGAGCAATGCAGGCCTGGGTTAAGTTAATGCAACATGGTTGGTTCACCCAGCAAAATGAGTTAGTTTCCAATAGAAAACATGGGCTAACATAACTAATTTCTAATGTTAACAATGAGCAGGTAAACACAGCAATGGTTTTTGTGTGTCTGTACTCATTATATATTTGTTTTTCTTTAGGTTTCTATGGTCGACCCTGGTCTATGGATCAGAGGAAAGTTCTCTTCCAGTGGTAAGAACATTCCTCAGTCTACTTGTGGCCTGTTGAATATTTTCTCAAGACATTTCAAACTGCTGCGTTTCAACCCTCTGTGTGACAGCATGTATTTAATCCAGATCATGACCTATTTGTCTGTACTGTGTTCATGTACGAATTTCAGTTTGGACTTTGACTGGGCCATGCTAATAATACATTTTGCTCCAAACCACAAGGGTCGAACTCCAGCACTAAATGGCTGCTATTTTTTGCTACGTCCCTCGTCCGACACACAATGGGGAACCAGACAGGTTTAGCCCTTCAATTTAATTTGAGTCACAGCCAAAGAAAGTAACTGCACTCCCTATTGAGTTGCAAAAAATTTTTTCGTTAGCAGTTTCCTCACAAAGAGAACGAAGCGGTGCATGACTCAGCTCCCTACGCAACACAAACGCAAAGTGTTATTTAGAAAAAAAGCATCGGTAATCTATTCATGTAAGGAGAAACAACCACATAAGTAAACAACGAGGAGAGAAGTGCCTCAAAGATGCTGTGAATCTATGCACTAATTAAAGATGAGGGGTTTTCATGCTCTCTCGTGTATTCTGTGTAGTTTGAAGGGAACCAATTAATTCTTCATGCCTCACTGGTCCTACCTTTAAGATTAAATCTTAAATCCTTACTGAAAGCTTGGACACAGTTTTATAGCTCAGAATCTAATAATAGCCTGGAGAGGGTACCTCTGCTTTCCTAAGCAAAAATAATTAGTCCATTGTTTGATTCTGTTTGCAGTTTTGTCCTTATAGCACACAGCAAGCAGCTGGGATTAAGTCTTGAGAATTCTGCCTGACAGATTTTAAAATTAAAATGTGTCTGTAGTTTGCACAACCTTGCTAAACAGTCACTTTGTTATGAAGATGCTACACCAACAGCTGAGTGTGTGGGTTCCAAATTTTATTAATAGAGACTTTTTATTTGGGGTTCTCATGTGGGTGCAGAAAGAGTTGCTTTGTAGTTCATAGCTTTGGCAGAGTCGTGCTGCAGATTTATACCCAATATGCGTGTTAGTCCCATTGCATGTTGGTATGTAGGTTGGCACTTTGTGGAGGCGACTTACTGTACGTGCCATCTGTCCAGGAAGTGAAGGATGAGATCACTTCCCTTCCATGAATGAGCAGGATCACAAACATGTCAAAGTGTATGAATGGGCACTGATGCAGATTCAGTTTTATTTCTAGTACTATTCTCTATTTATAATTTAGGAGCTTGTTTCCTATAAATGATGCAGTCTTGGGATCTCACAACAGAGACAGTTAATCTGTTTTTATTACAATTTTTGCAGTTCTGTCTTTTTCTGCTCCTACTGTCCTCCTTCTCAGTTCCAAACATTGAGTCTTTTGTTCATTTCAGGGCATAACCAGAAATAAAATCCTCGTCGGTGCGTCTTTGTAAACGACTGATATTTGTCAACCTCTTAAAATGATTGATATGTCTTCTCTTTTGTCTTTCTTTTGTGCATCACTGAGAAACATATTTCACCTTCCTCCATCTCCCTCAGGATGCAGCTGTGGGGGTTGAACACCTACCTGTACGGCCCCAAAGATGATCTGAAGCACAGATTGCTGTGGAGGGAAGTCTATTCTCCCGAAGAGGAAGGTTTGTACATTCACTGTATCCTTCCATGATGGTGCTCATATAATAGTTACTTTACAGTTAATTATTTTTAAGACTAATCACACATAGTTCCTTCTCTACCAATTTATCCTGATAAATTGAGGCCATCGTACTTATAACTTGTTCCTCTTCTTTTCACAGCTCAGCTGCGTACTCTTATAGTGGAAGCTCAGTCCAGGGGTCTGAGGTTTGTTTACGCTCTCTCCCCTGGTCAGGATATCGTCTTCTCTTCTTCCTGTGACTTGGCGCTGCTCAAACGGAAGCTGAAACAGGCACGTTGCGCTCTCTGAAATATGTCAGAAGCACACCTGCGTGTTGCGTCCCCCTTACTGATCCTCCTTTGTTTCTCTCTGCCAGGTATCAGACCTGGGGTGCCAGGCGTTTGCCATCCTCTTTGACGACATCGATCACTCCATGTGCCAGGCCGACAGCGAGGCCTTCACTTCATTTGCCCACGCTCAGGTCACGATAACGAATGAGATTTATCGCTTCTTGGGGGAGCCACCTGTCTTCCTTTTCTGCCCTACAGGTAAAACTGAAGTCTGCATGAAACTCTATGTTTTATTGAACGAACCATTATTTTCTCTTTCTTTTATACTTAGAGTATTGCGGTTCGCTGTGCTCCCCGAGTGTGTCAAAATCTCCCTACCTGCAAACAGTTGGAGAGGACCTACTACCTAACATAACAGTGATATGGACAGGTAAGACAAAAATCAATAAAAAAGCTCTTAAAAGCTGTATAATCTGTCTACCTTCTAGAATTTAGAACGGGTGCTCAATACATCGATCGCGGGAAGGTTCTGAGTCGATCTCGACAGTAGGTGATAAACCGAAGGCCTCCAGGACGCTGCGATCAGCACTTTCTCTTCTGACAGGCTTATCAAAAATATTTACTAAGATCCTAAAAGTTTGTAGCTTCAATCAAGAAAAATATGTTTTTTAAATATCAACAAATTAGTAATTATTGTTTCAACAAGGCGTTGCGCAACTCAGTGCGTTTCTTTTCCATTAACAAAAGAAAGGCGACTCAAAGACCGACTGACTGGCACAGCAGGAGTTTAAATTAGCTAATCAACCACCGCTGTGTTCATGAGAGGCTTGTTAATAATCGAGAAATAAATATCAAGCCTGGAAACCTGATGTTGTAACTGACTGAATGTTATGTTTTTAACATAATCTCTGCTCGGCTTGCGGGGCGCAGGCGGCTGCCACAGCAACGGGTGTGCTTAACGTCAAGGAGAGAGGAGAGTAAAAAGGTCGGAGTGGTTTTGAGTTCGGGTTGTTTTACCTTTGCTTACCGTTGCTGTGACGCTTTACAGCCACTGAACGTTCAACAAACGACAAACTTGGACTGATTACCTCGTTTGTTTGTGAATATACGTCACTCACAACAAACAGTAAATGGGACAAATATATTTGATTAAGTTTTAACAAACAAATGGCTTCTACTGTGATAATTTTGTAAAATATAATTAATTATATCCCAAATTCAGAAGATTTGCCTTCACCTCTGGAGAGCTCTTTGGTTCCTCTTATCAGTCTGTACTTTCTCATATTGAAGTCATCAAACCAAAGTTCAGATCTACCAGAACTGACTGACACCTGCTGGCCTCAGGTTTGCAACCAGCTTCTGCCTGAGAAACCAGTAACCTGCTCCCAGTGTCAGAACCTCACTGAGGAAGAAACTGCATCAGGTTTTCTATTACCTTAATATTTCTGCTATAAGTGATATACGTATATTCACATATAAAATAAGTCAATAGAGTGTAATTTACAATTTTTATGTCTTCGTGTCATGAGGTAGATCTCAGCCGGCTGGTGAGAGAAAAAGTAGATCTTGGTCTGAAAAGGTTTGGGCGTCCCTGATTTAGAAATATCAGGGATATGTGTTCTTTATTCGAAATGCATCTTGCCTAATAAATGTGCTAATAAAAGCACATCTCAGCACACATGCATGCAAATTAGATTTTGCACAAACCCACTCAGCCTCCTCCACAAACCATGAAAACCGTTTAGGTGCACATCCTCCCACGCTCATATGAAAGTACAATAGAAGCAAAGGATCGATTGCCCACTCGCTTCTACATCACTTCTTCAGTTTTGGTGTTTCTCTCTGTGTTTCAACATCAGGAGCTAAAAAGGACTGCTAAAATATCACATTGTTATTGTATTATCACTATTATTTATGTTCAAGAAAACACCTGACTTGATTTGTTTACTGAGTCTACAGGCATGTTGCTGATAAAACTGCTATGTATTCAGGCGTGTCTTCTGATTGACGTTTGTTTGAATTGTTCAATCGTTGCCAAAGGCATGAGGAAGTTATGTCATGCAACTTCAAGGATAAAGGTGCTCCCTCTCTAACTGTTAAACAGATCTAGTATTGTTTATCATGATATCGTTCATTAGAATCTGTAAACTCTTTTGATTTTAAACTCTTGAAAATTAGCAGAGGCTGTGAACTACAGCTGTAATGGAAGAGAAATGCTTCGTGGAGGACTTTCAGCTAAAAGACACCCAGCTGACATCAGAGCTGTTGAAGAAAATATGCAAAGTTGCTGTTTTGTGAACAAGCAATTACCTCCGGTTTCCCTTGAGGAAACGGCTTTTATCCCACAACAGATTTATTCAAGAAACATTTTGGCAAATCAGTCTCCTAAAACACAAAGAATAACCTAATTTAGGTTTTTCTTGTGACCCAGTCCAGAGTCATTTATGGACAGATACAACCCCGAGTTGATTATGGGTTTAACTCAGCATATTGGGTTACAGTGGAGTTCAAATGTCCAATTTATTGCCCAATCAGATGAAACCGTCGACTCCGGGGGAAAGACGAGACACTTTGTCTGGTCAGAGATCAGTTGAAGAGAGATATTTTTAACCAGCTTGTATTTTATTTTAGTCCCTCAAGTAATTCAGACAGTTTAACAAAATTAGTGTTCTGGAAAGAGCCTCAAAGCTGTTTGCCAGCATAAAAATAATAGGAGATATAACATGTATTAATGAGCCTTTCAAAGATGTGTGTATAGCAACAAAAATGACAAAAATACATAATTTTCCTCCAGAGTGATAATGAAAAATCTCCCCTTAGCCTATATATGGTCAAATAAATGATGTTTTTGTTTAAATTAAATATTTTCACATTTGGATTTGAATAACAAAATTCTTACATAGTATGTGTGCATAAAATGTCACATATCTCAATTAACTTGACTAATATTTTAGAGAAAATGTGAATGTTGAACACTAATAGCACAACTTGCAGCAGGTACTTTGCAGCTGAACTCTCGTTGTTTTAAGTAAATAAGCTTTCTCTCAAAATTTTCTAAAGCTAAAGCACTCCAGTGAGTCTCACCTTTTAGGTATGCAAGTAACCCAGCAAACTGGGTTAATTTTTGACTGAACATTTGCTAAATAGATCAACTTCTGCACCAACATCACTAACTTCTGTTGTGTCTATAAGTGAACCAGCTGAGGTCTTTTTGTGTTCAGATGTTTTTTATCTGTTTATCTAAAAATTCACAATTTTAACAGGACTCTCTTAACATTGATTTAGAGAAATAAATTAATCAAATGTTTATTCCTCAGATGTTTTCCTCCATCACTGTGTCCCACAGGCAGCAAAGTTATTTCCAGGAAACTGTCCTTAGAGTCCCTTGCCGAGTTGGAGTCTGTCCTGCAGCGGTCCCCGCTGATCTGGGACAACCTGCATGCCAACGACTATGATACCCGACGTCTCTTCCTGGGGCCTTTCAAGGGTCGTGACCCTCAGCTAAGAAACCACCTGAGGGGTCTGCTGCTCAATCCTAACTGCGAATTTGAAGCCAATTACATCCCACTGCACACTCTGGGAAGCTGGCACAGAGCTGAAAAAGATTATGTAAAAGGTGAGGGCAGATTTCATTTTGTTCATAAGTCAATATTAAGACCGCATTAATAAACAGTCACTTCTTGTGGAAATGTCTAATTGTCTAATATTCTAATATTCCTGGGGTCATTTGCATATGGGCATAATGTTAGGTGTAACTGCAGGAGAGTTTAGTCATTTAGACTCTGTATCTTCATGCATTCTGCATCCTGAGAAACCAGAAATGATTATTTTTTAAACCAAATTTAATAATGGCCACGCAAGCCGAGTCTTTTTTTAAACAATGACATCGCAGCACTCTCTCTATATCTATATTTGAGTTTTTATCTTCTTCGATTTCATTGAAATGTTTAAACGAAAATAAGGTTTCGAGATATGAGATGGCGGTAAGTCTATTTAGTATAATTTGTTATTCAGAATCCTACTGCAACTGTGAAGTTTTATTACACAATTTAAATTGACAATAAAAAAGCTAGGAAGTGAGAAAGGGAACAGCAGGAATCATAAAAAAACAAAGGCAGCCGAGAAGCACTGAAGTGTGTGAAGTTCTGCTCTCTGCGGGGTGTGTGGAGGCGGTGCAGGGTAGCTGTGCAGCATGATAATGAGAAAAAATGAGGAGAGAGTAAGGTCCCTTTGTGTGGAGAAAATAAGGTGGATTCCGGTGCAATCAATTCCTTTAAAAGGTATGAAAATGATAAACACCTTGAGTCGTAATACTAAATGAAAATGAAATTCTTACATGAAGGTTCGCTGATAATCTATGGCTGTAAGTTTTAGAGTTTGGCTGCTCCCAGCACAATGTATTCCATAAATAAAGGTGACTATGCACACAATGTTAAAGCAAGCTCAAGTTAACTTTGTTCATTCAGTTAATAGCATACATTTGTAACTCAATGTGTTAAAGAATGTGACATTAAGACTATTGAAGTCAACAAATTATAAACATAAGAGAAAAGTTATATTCTATATTTCAGACGAGGAGTGTGAATACTGTCCAGACAGAGCTTTAACTGCTGCACTTCATGACTGGATGGAAGAACTTAATCAGCCTCTGCAAGCAGGTAAAGATTATATAAACCAAAGCACCTGCTGATGCTTATGCACCACTCTAGTAATGCTTTCACATTTTACCAAATCTGAACTCTGAAAGTTCTCACGCTGTAGTTTGAACCAATATTTCAGGTCGGCAGAGCGCAAGAGCAGAACAACGGGCCTCTGTCTCATCATCGCGTACCAAAACCTCTGACAGGTCCGACTGTCCCTCCACCTTCAGAGCCACACATGCTGTGGCCAAACTCCCAGTCTTCCCACTCAATTCCAGCTCTCCACCCTCATCCCCTCCTATGGGGAAAGCGGAGAGAGAGGGGCAAGAAGGGGAAAAAAAGAGGTCACACCAATCAAGTCATCAACTTCCAGGATCGAGGTCGGCAGCGCCCCCTAGTGGGGGCCGGGCACAGCGGGCGCCGGGTCGCGGGCTGTGTGGTGGGAAGGGCTTACTGAGCGAGGCCCAGGTGCGGCTGCTCGTTGGTCTCCATTACCTCCCCCATGAGCACGGCCCCTCGGCGCAGAAGCTGCTGCAGGACCTAACCTGGCTAAAATCAAACTGCCACCTGGTCGGCGCAAACAGCAAGAAGACGCAGCCCCAGAAGGTTTTTCTTCCTTTCGTCAAAAATGATTTCCGACATGGAGGTCATCACAGTTAAACATCTGAATGCTTTATTTTGTCCTCAGGTTGATGAGTGGCGTGGGCGGGCCTCCAGATTCCTGTCTCTGTGCGAAGACATAGCTCAGCTCCACTGCAGCGTAGTGGGCGGGGCTAACAGGGCTGTGCTCTATGACCTTTACCCTTATGTGTGGGACCTGAGGAACACAGCTCTGGTGGCAAAAGCCTTCATATGCTGGCTGGGTGAGTTCACCTGGAGGGATATAAATACAAGCTTAGAACAGGAGAGAAATGAAAAGGATAATGCTTTTCATCTTACGATGGGAAAATTAGTTATAATAATAAAACTAATAAAACAGAGCAGCAGACATTGCGTGTAGTTACCACCGTCATGCAATCATGAAGCCTCAAACTACATTCCTTGATGATTTTTTTTTTATTCTTACACCAAATTTACCTCTATTCAATAAAAATATGCCACATAATATTCTTTATGTATAAAACCATTGATTATTATGAGTTTAACTAAAATAAATAAATTACATATTTTTGTAAGTTGTTTCAGATTGAAAAATGAAAGTTTCTCTTCTATTACACTATTTCAGTAGTAATAGAAGTAATTCATATATTATAGCAGAGGTTGAACTGTTACTGCTTCTCGTCACCATGAGTTATGCACCGTTAGCTCTGCTCTCTCTCATGCTGATATGTAGGACTGATCTGCTAAATAAACAAATAAATGCACAATTAAAATAAACTCAGAAAGGCTTTCCATTTTATAGATTTTGTGCTATATTTATCCTGCATTAATTATGCATTTAATAATGATTTTATTACTGTATTGTAAATTCCGCTAAAACTTTAGGCTCATCTTTGCCCGTCTATAGCTATGTGAATGTTCACAGTAATAATTTAAAACACAATGACTTGTCATTGAGCTATTACCACACAGTACCAGATTACTATGCCTGTCGTGCTCTTTTGTAAAGCCATTGTGCAGCTTGCATTTTACAAGCTAAAACACCTTCTGTAAACTGACAGCATTCTTTCACTCCACACAGAGTTATAGTCATACCTGAATGACATTTTCTTTTTGTTTCCCTCAGATGGGCGAGTGCTGAATGACGGCTCAAACCTCGCCTCCTGGAGGAACTGTTTTCACTGTGAGTAGGCAGAAATGTTTCTCTCTCACTGTGCAGCTGGTGCAAGTTAGACAGTCAGCAGTCATTCTTCCAAAAAACACAGATGGATATGTGCAGATTATGGCTCACTGAGAACCAATACATCACGTTTGCTTTAAAATTTTCAGAAATATGGATTCCAATTTGGTGGTTTCAATATGTCAAGGTGTGAAGATATTAGCAACGACCTTTGAGAAGCAAATGTTGGAGAAGAAATGTGAAACACTTAGGACAGGAAAGGATAAGCCAGTAAATTCAATTCCAGATCAAACCGAGTCAAAATAATAAAACGAGTCACAAAGTCATTCAAAAGATGACTCTCACTAATGCTAAAACAATCTGTTAAATCATAATGTTTATTTACGTTTTCCAATGACTGCAGCACTTACTGACAAACCTTGATGTATTTCAGAGCCCTAACCTGTTCTGTTGAATGAGGATCGTTTTTCTCTTGTTTTTTCCAGGGTGTGGGAAATCCACAGGAGCAGAGCTGCAGGGAGTGGACTCAGAGCCATGGGTGTTCAAAGGGGGGGTGTCTGGGGAGGTGCAGGTAGCTTTATTGATTTTTGTCTAATGTCTTATTCAACTTCTTATTTCTTACTCATTCAGGATTCATCTTTTTCAAGTTCAGTCCTAAACCCTTCCAACTGAAAAAACATACTTCTTTAGAACAAATCTACAAATTATAAAATTGCATCTTCCTGTGTCGTCGTGTCGTCGTGTGAACAGATGCTCCTCCCGATAGGCAGCAGCAGTGAACTTTTCGCTCACCCCCCTCCTCTCTTTCCTACCTCTCGTCTCTACAACGTCAGGCCCTATCACGGCAAAGACAAGGTAGGTGATGAGTTATTGTTTTTACTACTAAGAAAGTAAAACTCGATTAATGTAATAAATATGTTTTTGAAACTTAACTTTGGTTTTGCAACTTTTAGATGTGTCTCTGGTCCAGAACACCTGATTAAAATTACTTACATACTTCCTTAGTTCACAGTCATGTTCTGCTAATGACCTGTTTTTTTAAACTCAGGTGTGTTGAAGCAGAGATGCATCTAAAAGTTGCAGGACCTTGGCAGGTGAAATGTCTTACCCAAAGACACGATGACTGAAACAAACAAAGTGATTTGTAAATATTTTTTTTGTGAAAACAAGAGCAATAGGCTTAAAACAGAGGAAATTTAACACATTACAAAATTATTTGCAGACTTCTCAACTTATTTCTACTTTGTTGGAAATACACAAAAAAAAGCATGTGAACAGACTTGCATACTCCAGCTCTTTCAGTGCTCTTTGAAACATTTACCAGGTTGCAAAGAAAAGCGTTGTGATTATATTTTGAGGGATATGTGCCCGTAGGTGGAGCTGTACCGAATGGTCCGCCAGCTTCACCTGAGGACTCAGGGGGGCCAGGAGTCCACCATGGCTCATCCAGACGTCATTGGAGACAGGTTTGTCAGCCTGTTATGAATCTTAAAGTTTATTATTCTCCTTTTTTAGTTTACCTTTCTTTACTTGTTTACATTTACTTTAAGTACCCAGATTTTCTGTGTTGTGCGATATACAGATTCTATTCTGTGTATCTTGGTTGTAACTAGTGCACTGCAGTTGTCTTTTTACCCATTCCACTCTGATCTCTAGAAAATAACAAAGCATTTTCATGTTTTTCTCTTTTTTTTTGGTCCACATTTAAAGCCTATTAAATGTCTTGAACTGAACTGGTGTGCAGCATAAAGAGAGTTAATGCATTTTTATAAAAAATACCTTTTATCACTTCCTAGATGTCTTGGCCCATGTCTGGCGCTGAGCCCCGAGTACAGCTTCATCCTGGAAGATGAGCTCGGCATCTGTGGCTGCGTGCTGGGCATCCTAGACGTCCGCTCCTTCGCGAAGCGATGCCAGGCCAGCTGGATTCCTGCCATGAGAGATAAATACCCACCCAAAGGGAGCAGCACACACTCAAACACACAGGTGAATATGTTAAAACTGGGCAGAGGAGCTACTTGTTTGTTTCATTTTAACAAACAGAACACATAACCTGCAGATTCATGCACACAAATGGTTTGTTATTGGTACCTGCTGTTGCACCATCTGGACCCATCCTGTCAAAGATTAATTACTCACTATGAAGATTCACAAAAACACATTCATTTTTGGCATTTGTGATGCCTCATATTAGCATGTTCAAGCATAAGCTGGCCATGCTGCTCACACTGGGGAGCAGAATGCAAGTTTTAGCAGAGCAGGACAGTCATCTGTCAATATGGTAAAGCAAAGCACCTTTTAGAAGGTATATTTGTTGAAAGTTGTTGCTTAACACAAAGTTACAACAACAGAAAACAAACAATCTCTGGCAACGAATCAAACCACGACTCTGGTGAGCAACAGACACAGTCAGACCGAGACAATCTGTGGTTGATTTTTTTTTTTTTTTTTTTTTCTGCTTGCCAACAGTCAAACTTTTGGACGACTGCCATTTTTACAGCTTACTCATGTTTGAAGACAGAACAAGTTTTTCGTCTGCCTAATGATTTATTGTTAGGTGTCAGAAGGAGTTGGAAAGGCTCTTATAACCTGTTTTATTGCATTCCAGTGTAAGTCAGCGGTAACAGCTTCCAAACTGTTTTTACTTCCGCCTGTTTAGGTTCAGTGCTGCATGTGAACAGAAACAGGAAAAGGGGGGGAATCCACAAACTGGATGAATTTCAAAATGAAGTGTTTCACAGATTTGTAAAGCAGAAAGACAATGACCAAATGAAATTCAACTAACAAAGCTGTTTTACTTTTGTAAGATGTTTACTGATGAATTTTGATTTTAATCTCGTCTCAGATATTCTGATGAGAGTCAAAATTCTGAAGAAAAAATTAAGAATAACTTTTTCAGTGGTCCTTATCCTCTTCAACAGATGTTGTGACTGCTCAACATATTTCCATCATTTAGAATAAAAGCTAATCTGTGTGTCTGCTGTCTTCTGTGCAGGACTTGGTGAGATTGATGGAGGAGGACCAGGGTGAGTACCCGGACTCGCTCCTCTTCCACTTCCCCTCTCAGCTGCGACTGGACGCGCTGCCCGAGCTGGTGGACGTCAGCGTCAGCCGAACCCTGCTCACCGCCCTGCTCACTGCGCTCAAGGCCAACGGTACGATAACAGTCACATCCAGTTCCTCTCTGATGTTTGGTAAAACGCAAAAATGCAAACCTCTTTAAATCTATTCACTTCTTTTAAAGTTTTAAGTAACAGCGCATTGCAAAAGCATTCATAGAAGTCAAAGTTATCGACAAATACAGACTTTACTGTATTTTGCTGTAGCTTACTGCAATAGACTAAAGCAAAGAATAGCATAATTGTGAACTGTAGTGTGAATTTTTGTTCAATCCACCCGAGTCAAGATGCTTTGTTGAGCCACCAACAAATACAGATGCATTTCCATATGTTTCAATCAACTTTGCACGTCCAGGTATCAAAATTGGTTCACTGGCACCAATTTTGGCACAAACACCTCACTTTTCATACTTTTCTTGCAATATTAACAAGTGTTTATTCTTTTCCACCAATTGGTGTTGTGCATCACTTAAAATTCTAGTAATAATATATTTTAAAAAATTTATTGTAACATTGCAGAACATGAAACAGCTTGTACAATGTGAATATGTCTCCAGTGCATTACAGATTGCATTCAGTTTTGTTTGACAAACATATTCAGAAGAATGTTTCACTGTGGTGTTTTTTTTTTTTTTTTTTTGTCTATAATGCAGTTAATTTTATGTGCAGAGAAAAGGCTGATGGATGCTTCCTGTGTGTTTGCGTCCAGGTTCTCAGGGTGTCTTCTGTGAGGTGCAGCCCACAGATCATCAGAGGCTGGAGTTCTTAACCAAACTGGGCTTCCTGGAGATCCTCAGAGGAGAAGCCAGGAGCAGAGAGGGCGTGGTGCTCGGGCGACTGCTCTGAAAAACACGACAAACACTCACACTAGCCATCACCTGGTCACGCATTTCAACTCCTTTGAGAAACATCAACATTAATTAGTTCATCAATTTATCAAAGTGCATGGTTAGTTATGACAAAGGTTATTTTTTTCATCAGGAGTTGTAGTGAGTCCTGATGCTTGTTTTTAACAAAATTTTGCCATAAATGTCATCAGCTTGAAGCATCACCCTCCTAAACATATAAACATTTTGAATGATAATGTAAAGAGAAGGTTTCCTACGATTCTGTTATTGTGCTTGTTCAAAAACGTTGTTCTCTTACTTTGACTAGGACATGTTTCATGTAAGAAGCCCCATTCAGAAATATTTTGCAAACTGTCAACATTTTATTTTATTTAAGTTCTTTGGTTTAAAATCTGCCAACATAAATAAGATGTTCCACCATAAAACTGATGCAAGAAAATAAGATGGACTTTATTTAATTCAAAAAAGGTTAGAATCTGTAAGGTCACAGAGAAAAATGCCACATAGGCAGCCTTACTTCAGCCTAATTAGATCTTTAGATACTTTAGACGTGTTTTTACTTATTGGTACCAACTACAGCTTGCATTTCCAGTAATTGTCTCATTTTTTTTTCTTATCTCAAAATGATCAATTTAACTGAAGCATGAAAGGGGATTTAGGAGCCTTTTGGTTGCCTTCAGATTAATGGAATGCATTGCATGTTGTGAAGGTGTATTCTTTATATATGTGTCATTAAAAACAACAGACTTACACACGTAATGCACAAACTGGTGAAAATATTATAGAAAATCTTAATGAAAACCTTAATGAAGAGATCAAACAGGCATGAACCACAAGATTCTTCAGCATTTAACAACTATGAAATGTATGTTAGGGTTTAAATCCTTTAAAGAGCTGCTGATTAATACTTTAAATGAGGGAAAGCAACAAATGTTTTAAATGGAGGCATAGCTCAAAATGTAAGGAATTTTATTAAAGGTATTTTTATTAGATAAAAAGTAAGTTTATTCTTTGAAATGCAGCACCAAACCAATAATATTTTTTGAAAGGTTGAGGTGCAGATGTGTTGTAGCATTTCTCAACTCTGTGCAGTTTCAACCTCTTTTTCTGCCTGGATGAGCATAACTGCTTTCCTCGGTTTCATTGAAAAGAAAGTGAGCACAACATTTTCCAAAAAAAGAGAAACCTGCTTGTTTAAAACCTGCTTAGCACCAACCGGCAGAAATACAGTGCCGGTAATAAATCGACTTTCGAGAACATTTTTCTTTTGATTATTGCTTTTGATCTGATTTGGATAAGCCTGTGTCTGATATTTCTTTGAAGAAATAGTTTTGGACATTCAAAAGTAATTTCAGCCACCTAATTTACATAAACTTCACCTTCGTTGATCCCACAGACTGAGTAGCTACAAGGCTACTCCACATAAGAGTAAAACAAACTTCCACCATCTTAGAATAAGCCCCCAAAAATGAGAAAGCTATTTAATGTACTTTTAACAGTATATGTACTGTTAAAATTACAGACTTTTAAATAACCCAATAGTTATTTACACAGGAAATAGAGGTCTGAGATGGTTTGAACTAGGAAATTCCAAGTTTCACTTCATCAGTGATATGTTTATTTTTGACAAATTCTAACAAAAAGAAGCCTTGTAGTTTTATTCTTGACTGTTAACATCTTAGTAGTTATGTGGGACATCTGGTGTCATTACATCTAATAAATTATATTTAAGCTGTTAATTTGCAAATGAAGACACTATAGGCAAGTTTTAACACTTTGTACAGGTAAAGGTTATTTGTTTTTCTGGTTTATGTCCATGCTCAGCAAATTGTAGCAGCAGCCACACAGTTCATGTCAAACAATTCCTAAAGGCAGGATTTAGCTAATTTATCCATTTCATTTTGTGCTCTGATTTGTAAATGATGGCTGTTTTTCCTCATTTTATCATTTTTACTTCAGTAGTTTTTATACATATATTAATCCCATTGAAATTATCTGACAAGCTCAAGTCTTTTGTTTACTATTTTTCTAGATAAGATGAATGTTTACATGCATGAAAAACATAACCTTGTGTTGCTTTTCTACCAAGCAGGGTTATAGATCTAAAAACACAAAAACATGCAAAAAGAATTGCAATGGCTGGCGCTCACCTGCATTAACACAAACAAAGATGTTCTACTGGGCATTGCAGCTGTAAAAATGTAGTAAGATAGGAGGAAATGTTAAATGTGTGCATGCTAAAGCTCATTAGAAAAACAGAAAATAAAAGCTAAAAACAGACATATATACATTTATTAATTTTTTTACAGATATCTTCCATTATTAGACATCACTAATAATGATGTCTAATAATAAAGACCTCATCAGCCACTATGTTTAAGCATGAGTGGCTGATGCTTAAACATAGCCACTCAGTGAAAAGTGACATTCACTTGAAGCGGATGCAAGAGTGGGCATGTGAATAATTAAACTGCGACAGCTGTGTCATCCGTCCTTCATTATAAACCCCAAGGAGGCATAAACGCATCGTTCACACCCCGACACACACGCAATCACACAAAAAGAAGCACAAACGCACTCAGTTCAACTGAAAGTGTGTAGAACAATGAATGTTTTTTTATTTAGATGTGAACATACACGACTACTTGTGCAAGCATTTATATTTCAACTTTTTTTATTTACAATTATGTTCAATCAGTAGACTTAGATACTTTTGTACAATTTTCCTTAAAAGTCTCTCGTGAGGTGCTTTGTAATAATAAATGGAAGAAGGTGGTGATTGCATAGACAAAAATAAAGCACCAAAATCGAATTGCATGATGTAAAGCAAAAAAAAACAAAATAATAGATGGTTGTGTCTGTTGCGAGATTTTTAATCGCACCTGTAAGGAGGTGGGACAGTTCTTTTCTTTACTGTGAGAGTCATTTAAAAATGTGTGTGTAAAGTTAGGAAAGTTCTAGAAAACGCAATATGTCAACAGATGTGAACAAATGTTTCAGTCAACATGAAGCACTGTGAAAAAAAGAATTAACCACAACTTGATTTAATGCAATCCTAACAACAATCATGTCTGTCTGAATATTTAAAATAACGGTTGCCTTTCAACATCAGGCTTAAGCATTGTCCGTTTCATTAAATCATTTCAAATTTCAAACTGCTACAAACTGTCTGCATAGAGTTACATTACACATAAACTTTGTGTTTACAATACATTTTTAGTGGAGTGCTGTGTAGCACATCTATGCAGGTTAAAAAAAACATTGAAAAAATATTACTGCGAATTTCAGTTTGGGTTTTTATTGAAAGCATTCAAGACGTTTCATTTTAAACAAAAATGATGCAACTTGTTTTCATGTTTATTAAATGAATTTTTCCTTCTGACTTGTGACGCCTCTTCTTTACCTCAAGATGAGGAAAATATTACGCCGTAAAACCTACAGAGTCAAAAGAAGAGACAACCAAACAGTCCGCAAAACAACATACAGAATATATTGTATCCTGCATCCTACGAGTCCCATCATACTGTTCCTAAGTTTCTTGTGTGTTAAATTGACATACTCTACTTTGAATAAATACCATTCCAGCAACAATCTTACAACTATGCACATTATTTGTTTTACAGTTTTTAATCATTCTATGAGATTAGTAAGTCACATAGTGTGCATCATTGCTCCCAAGTTTGTACTAGAGTTTTTTATTAGCCCAACAACAATCTTACTTATTGTCATTCTGTTTGATGCACTCATAGATGAAAATTGACTCACATAAACTTAATGTAGGAACTTCAACAGCAGGTTAGTTGGACCTATTTTTTGGAATAATTCAGCTAATAATTTTTTGAGCACTTAAAGTCACTCAGTAAAAATTACCATGACCATTCACTCATTAAGTGTAGATCAAGAGAATCATAAGCAATGCACATGCTTATGTTTCACAAAAAGGGTTTAACTTCTTCAAATTTAGATCCCCAAAAAGTATTTTTAAGTTGCTGGCATCTATGAGAAAAAAAAGACAACTTTGTTAACAGCAGCCTGTCACCATTCTTCCCATTTCTGAAAGTAAATTAATGAATGCCAAAGGTTAACTAATTTCACAGACCAAAACAAATACTTTTAACCCAGACAGATTATTTCTAAAGCACTGCTTTGCATTCACCAACCTATGAATGATGAATCCAGATTTTGAGTCAGTTTTTCCCTCCCCCTTTTCTTAAAAAGATGATGTTCCAGTCATGCCTTTATCTACTGTAAAAAGATTTTATTTTGTATGTTATGAAAAAAAAACAGCTGCAGACAGAGACCACGTTGAAATATTAAAAAGAATACATATTTACTTTGGAAACTCAAAGTAAATATGGTATAAAACATTTGTACAGCACTGTATTGTCAATATATGGGCAGTTTAAGAAAATGTGTCGATATAATATGGGCAGTTTAAGAAAATGTGTCGATATAAAATTCAGTATAAAAACTCACAGCTAACCATTTTTAATAATAAAACTACTTGTGTTTGGTCCAGTTGGTGTAAAGTGCACGTGACTTTCCGCTACACATCCGTGCTCTCCCTCTCTTCCGTGTTTCCAGCTTCCCATTGGCTTCTCAAACGCAGGTTGCATTCGGGGGCTTTGACTTGACCAATGGGGACGCGGTATCCTGCTAAGCTTCCAGTCAACAGCAACATAAGTGTGGCTGTTAGAGTAGCTGCCCAACTGCATGCTGGGAGACCCACCTAAGCAGAGGGAAGGGATGTGGCGTATGAATGGCACCTTTAGCAGCGTAAGCCACATTTTACATAGGTTTAATTGTCCAAGAAAGAAAGTAGCTAATTTATTAAGAAAGGAAAGCCCTAGAGCAGTGGGCATTCTTACAGTTCCTAGCAAGTTGCTCAGGGCGATGTCTGAATACGCAGAGAGAAACGCTGCAAACAAGAAAAGATTAGATCATAGAGAATATTCTCCACACATTCAGTGCACAGCAGCAGCTGGTGGCTCTTTTTCCTGTTAGCAGTCAAAGCATCAATTAAGGCCAATTTACATAATGGGGAGTAATTAACTGCATGTCAAGCTGGTCAGTGTTACTGTCTGTGATGTCTGACTGCTACAGTGTGCTCTTTTCCTCTCAGATGCGAACATGGCTAAAGTGGTAAAATGGATTTCCAGTCTACACTGATTAATGACAACAACCTTTGGATTAATGACAGAAAAATTACTGCACATGAATAATGTAAAGGAATGGAAATGCAATTTACAATGTTGGAAAATAAAAAAAATGCTCATATTGAAAAAAATGTTAAAGGTAGTCAGTCTGAGTGGTTTACCATTATACTTCTAAAAGCAATTTAAATCTGTATGCGTGAACTTTGTAAATGTTTGTCACCACTAGCGATGGCAAAGAGGTGGGTCCTCCAGCTGAAGGTGAAAAAGAGTCCTCCAACGGCCATGCAGCCCAAAGCACCGTTGAAGCCCAACAGGCCGGAGTAAAGTGAGTCATGACGCACTGCCATGGATAAACCTGTGACACATCAACACACACACACACACACACACACACACACACACACACACACACACACACACAAAATGTGATTACATAAACCCATAAAAATAGCCAGATAAACAATCAGGACTTCTTGAAACAGCAGTACCATTCTTGTCCACGTGGTGGGGCTAAACACATACTTTTGTGCTACTACCCCTTTGAGCAACCCTTAATTTGCATGTAACCTAATATGGAAATTTTTCATTTTTGTATCAGCACACCTAAAATGGGAACCAACGTTATAAGTGCTAAAATCTTCAGAATACATCGTTTAACTAATTGGCCTTGCTTTGCTGTGTTAGAAGGACATGATGAATCACTTAGAAAACTGCTGCTAATTAGCTAGGTCATCTGTATTCAGCTTTTAATCATATAAAGGGAAAAAAGCCTTTTCTTTAAGCGAAAGTCATTAAAATATTTCATTGTTATTTCACTTTAGTCATGCTTGCATCACCCAGTCGATTGGGGGCTGCTGCAGGTTTCTGGTGATGCTGGTAAACCTTACCTATGACTCATACCCACAGCAGTCAAACTATAAACTGATTACACCGGAGTCATTCTGGCCCAAGTAGATCTCAGCTCAGCCAGATGCTCTGACATTTTGTCCCATGGCCTCCAGCATCAGCAGCTGCAGTGTTACTCTCACCCCCACACAGAGGGAGATAATAAAATCACACTGTCGTGAGGAAGAATAGGGCGGCGGAGTTCAGCTACGCAGGTTAATATGTTTCACCTTTAGATTAGCCACCATGCTGATCAAATCTGGAACGACAAACTGAACAATCATAAATGTCTGCATAATTTGATTATCTTATCAGGTTGGCAAAAACTTCAAAAACAGAGCAGTAAAATTATCCATGCAAGCGATTCCATTTTGAGTTTCTCAACGTGAGGCCTAGAATCTGGAGGGTTTGAAGCTTTTCCTAGGACTGCACTCTTCTAGATGCCACAGAGGTCGTTTCCCAAAATCTGCTATAGCCACGCCCCCAAATTTTACTCCAATTACACAGATTCTCCCTGGTACAACTGATTCTCCATTTTCTCCTTAAGGAGTTTGTTTTTTTAGTTTCTCATGTTCCTCTTTCTTAATGTTGCTGCCAATTTCTTGTTGATGCTTGCAAAACAACAGAATTACCACCCCTAACAGTTTTAATAGATTAAATGTAACAACTTTTTTATGTGTTTTATCCTGTCAGCTAAGGCAAAAGTTGGTGTTGTTCTTGTTGCACTGTCTGAATAATTGACAGTCCTCTTGTAATACTGATGGGTGTTAATCTTCTTAAATCCAACAGAGCAATAGTTAGGCTGAAACAAAACCATTTACAATACCCAAAGTCTGTGGAATACTAATTCTGAACACACAAAAGACCAGATCAAGTGCCAAGGCCAGAAAACTCAAATTGTACAGACTTACCAAAATTGGATAAAAACAGGTTGAAAAGTGTTTCTTTGTCCTTGGGAATCTTAATTACAGATTTGACATTTAGAGGATATGATCAAATTTAGCTTTAGCAGCATCAAAGCAAGTTTCCATTAGGCTCAACTTTTCAGTTTGTTGGAGGCGGCCTGACGGTGTGATAGATGTTTTCTTGGCACACTTTGATTACCGATTGGTCAATACTTTGCTAATGCAAAACATACTTTGCATTTGCAAATACTTTTTGGTGGCAATGTATTACCGCTATATTGTTTCCCTTAATGACCATGTTTATGACCCATCTTCTAATAGCCCTATTTAGGAGCATAATGCACAATGCTATGAAGGACAGATTTTTTCAAACATTCTTTATAAGGATGATGATGAGTTCACTGTACTCCAGCAGCTTAGTCTCATCAAACCTTAATCTATAGTAGAGAACGTTGGCACCTTTGGGAGATTCACATCACTGGATATGCAGACAACAAATCTCCTGCAACTGTACAAAGCCTTCATGGATAAAATCTCAGAGGAACATTTCTGACAACTTATTGAATCTATTTGCCAAATAATTAAGGCAATAGTGAAGGCAAAACTGTATAAAACCCAGGATTAACAATAGGTACCTAAGTAAGTGATCAATCAGTACAAATCCTGAAAGATAGAAAAACACAAATCTGAAATCTACACCCTCTCAGTTTAAAAGCTGCCTAATCAGCAATGGTCCATTAATCACATAGTAGGACAAATTGCATTTTCAACAAATGTGGGCTGCAAAGTGATAAAGTGAATAAAACGGCCACATCCTGAGGGGTTATACATGCCAGTACTAACTTTCATGGCGATCCATCACAGTGTTGTTAGCAACAAACAGGAATCTCATCACGGCACCGTGGAAATGTCAACCAAACGCTGCAGTCATTAAGATTTATCAAGTGAGGACGATGAATGTGAGAAATGTCACTAACCGCCTCTCCAATTATTACTGATATATTTCAGCTGAACACCAGAACAGAGGCTCATCTACAAATTAAACTCCAGCTGACTCAGAATATCCTTGTAACTAAGTTTATAGATCAAAATGAAGCGCTTCAACAAAGCAAATTTAAACAAAAGCAGATTTAAAAAGATAAGTTTTTAGCTGGATTTTAAAGGAGGCTGCTGATCTGAGAGTCTTTGAGCCACAGAAGGGGGGAAAAATCCTTTAAGTTTTAGTTTTATGGTGGACATAAAAGTTCTGAGATAGAAGTTGTTGATGATTGGTTTTATGTTGGCTCTCCCAGACAAAACCAATGTATTGTAAAAGGTAATGGACACAATCTGCCTATCAAGATGCTGGCTGTTTTTAGTTTGTTTGTTTGTTTCTTTCTTTCTTTTTTGAGTTAATGAAAAACATTTTAAATTTTGGCTTCATGCTTCTCACGTCTCTAGCCGCTGCTTGCTGCCTGCAGGAACTGCATTTTTAACCTCCTGAGTAACCATGAGATCATAAATAATTCAAACTGTCAGACTATCTAAAGGAAGGACCATTTAATACCCCGACCACTATGTTTCCTCTGTTGGTAGCTTTCTCTTTTTTTAATTATATACTCATTGGTGTTTCCAGTTGTAAATCTTGTGTGATGAAAAAGCCTTTTAAAAGCCATTACAACTCTGAAATGCCCAGCCAGGCATGCTGAGGACAGATAAGGGAGAAAAATAGTCGGGACTACTTCACATCCTGCCTGTGTGGAAGCTGCAGGATTTTTCAGAGAAATATGGAGTTTGGTAGCTGCCCTGTGATAGAAAACAACATTCAACCAGCACTGTGATCGATTTACTCATTAAGCGGTAATAGGAGCTGCAGTTTAGCAGTCATGTTCAGAAGCAGACAGACCACACCCCCGTGTTGCCTCCTCGTGATGTCTGCTAGGTCCACTCTGCCATGATAAGCTCTCCTACAGCTGTTTGTTCATTTCTTCACATCCAGACTCCTCTGCAGTCCTGTCTTAATCCTCATCATTTGCTTTCCATTCACTGTTTGACCCCTTCAATTCTTGCTCTTGTTTATATTCCAAACCAGCAAAATGGCATCATTATGGAGAAATATGGGAAGAGAGCTGCAAAGGATGCTGTAATTTTCACAGTTTTGACTGTTATTAGGTGTGTATTTGTGTGTTTGTTGTACAGGATGAGTCAGACTGCTTCAATCGTATCAAATGCCAATGTCTACTCTTTTCTTTTTTATTCACTTTCACTCCACCTGTCTCCATCCACTGACTAGAGGACAGTGTAACGGGATCAAAATAAACAACTAAAATAAATCACAGATGTACATATCCAGGGCTGCTGAGAGGAAACAGTCTGTTGACCCTTTTTGTTTATTCAGTTGTTTGTATTGCTTTTCTGGAAAGTGAATATTTGTATATGCATCTTGGTTATTTCTGTTTCCTGGCACGTAACTGCTTGAAAGAAGAGTCAAAGAAATTTCAACAGGGTTAAGGTCAGGGCTTTAACATCTGATGCAAAACCTGTTTTGATATTTATTTACTTATTTCACTTTGACATCGTTATTCTTGTGTACCATTCAGTTGAGTTGAAGTTTAAACTGTTAAGTTGTTTATTGCGACGAAAGAATGCGGGAACGCCTAACAGTATAGGATTAAATGAATAAATATATTTCACAAAGCCCATCATAGAAGACATTTGTTTTGTCCACAAGCGTGCCAGCTTACCAACAAATTAATATAATTCAAACATGATATTAATTTGACTTTCCTCCATTAATTACCAGTGCAGCTGCTGAACATCCCCATGTCTTGCCAGAAATGGAGAAAATCTTAATCTGAAATCCAGCTCTCATCATTTCTCCTCTTTCAGATTCTAGTCCCAACACAACACATTTGGTTGCTTGTTTTCCTATTAAGTGGTCGTAGCAGGTGAGGTGCAGGCTATGGCCTACATTCGGCCCCTGCTCTTGTCCTCTGGAAACCCCTTGTGGGAACAGCATACACCACCGTGTTTGAGTGGCAGCTCTAAATATGGCCTCGAACTCTGTCCCTGTTGAGTTTAATGCTTGTCTCTTTCCTTTGAGCTCAGAGGTACTAACACTGTTTTTTCCTCTCTTGCTTTTACACAAAACCTTTATTAGAAAAGTGCTACTTATATAAGTTGCCTAATTGGCTCCCAGGTGTCACTGCCAAGAGAATTGTGGTTATTATTGTCTTTGTACAACTACCTAGGTTTAATGACAACCTCTGACTTTGAAGCCAAATAATTCCGATATATACAATGTGACAAATATTTGGCTTCTTAAAGAATTCTTTTTATCAGTTTTTGGATTTTTGTTGAGCATAATTCCACAAAATATTTTTCAAATGATGATTTGAATTAATTTGATGTGTGGTGACTTTCAAATTGTATCCAGACCAAACTTTGTGGAAAAAGTAACGACACACACAATATAAAAAATAGTGGCATATCATATAGCATACGCATAATTTGTAAACATAACAGGAGAAGATGTTTCATAAACTCTCTTCATTCCTTCATGTTTGGATGCACATCAAATGTTCAGGAAATCACAGACAGACATTCACCAAGTATTTGGTGGAAGATAATTTATTCAACAGCAGACTAAAGTCAGTGACAAGGACACTAAGATGACAGGATAATAAAAGGTAAAACTTGATGGAAACTTAAAAGTAAAAGGAAAAATGTAAAACAGAGAAAATTCTTTGAAGTGTCAAAGAAGTGAGATGTAAAGCACAGAAAAACAAATTTTCGCCTCTGTTCAAGTGTTGTGTATTCATCTTCTGCCGCGTTCTGAATTCTCAAGCATTGCTGTCTTTTCTCCGGCTGATCTCTCCCTGCCTGCGGTTTATTCCGTATCTTTTTGTTCCCATATTTGAAACCCTTTGACCTGTAATTAATCTGCCTGTGACATATGAGTTTCTGTCTCCTGACGGTGAAATCTTTCTGTTCCTTTCATGTGAGCTGTCAAGCAGTAGAATTGGGTTTAAACGTAAGATCGCAGACCTATGTCACACTGCGAACTATGAAAAAAGATGAAAGAAAAAGGACAATCTAAATCTAAATGTAAAGAGAAAATAAAAGATTTTATTGTATTTTTTTCAGGCAAAACAAAATCATCTTAATTAGGCAATTAATAAAGAACATAAAAAGTTTGATTTATTAATTCAAGTACTGATTGAAAAATCTGTCATAAGTAGGACTCAAACCCAATTATGAAAATACAGCATATTTACATAAAAAGGACTTTTTCTTTCTGACATATTGACTTAGATGTTAAAAATCAAATGAGTGGAAATAATTCATGGACAAACTAAAATTAGTTCATGCGCTTCTCAAAATAAAAAGCAGGTTCCACAAGACACAGTAATGAAATCAGAAGATGCTATTTTTGGACAAATTCAGTGTCAGAGGCTTGTTGGTGTTTGGAGCAGTTTGTTTACCTAACATGTTCATGGACATAATCATTTCTGAGTCAAAAACTATTAGAAATTTCAAATGATGAGTGTCTTTTGTCAGATTAAAAGTAAATTTACAAAAAGTCACAAGACTGAGTCTGAAAACTCACTAATATGGACACATCAGATGTTGGTTTTGATGTCATTTATATTGTATTTCAAAATTTTCCTGCACAGATGTGAGTAAAAGATGTGTCTCTGATTAAATCTTTACTTTTAAACACTTTAACTTCACTTTTTGTCCATCAATAAATGCTGTGAATGACCTGAGCTCTTTAATCCTCCACTAAACACATGAACACCAATGGGGAAAAATGGAACCAGACTTCAAACCTGTGAGAAAGTCAGAAATAATGAAGCATGGAAGAAATAATGTGCAACAAGAGAGAGACCTTTAGAGGCATTTAGTTGCCATGCATTAAACTGCCATAATAAGGCAGACTGCTCTGCTTCATCTACTTTCTTTCTGATGCCCACACAACCTCATTAGGGTCAAATCTCTTTAATGACTTTCTTGGTGCTTATTACAGAAATGTGTTTGCATGCGAACCACTGTTAGAAGTCTAATGTCCCCAGGTTTGCTGATCGCATATTTGTGCACAAACTCACTCCCACTCTTCTGTATTTTTCCTTTTATTTTTTAATTTTTATTTTTTTTGCAGTATGACTCACAGCTTGTCAAAGTATTTTAGGACTCAGTGCTGAAGTTTTAGTGGCCAGTGGCAACATGGCTCGAATTACATCATTTATCATGTCTTATACGAATATTTAATGTAAACGCATAAAAACGTAGACATTTGTAAATGCATGTAGATACAGAATATAAGTGCAACGAAGACTTTTCCTGCCTCTTATATCACAGCAGCTTTAATTATATTTCTGTACAGATAATGTGTGTAGTTGCCAAAAGGTTTCATAAGTCCTAGATGACTTTAATCTTATTAAACTATTCTATGCCTTGCAGAAAGCTGATCCTACAATCTGTTTAAGGTCCTGATTAATCAATAAAAAAATGCCTGCAGGAGATTTTTTCATTATCAAATATGGAAATTTTAGCCTTCTTTTTGGTTTGATTTGTACGAGGCGATTTCTGCTGTGCTCATATTTTATGTTGAAAGGAGAAATGTTTTAGCAAAGCAGCACATAGTGAATATGAGCAAGCTAGTTATTCAGCTACACTGCATTTTTTAATTTTAAAGCCTCATCTGGATGTAAATACTTGGTTTGCACCGTCGGTCACAAGAATAGTTCTACCTCATAATTCCCACTAATATAAAATAAGAAATATGAACTTTTCTTAAAAAGTAGTTTGACACAGAAGGGAATAAAAGCAAATCAATATAAAATAAAACGCTTAGTGCTGTGGTCATTACTAATTAAAATGACTTGGTTAAAGTTTCAGCTATAAAACACAAAATATGAACAAGTACAATAACTATTTTCAGACAACTATAGAGGAACAAACAGGTCAGTTTCAGTCAGAAATAAAGGTAAAACAGGCAAAAATAAGTCAAGTGTTTCAGTTTGGATCTAAAGCAAACAGCAACAATGAAATTGCTTTCACTTTGCAAATGTGCTTACTAAGAAAATAGTAACCGGACATAAACAGAAGGTTCTCTGAAACAATCAAACACTGAGCGGCATCCCAACAAAACCAGAAGATAAAATTAACTTAAAAAGTCTCAGCTTAGCTTATACCATCAGACAGTCACAAGCAGAAAACTCTGTAGCTACAGAACTTCAGTGTCTTGCTGTCGTGTCACAACTGTGACCCAATGTTTGCTGATTCTTGTGTTTCAAGTCAACGTCATGAAATCACCTTATTTTAATTTTAGGAACATCTCAGATGTCAAAAATAAACTCAACAGCCTATTTCTAAAACAAGCCTTAAGAAGCTGCATAACAAAGAGAAGGAGAATCATAAAAAGGAATGGGATGAAGAATCTGATCAGTTTCAGCCACACACTCCCAACTGCAATATTTCAAATTTGATCTAAACATCCCAATAAAAGCTGTGTCTAATTTGGGAGTTACTTAAAAAGCTAAAGGAACTTGCACTTTAACTACACTCAGAATGTAAGCTTTTGACTGAATCTAACATAAATAATTAAGTGTATCTAGACCAGGCAGACTAAACAAACTGTTTATTAGCTGCTTTTAGTGTGATGTGACTCAACCCCACTAAGTTAACACTGCATCCACATGAGGACAACAGATCCAAGAGGGAAACCCAGACGTTTCTCTGGACTGTCATCCTTTCCAACTCATTGACAGAAGGGGTAAACAGTTCCTCCAGTAAAATCTGGCCCTGCCGTGGGGTTTCCTCCCAGTGAGTCTCTCAGAAAACCTCCTAATCCCAGCAAAACCATCTGAGCTTTCAATGTGAAATTGAATTTAGGATCAAATTCTTTTGGTCATAATGACTATGCAGAATGCAGACAGACTTATAAAACTTTTAAGCTTTTCAGTTTAGCTTTTATTCAAATTGTCAAACAACAGTAACTCCTGCAATACACCAAACAAAGTCCCAATCTGTCTAATCCTCCCCTTCCATAATTGGCTTTATGTACAAATGAATGTATGTTCTGTTATGAATTATGTGGATTGATGGGTGGCGACACAGGAACTAAATTAACACAGAGGAAAAACCAAATCCTCACACATACATGGTTTTCTTTTATTTTACCTTCTCTAAAGTTGATATATAGCTCTGGTAAAAATGAAAGGCCCACCGCACTGAACCCTTTTGAGAACCTTCTGGTTTTTCTACCAAACATTGATTTCTGAACTCTTCTTGAGTTCAAACATTAGTATTGTTGTTTCTGAATGAATATGAACTTATTTTTCTTTGCATCATTTGTAGTCTGAAAGCACTGTATATCTTTTGTCATTTTGACCATTTCTCATTTTCTGCAAATAATTACTAAATTTTTGCTTGGAATTTCGGAGACATGTTGTCAATAGTTCATAGAATAGAAGAACAATGTTAATTTTACTCAAACATTTACCTATAAAACATAAAATCAGAGAAACTGATGGTTTTAAGTGGTTTCTTGAATTTTTCCAGAGCTGCACATGCTTGATGTCTGTACTGTTTGTGCATAATATTGGTTATTCTGGTATTGATGGATGACAAAGACGAAGCAGGACTGACCGGCCAATGTTCCCACTGCTGATCCCAGCACAGCGTGGACGCCCAGCAGCGGGGAGTAGAGAACAACGGCCCCGAGGATGAGGAGAGAGGGTCCAAGGGCCCCGGTAGCGTAGATCTGACCCACACCGAGAGGAATGCCACGAATCACCTGGGCAGGTGTAAAGATTTTAGGGAAAACTCAGTGAAATGGGGACTAAAACTGGCATTATGAGAAAACTTTAAAACAGACTTTTATAAAAAAACACACACAAATATGCTGCTGCTCTTTTCTTTTGTAAATCGTCTTTACTCCCCTCCACCTCTTCCTGCTTAAGCACCTTTAATGATAAATGGCGCCTTCCCAGCAGTCACTCAGCGCTGGAGAGTTGCCATGGTGACGCGAAGGCTGCACCTGCACGTCGCTGATATTTACAAGTCATAAATGGTCTTTGATTACACGGCAGCCTCACTACTGCTTTTGCTTGCATGTGTGTGCACGCATCTATATGCCTGTAAGATTTAATACTCTGTCTGAGCAGGCTGAGCGCTTTCCTCAGCAGAGCGACTGAATCTGAGAGCATTAAATATAAATAGGACAGACGTCACCTCCCCCCCCCAAACCCATCTCGGGAGAGAGAGAACCGGAGGAGAGCTGGAAGATGGCTGGAATGAAACGAATGGAAGAGAGGAACAGAACAGAGGAAAATGAGAAATATTGGTCTTTTTTACCAGAGCCATAAAGGAAATCTATGACTTCAACGTGTTTGGGAATTTACAGCATAAATTAAGCTACTTTATGAGGAAAGAGGGAGAAATCATTTGAAGAAATGGATAAAGATGTGAAAAACAAAATGGCATCACTGCAAAAGACAACAGAATCAAAGAAGTAAGAGAAAGATTTTAGTTTTTAACAAGAAATAAGAAATATTTAAATGGGAAGGAATGCCTCATCTGCCCTCAAAGACTTGCAAATGAAACAAATTAAAATGAGTTTGGTGAAGATAAGGGCTAAATGAATAATAACTCATTAAGGAAAAAAAGAGATAAGAAAATCTGAGAAGTTGGAGCTGAAACTTGTGGAAAGTGGTTTAGTGTGATGCTTGTTAGTAACATCACGTTTAAATTTCGATATTCAGGACACCAAGTGGAGTTGAGAGGATTTTTTTCAGCATCGAAGTTCAGCGTCAGTTTAGAGATCATCCTTCAGAGACAAACAGTTCATCCTCCTCCCAAAACAAAACAGCTTCATACTTAAAGGCTTACTTACAAATCGGCTTAATTATATTCTCAAGGGCAAACCAACAAGGAGGGAACTTTTGGTAGAAACTCTCTAAATAGATAAATTACAAAAGTAACCTCTTCTTTTGAAAGTTGACACTAGAACTGTATTTTCCATTTGGTCATGTCGGGGATAATCCTTACATCTCCAATTTTTGCTATTGAAACTGAACAAAGTAAAACTTTGACATGTAAATAGACCTGAAAACTGGGATGTTATCACACTAAAACTCTAATTTAAACAACATGTTAAATATTACTGTTAATGATGAATATATCTTTGAACCAAGAGCTTCAGTTATGATTGCAGTTCAGAAATCAGATCTGCCTCAGTTACTTATCAGTCACGTCTGGAGGCGTTCAGTCGTGTTGTTCCAGTTCAGTTTTGTTCAGGTCAGTATTTGTTATTTGACGGATTTTTTGTTGGGATTTATGGTTTCTCTGTTTTTTTCTTTTTGTGTTTTGTGGTTCGGCTTTGTTTAAATTTGCATATTTTCTTGTTACATTGGCATTGTTATATTTTCTGCCTCTGTCCATCTTTCCATTCATTCCCTGACACAACTTTTAGTTACACATTAATACATGTTCTTTATAAGTCTTATAGTATGCAACCATCCTAGGTTTTCATTTACCTGATCTTCATCCTTCCTGGTTAAAGTTTATTGCCCAGTAGTTTCCAGATTTGTTTGATGCCTCCAGTTGTTGAATTTCTCTTTGTTGAACATAAACATAAGAGTTTCCCTACAGGTATCTGTTACTGGAAGGTTGTTGATTTAGCAAGAAACCTTGTCAATTAGAGTCTGAATTAAGAAGAAAAAAGCTTGAGACGAAGCGTCACTGCAACACAAACTTAAATTTGAAACTGTGCTCACAACAAGATCACTCAGACAAACTGGAGCATCTCAGATCTGTTTGGGGTAAACTACTCTACCACTTGTAACGTCGAAGCAAAATATCTCATATTAAAAACAATCAATGATGGCAGTTCACTTATTTTTTTTTCTCAACATCTTCTTGCTCCAGGAAAGCATTCACCTTAAGATGAAAAGTTCAAACAGAATCCAGTTTTGACCTTTTCAGCTGACAGAGGTTTGCATCTTTATAAAAGAATGCGTATTAACTCAGGATTTCTATTCCACTCGTTGAGGCTGTTGCAGAGAAATACGTTTTGAAAAAGTGTTTAAAACTGTTCGATCACTTCTCTGACATTATGATTGAGACACGTGACTTTAGAGAAATCCTTGAAAAGCTTGAAGATGACGACTCAAACAAATTTGAGTAATATCTTCTAATTTTAATTCACAAGTACAAGTGTTGTGTTTGTAATATGTAAATAAATATGAATTATAGAAGTATATTATTATTAAAACAACCACTAACGCTCAAACTGCTGTTACTCTAACAAATAAAAAACACTTTTCAGGAGGTATTTTCATTCTGTTCTGCATCCGATGACGGAGGGCCAAACAAATCAAGAGGGTCAAAAGATCAATATGCCAATTTTGCAAAAAGGTAGCTCTTAATCTAAAAGTTAGAGCATAAAAATTATGTTTTTAAATTCAAAGCGTTTCCATGGTGTTAAGCCAGGGAAACTGATCTTTTTGACCAAGTAGAGTCAAAGCTTTGGTTATATTTTGTCTCTGAGTTCATGCTGGCTTTCAGTCAGTGTTTGTTAAGGATACAGAGTTTGGAAGACTGCGGCTCAGTAGACGTGCTCTGCTGTTGCACATTTACGTTGCATAAAACATTTTTTTTTTCTGTAAACTGATGAAGACCTCGCCTTTCAAAAAAAATATATATATATATACCAGGTACCACATAACGTGCTTCACTTCAATATTCGTGACTATCAATTGAGAAAAAAAAAATTAATTGCTCACAAATGCCTTTAGTCTTTTTACAAATGTGTGGTGCTGTCGGGTTGTATTTTTATGTTCCCCTTTCTAAAGATTGTCTTGAACATTTTTGTTATTTTTGAACGTAAACTGGGTGGACATGCAGTCCATACTGGTTGGTTTTGTCCTCACCTCGACTGCTATAAGCGCTGTGTCATTAGGATCTACTGCCCCTGGGGGTATTACTGGGTTGTGAGGAAAATAAGGGTTGTTCGTTCCAGTGCACAGGAGGTAAAGGACGATAATGGTGTTGAAGGGAAACACGGCAGCAGGCAAGTCCCAGTGGTCCAGTAACGTTGTGAGCCCACTGAACAGAAAGACACTGGGAAAATGAAAGAAGAATGGAAAGAACTATAAGCTTTTAAAATGAATAAAAACACTTTAAAAAGCAATATGCTGAAAATGTCTGCTAACTTGTATTTATTGAAGTAAAGAAGAAGTATATCAGTGGGGTGTGTTCTCTGGATGGAAAACATTTTGCCCGAAAAGAATGTTTCAAATATATACAATCATACTTAATAAACGTAGAAGATTAGTTAAAAGTAAACACAATAAATAAATTTAAAACACAGTCACTGATGCTTTTTCAGTCTTTGCAAAAATGACAGATCCCACCCTCTATGCTTTAAATTGTTATTGATTTTTATCGTTTTGGGGCTCGTTTTGGGGCGACCCCGTCTACCACTCTGGGCTTCTGCACAAACACCATATATGAGATTCATACCATGTAGCTGAGGCCAGACAGACAGGCAGCAGCAGCCACCAGTACCAGTCTCCAGCTGAGCTGAACACTCCCATCAGAAGAGCCACCAACATGCCGTTGAAGCCGTGAAGACCTCCTGCCACGTCGTCACTGCACACAAACACAGGAGCTCAAGTGCAACGTGGCTTAATGAAAAATGATCATTTAGGAACTCATTACACATAATTATGGTCAACTCTTTATGGATCCTCATAAAACAAACTTCTCTGTTTTAATGAGCAGCAACTTCAGAGTGAAGGTAAATGTGTTCTGCCTCTCATTTCTAAACACCTTGACATCCCGGTGAGAAGGGTTTGTTTTTGAAGCTGGAGAACAAGGATAGCCATTAGCATATTTCACAGTGGGAGGCATAAATTGTAGTACAGCTTTAAGATAAAAAGCATGAACTTAAAACTACATTCAGACATAATTCAATGAACTTTACCAAACATATTGACCTGAACCACTGATTCCTTGCAATAATTTTCAAATCACCATAAGCCGTTTTCATGTGAGTTTGGATCGCTATAGCAGTGTAAACTCCACCTGTCCTGTCCAATGATCACAGCTGTGAGCGTTGAGGCCAGTACACCCAGAGTTCCCAGCAGGCCCTGCCAGGGGGAAGCCCAGTACAGGGCAGCCAGGATCAGAGCGCCGCTCAGTGGGTTGTTGGCCAGAATCACTCTGGCCACCCCTCTCAGCCCCCACACAGCCAGCTGCAGCACTAACCACTTTTCTGGTCAGAAAACAAAAGACAAATATTCAAACGTGTTGTAACAAAAAGGGCAAACTGCCGCTGACAAACTTATTCCTCTGTTGTGTTGTTTTCTTGTTAGTTCAGGATGTTAAGTAAAGTGACTGGAAAAGGATTTTAATGATATGTTGTGTTAGACGCAGAGTGCAGGCGTCCTCGCTGTGGGAGTTCTGCTGTGATTATATCTGCATATTTTACTAGCACCGTAAGCATTTCTAGCCGAGGTTACTCAAGTTTTGCACACAAGTTTCATCATTATTCTAAAACTTGGTGAATAATGTTTTTCAAAGTAGCACAAAAGTCCAAATTTGCTTTTTCTTTCCCTACCCTGGATATACTTATCCAAGTGCTCCATCTCTCCTGTGCACAACATCAGACCATCCAGCACTCGCCGACTGAAGCTGGCCCGACTCCTGCTGGCCTCCTCTACCTCTGTTTTGGTTTCTATCCACATTTTACAGCTGCAGGGCCTCCCAACTCCAAACAATAGATAAATGTTCTCCTAATCCAGAAAACCTTCTCCTATATGTTCTCCTCCATCCTGTTTTTGTTCTTCTGCTCTGTCTTTCTCTTCTTCCTTCTGCTTCATCGCTTCTCTTCCTCCTCTGCCTCTTCTCTCTCCGCGAAGGAGTGACTTATAAACCAGTGGGTGATGTATTCACCCAGCCTCATGTGCCAGAGTTGAACAAAGTTCAACACTGTCAGCTGTGTGCATGATCACAGAAAGTAGCATTAGTCCCAAAGCCTGTTCCTGCCCTGATGTTGTATTTCACAGTCACCCTGTTTGCTCTCTCTTCTGCTTCAGGCCCACAGAGACAGTTCCTCACCTGCTGTTTGTCCATTTGAGCTACTCATCCACCTTTTATTGCACCATGTTGATGAATGTTTGTCTTCCTTTCATTCATAAAACCCATTAGCGGCTGAAGTCTTAATCTTTAACACGGGTATCTTTGCTGCTTAAACGGAAATAATACTGACAGAGTCGGGCATGAATTTTTTGTACCTTCTTCTTTCTAGCTAGCACAAGGCAAAACTGGTGTCAACAAGCATAGTTTTGTAGTTTTCAAGGTTTCAGAGCATTCCTCTAACATTTTAGTCTGTATTGCCATGAAAGCATTGAGCAGATGCTGCAGGTTTTTCAGCTGCACATCCATGATGCAAACCCCCTGCTCAACCACATCCCCCAGTTTGCTGACTTAGATTGGGATCTGGTGAGTATTGAGGACACTGGACAGCGAATTCTAATCTTGCAGAAATCCATTTGAGATTAGTTGAGTTTTGTGAAGTGATATATAATTCTTCTTGCAGTTTAGATGTTTGTGTTTCCACCCAAATGGTGAGAAAACATTCTCTGACAATGAGCCTTATGGATCTTCTTATCCTGCCTTGATTGCCTCACAACCTGATGTAGGCTAAACAAATTCAAGGAAAAAAACAAGAAAATATCAGAAAATTTCTGATATTTGACCTGGCTTACTAATTATTTCTTTAAAAAAGGTAATTTCTTTAGAAATACTTTGTGATGCTGATCACAAAGTTGGATTTTTCTATTTTGTCTTTGTGAGATAATCCTTTTGCAAAAAAAGGTACATTTATTTTAGGCCTTTTTGCACGTCCCTATCAGGGGATTGAATAGCTAAAGGGCACACTATTTTTATCTGAGATGAACTGCTATGAAAAGCCAAAGTGAAGAAAGTAAAGACAATAACAGCATGTCAGGTACAATCCCTCCATCAGAGTCAGGATCTAAAAACCTTGTCTTTATTGATGGAAACCTTTGTGACATTCCAAAATGCTCTGACAGCTAATCGCTCTTCTGTTTTGCCCCGTTTCGTTTATGTTTTATTTGCCTCGGTAAACATGCCCTCCTTCCCTCTGGCTATATATTCTCCCTGAGACATCTCAGAGTCTGTGGAGTAACAAAAACTAGTGACAGACTGGTACAGAGTGAGCTATATGAAGAGAAAGGATGCACAACTACTCAGATGTGTAAATGTCTTGGTTTTATCGTGTTATATAGAAAGTCACGTCTTTGCGCATCTACGTCAAATTTGAAAATACCACAATACGTTCAGTAATTAATTTTTGAGTAAGGTGAGTTAAAGGCTCTTACTGATGATTATTGAATGTCTATACACAGCACAGTGTTCATCTGATAAACTGTTGTGCTTTAAAACAACTGGATTCCAAAGAGGAGATTTTACACGAACTCTGAAATAAATAAATAAATAAATTAAACAGTTTGTCTCTTCTCATAAAGGAAAAATGTTAAATGCTTAAATTTTGGTGGTACATCACAAACAAGAGCAATTACATATTTTTTAAAGAAACTTTCTCATGTGCACCTTGTGAATTATAATAACATTAGTTGATTTATTTATATCTCCAATGAGAAACACTTACCCAAACATCTTTAATCCTGCTGGAAGAAAATTGACTGATTATCAGTTGTATTTATGCTTAAGAGCAGCAAATTGACTTAGGAGGAAGAAGGGAAGCAACTAACACACTGATGTAGAAAAAAGGTTCATTCTACTTAGAAATATTTAAAAACACAAACTTTTTTTGATAATTTTTGCAGTCAGGAAGCCACAAATGTCAATGTCCATGTGTCTTTTCAAAGGCTTCTATATGAACATAATAATCCTGCAGAACTGATGTAAGGTGCCAAACAAAAGATAGATTAACAAGCAATATTTTTTTCTCTGATGCCATGTACTTTTAAAATAAGTCTGAAGCTCTTACTTACATAAAAACCACAATAATAACATGTATATGTATTTCTTTAGCTGTATGATAAAGTTGTAATTGTACAAGGACAGAGTATCAGTTGATCCTCTGAATACTGTAAGCAACTTGAGGCAGGTTTTAGAATACATAAATATATTACAACATTGAGATAACAAGCAAAACTAATGCTAGCATGTGTACCAATTTTCAGAAATTCCCCAAAGTCACTGAGGCATATAATTACCAAGGTTTTGCTCAAAGAATCCAATTTCTAAACCTAATGAAGCATGAGGCCAAGATAATATCACAAACGAGGAGCTGAAATCGCAGCCCATCTGGACATCGAGATGCAATTTTCACACTGTTTATTGCTGTGTGTTCCCAGAGGGCATCACTGAACAGGCTAACCATCTTCTAATCTTCCAACATTATCAGGATGTGGAGCCTGTGAGCCACTAAATTCTCACATAAGCTGAAGACTAAAATCAACAGAAAGGAGTAAGAACAAATATGCATTTTTAGAAAAAGATGAGAAAAGAGAGATGAGACAAGGAAAACAAGCACTGATTTCTGCTTGTTTCCATGGCAATTGGCATTTTTCTCACTGTATTTGCATATTCGCATAATAATACACACAACCTTTTATTCAATCTCACTCAATCTTATTTTGATTCTACCAGCACTTTTGACAATGTGCCTTGAAGTTTCAATGTAGCTCAAAGATACACTGTTTAGAGGCTATATATATATATATATATATATATATATATATATATATATATATATATATATATATATATATATATATATATATATAGATCTATATATATAGATATAGATATATATATAGATCTATATAGATCTATATATATATATATATATATATATATATATATATATATATATATATATATATATATATAGATATATATATATATAGATCTATATAGATCTATATATATATATATATCTATATATAGATATATCTATATATCTATATAGATCTATATCTATAGATCTATATATCTATATATAGATCTATCTATAGATCTATATAGATATATATATATATAGATAGATATAGATATATATCTATATATAGATCTATATATATATATTAGATATATAGATATATAGATATATATATATAGATAGATATATATATAGATCTATCTATATATCTATATATATCTATATAGATCTATATATATATATATATATATATATATATAGATCTATATATATATGCTACTAATATGTGCAACATATATATAACAGGGTGTCATGAAGACAGAAAGTAGATGGTTGATTTATTTGACAATAAAAGAACATATATTTTTGCAAACGTTTGACTGTAAGTAGAGGTTGTGATATCTCTTTTGTGACCAGCAGACTCTGTTTATAGTTCACTTTTCTCTCAAGTTTTAAAATGAACTGCCATTTCTATTTGAATGTCATCCAATTATAAACTTCCATGCAAAACAACCTTTAAAATGAAAAATAATCAGATAAATATTTGTTATTTTGAAAGTACATTTTAGCTCTTCCATGCTTCACTTGGAATGTGGATCTTTATGTAATTAGAAATTATGTATTTATTCTATATAATTGGGGAAAATGACACATTTTTCTTGCTTGAAAAAAAATTATAAATACTAAGTCTGAAATTTACTTCAAATCTACCTGCCTTTATGTTCATAATTCAGCGAGACATCTTTTGGGAATAAGGTACAAAGATAATCTATTCTTATCTTCAATAAAAACACTGAAAATCAACAAGGTTGACCTAATCCTCCTCTGAGAGAATAACTAATGTTTTAATTGGCACTTTTCACACAGAAAAACATGAGTTTATTCTTTTGAAGCGTGTTCATTCTCTCTTTTTATGGCATGTCAAACAACAGAGACGTGGTGCTCCAGTACACGCTGACCCTGTTTACAGCCATGACAATTATCATCCAATTTGGGCAATTTTTGAAAGAAATGAAGACATCCAATATGAACCCAATCAAATAAATTTACGTCATGAAGTAAAAAGGGAACAAACAGCATTGGAGGCGGTGAGTGATCGCTGAGTGTTTGTGACTCAACCATGAGCTCCTGATGCACAGCATGCAGAGCAGCTGAGTGGTGTGCAGATGACTGTCTAATTTGGCTGTGTTGTCTTTTTTTGTGTACAAAATCCTGCTGGAGTTGATGAAAAAGAGCTTCATACCAAGAACACAAAATTAAAACATGTCAGTAGCAGCCTTTGCTATATCATATGGTTATTGGACATTCTTTACAACTTTTCAATGGCCTGCTTGCTTCTTTCCATGGAAAAAATAACAACATAAATGAACACAAAGAGAAAATTGAACAATAAGTTCGCAGAGAAAGATGTAAGAAAGTATGGCTTCATTCGAATCTATGGATTTACATCTTGACTGTGTTGCAATTTGATCTTCAATATGCAGATGAAGAAACAGAGTCAAGAATATAAAAAATATAGGCAGTTAATCAAAAGTGAAATTTTATCTCAAACTGTTTTTTATGAGCCGATCAAAAGTTAAAGATGATTTTTAAAAATGTCTGCCTACTGGGTGGATGTGCTTCCCTGGGGATGTTTTAAAACTTGCTTTAAGTTTTGAAGATGCTACACAAAAGGTAGATTTACAATTTACATCAATTATTGTAAATCTACCTTGCCATGTTTCAGCAAACATTTTCAGTGAGTTTTAAATCAGGGCAACAAGTAAAATGGTCCAAAAGAATGACTTCATGAGATGGGAAGAGAAGACGTCCTTTGTCAGATGGGAGTTATGAACTGCAGCATTGTCTTGCTGAAACATCACCAAACAAAGACCCTCAGTCTTAGTCTCACCAGGCCCTGCA